TATATATATATATATATATATATATAAGAACCAATTTTTTGGGTCCATATTTTTAGAGATTGCAAGTTGTTTTGGATAACGGGTCATCCAAAAGTTTGCTTAGGGGACAAGTATTTGTGTCAACGTCCCAATGAAAAAAAAAACAAATAAAGCCAAAGATCCAATAACAATCATATGATAATATTAATGACACTATGATATAAATTTGTGGACCGTCACAGAATAACATGGTGCCACGTTCTGCTTTTGCCGTGGCCTCAACGTGTTTGCTTCACATCTTTATGATTTTCTTTTTGTTCTTTTTTTTTTGGTATTTTCATGTGATTACGTCTGCTTAGAAGCTTTCAGAAGATTGTAAATGAAAGGCCATTTCTTTGGCCTATGAATATTAGCAAATATAGTTTGTGGTTAAGGTCAAACCTACTCATGATTTTAGTTGTGAAGACAAATTAAACCAACAAAACCGAAAATAATTTTGTTGTTTCTAAAATTTACGGTTGATAAATATTTCATTTTTCTATTCATATTCCACGTTTGATCAAAGTTTTTACAAAAAATATATTATATTATCATTATTACTACGACAATATATTTTAATAGAAATTAAGATATATTTGATACTTTTTACCATTTATTTGAATATATTGTACATTTTTATATCCAATTCCCATGTAAAATCTTATCTCGAAGTCAGGATGAAAGCGGCGAGAGAATTTGCAATATGGGGGTGTTTGTGATAGTTTTACAAATTTAGGGAATATTCAATAAACTTTAAAAGTGTCCGTAGTAAACTAAAAAAGGCAGGAATTTTGGGCCTTGAAGTAATCCGTGGATCCCTAGATTGGGCTCAACTGAAAAATAACTGCAGTTTAAGCCTTTTTCTTTGTTGCTTCAATGAACCCTCTAGAAAAAGGCCCATAAGCTTCCGCCTAATCACCGGATTGCCATCTTCTTCTTCTTCTTCTTCTTCTTCCCAGAATCATTCGATGAGGAACAGCGGCGGCGGCGCAGAAGCAGAAGCAGAAGACGTTGTTTCGGAGGGAAGAATAGAATGGTTTTACTTACTTACAAGTGACAGCGGCAAAAAAAGCCATAGATTCTGATAAAGTTGCAGGAAAAACCTCAGATATCATTCAAAGCTACCTAATGATCAAATCCTTCATGGTTTCCGGAGAGAGACCAGACATGGAAATTAAGGTTTTTCTTGAATTTTCTCGATTGTTTTAGGCAAACTCAAATCACACGTCACAATCAGCAAAATGATTCGACGTTTTTTAGAATTTCTTTTTGGTTGAACTTTGAATATGGCAGATGGATCTTGATCTTCGAAGTCATCGTCTTGGTCGTCTCTGTCTCAGAGTAACTGGAGATCTGTTACTTGTGACTGAAGGACAAAACAGAGGGTAGTTGCCTGCAGTACAAGGAAGAAGAAGAATTTCTTAAGCTGCAAGAAAATCAGTTGTGTTCTTTCTTCATCTGTATATAAATTAATTTATTTATTTCTATAAACAGTTCCTGCTGTTATGGTCAAAGTCAACTCTGGTCCCTTTCTCGGCAGAAAATGAAGACGTGTGGGCCTCTATGCTTTTCTGCTTCCGGCGTACGTCAATGGCGATCAGATACTCTCTTTCCATGCTTTTTCCTATTCTCGGTAAAAGAGATACACCCAAATCCCAAAATCAGCCGACAAGTCTCACTACTGTCTAAGTATTCACATCCCGAAATTGGAGGATTCCCCTGAAATCTCGCGAGAACCTTCTCTGATCTTCAATGGTGGTAGCTTTGTTCTGCTCAATCTTCGCCTTCTTTGTAATCGTAGCCGGACTTCGTCGTCTTCTTCGATTTCGGCGGAGATTTCCTCAGCCTCCTCCTCCAGTACCGACCTCAGCTCCTCCATCGTCGTCGCCATCGCGATCTCTGTGGACTTACGACGTTTTTCTCAGCTTCAGAGGAGAAGACGTGCGGAAAGGTTTCCTCAGTCATCTCTTCAAAGCTCTCACCGACGACGGGATCCATGTCTTCCGCGACGACAAGGAACTCCAGAGAGGGAATTTCATCGGGCCGGGACTATTGGACGCGATCGAGGAGTCGCGATTCGCCATTGTCGTGCTCTCGGAGAACTACGCCAACTCTCGGTGGTGCTTGGAAGAGCTCTCGCACATCACCGAGTGCGCCGTGAAGAAACGCATCGGATTGATTCCGGTTTTCTATGGCATTAACCCGTCTGATGTGAAGAGGCAAAGCGGGAGCTTCGAGAGGGCCTTTGAGGAGCATGAACAGAGATTTGATCTCGAGACGGTGGAGAGATGGAGAAAAGCTTTCGCTCAAGTCGGGAAGATTTCCGGATGGGATTCCAGAAACTGGTGAGCGTAATCCTTCATCCTTTATCAAATTCTACGAAATGGGTACTCGTTTTCTTCTGTTAATGATCAGAAATTCCACTCTTGAATTCCGTACTCATGGCTTCTGAACTAGCCAGGGCAAGAAGTGTTGCGGCAGCTATGGCGTCCTCATCAACAGATTCTCCATTTTTGAGGATTTGAGGTCTGATTCTTGGCGTGTCTGATGCAGGAACGAGGAGTCAAAGCTTATCGAGGAACTGGTTCAAGATCTGTCGGATAGATTGTTCTTGCCGACATCAAGCGAGACAGGGGAATTAGTCGGAATGAGCTCCCACATGAGAAACATATATCCTCTGCTATGTTTCGACTCCGATGATGTCCGGATGGTAGGAATCTGGGGAATGGGCGGCATAGGTAAAACCACCATTGCAAAGTTTCTTCATAAACGCCTGATGGGTAAGTTTCACGGAGCTTGTTTATTAGAAAACGTGAAAGGAAAGTTTAAGCAACACGATCCCTCGCATTTACGGGAGAGGATCTTGTCGGAGATCTTTCGTAAGAAGGATCTGAACACTTGGGATGGGGATTCCGACGCGATGAAGCGAAGGCTTCAAGGCAAAAAGGTTCTTCTTGTGTTGGATGATGTCGATAACATAGAACAGATACAAGAACTGGCCAAAAGCTCGGAGTGGTTCGGACAAGGAAGCAGAATAATTATAACCACTAGGGACAAACGTGTTTTAGACCAGCATGATGTAGAACACATATATGAAGTCAATCCTCTGAGAACTACTCAGGCACTTCGGCTTTTCAGTAGGCACGCCTTTAAACAGCCACGCCCACTCGAAGATTTTAGAGAGCTCTCGATCGATGTTGTCGAGAGACTTGGAGGAATTCCATTAGCTCTTCGAGTCGTCGGTGCGTCTTTATATCGTCGGGACATATCCTACTGGGAAGACAAAGTACTTGTCCTGAAAAACAATCTCGATAACTCTGTCTTGAGGACATTGAGAGTAAGTTATGACGCACTGGACAAGCAAGAAAAGATGGTATTTCTTTACGTTGCATGTTGTTTCAATGGGGAGTATATGGATCGGGTTAGAAAAGTGCTAGACCTTTTCGTCGTGTCTTCTGGGCGCAGGCCGTTACCTTCGAGGCCGAGCATCATAACTCTGATGGAGAAATGTCTAATTAGCTGTTCGAGCAGAAAGAGGCTGTGGGTTCACGGCTTGCTCCAAGACATGGCCAAGGATGTAATCCGCGACGGAAATGACGACAAACCATGGAAACGCAAGATGCTGTGGGATTTCGACGATATCTACAGTGTATTCTCCGGAAACATGGTAGGGCACAAATTTCTTGTACTCATTCTTCTACTAGTGAATGTCTGTTAGTCTTGAACAGGATTTACGCTTTGTTAAGCAAGTTATTGCAGAATCTGTGAGTTTTTTGGATGATGAACAAATCCTCTCCAACTCGATCGAAGCTTCTCTCGTGCTCGTCTGTTTCTTCCTGTTCAGGTTTAGGCACCTCTTCCCGAGGCTTTCAACCCCGATTACTTGTTTCAACCTCGCCATCCTCTTGGAGCCGAGCGTCTATAATGCCAAAGGGTTTATTCTCTTCCATTGCTAGCATGATATGAGTTGCCAAAGGTCATTGCTCTTGTCGGTAAACTGGCACGACTGGAAGTACTCGGGATTTACATATCCCGGCAGTTCCTTGACAAGACAACCTTGTTCAAGAACCCTTTCCGAGCTGAAGTCTTCGGTGGCTTTCTCCAACTCTTTCGAGCTGAATATCTTCGTTTTCTCTGATAGTTTTGAAAGGAAAAATACATGGGAAGCAACACAACGGAGAGCTTATAAAAGAAAATCTGGAGAGAATTCTCTTAGATTGTTGTATTACTCAGAGAGCACCTTACAACTTTCAAGCCAAAGAAGGTCAAAACAATGAATGAAGAACCTCTTCGCCAAATTTCAAACGGTTATAAATAATCCAATCAAAGAAATAGCCAAATGGTCAGATTTTGCTGATTGAAAGAGCTTTGCATAAGGCCTACGGTTTTCGAGAGAATGCGCAATCTCAAACTGCTTAAATTTTACCAGAATCACTCTGTCGGAAAGAGAATGACTTCCATGCCAGATGGTCTCGACTATCTCCCTATGCTGAGATATCTTCACTGGGACGCTTACAGTCTGAAATCGTTGCCTTCTCGCTTTTGTATGATCTATCTGGTTGAGCTGAATCTCTCCAACAGTTCAGTCGAAACACTCTGGAATGGATCTCAGGTACCGATTCTATCCCTTTGCAGCAATCTTCAAGATGATTCTGCTAAAAGAAAAAAGAGAATCAGCTTTGATCCAATTTTTAATACCATGTAATAATGCTTTCTCGCCTTGCCGTTGTTTTGCCAAAAGGGTATGGACTGATCCTTCTTCTTCTATGTGGCAGGACCTTGAAAATTTAAGGCGTATGAATCTCACCAACTGTAGGAGCCTCGCCGAAATTCCAGACCTTTCGAAGGCGACGAATCTCGAGAGCTTGAAGCTGTCCAACTGCGAAAGCTTGGCCGAGCTCCCGTATTCTCTCGGGCATCTCAATAAGCTCGAGGAGCTGAAACTGAGAAACTGCAAGAACCTCAAGAATCTGCCGGATAACATCAACCTGAAATCCCTTAGGTTTCTCTACCTCGATGGATGCTCGGGTTTAAAAGAGTTTCCGTTCGTCTCCGAGAATATCGAGAAGTTGACTCTGAACGAGACTGCAATCGAAGAAGTGCCGCCGTCGATCGAGCGCCTCTCTCGCCTCTCAGAACTGCGGTTCACTGGATGCAAGAGACTGAAGAATCTCCCCGACACCATTGCTAATCTGGAGTCACTCGGACATCTCGGGCTTGCGAACTGTCCGAACGTCGAGTCGTTTCCGCAGGTAGGAAGAAACATAAGATGGCTGTACCTGAACGGAACAGCCATAGAGGAAGTGCCATCGACGATAGGGGAGAGATCTGAGCTTATTTACCTCAACATGTCGGGTTGCGAAAGGCTTGAAAACCTTCCTCCCGCGTTGAGGAAGCTGACGCAGCTGAAGTATCTGTACCTTCGCGGCTGCTCAAGAGTCACACAGGCTCCCGAGGTCGGGGGAACGGTGAAGGCGCTGGATCTGCACGGGACATCGATAGAGAGAAACCGTCCGTGGGTTGGGACTGGAGAAGAGGAGGAACATGAGATGCCCCGTTGTGAAGTGCCTGTCATAAGGCGGTTTTTCCTCCGGAATGTGAGGGAACACATCAAGAGGAAGAAATCCAGCAGATGAAAGAGTTGCCCCGCGCGCGGGCGAATCAACGGACAAAACAGTCTCCATAAAGCCCATGGGCCTTTTTAAATGGCCCTTTAATTATGACTTACCAATCAAATGGTACTGTTACTGGTACAGACAACTCATTTCGGTTAATAACCCAATAACTGTTTATATATGTACATATAAAAACCCAATGTTCATGATTTTTTTTATTACCCAAAAAACTGAATTCGAACAGAAGGAAACCTTTTTTTTTTCTTCAGAAAATAAGTATTTTATCAATAGAATCTAAAAAAATACCCATGATTATAATTTTTTAAAAATCCAAGAATGGTCCTGTCTAATAACTTATGGATCAAATCCAATAAATTTATCCACTCCACCGCGAATCCGACATTTACACTACAGTATGGCATTGCGAAATCCCTTCTTGTGTTGCAAATTCACGTTCTTTTTGGAGTTGTCTCATTGATAAAATGTGGTTGGTCAAGTTCCACGAAGCAACGCCCACTCCCACTGATATGTTCTTTTTTACCAATCGGTACGAGAAATGATTGAAACTTCTTCAGTACAAAGGAACATAAAACTATCAAAGAACCCTTAGATTCTGACTACTCCCCACTGTTTCTGTAGCTCCCAAATATGGCTGAATTTTGCATTCCCGTGAATCCCCAGAAAGCCCGAAAACATCCATCTCGGATTTTTTCGAGCTTTCTCATTCCCCGGGCCGAAACATTCGTTGTATTTATGTACACAGCTACTGCAAACTACATAATACAAGTGCTGAAAGTAGATTAGTCGTTGGAGATACTTAGCTGTGGTTTCGAAAACTTCCTCTTCTAGAAACACGAGTTGGATCGGCTGCAATTCAAGATTTGTAAGCTTTTTTTTAGCTCAGGAATGCGTAGACCAACGAGTATTAAAAGATTTATCTGATATTACCATGGCGTTGCTCACCATCGCCATCACCATTGTCATCATCATCATCATCATCATCATCATCACCGTTATTACTTGTGAAGAATGGTGTTAGGTAGTTCCTGTCTAGTTCTGTGAAGGAAGCGGCACTGCAGATACACGTAAGAATGGAATAAGTAAACATCTAAAGAGAGATGGTTTCATATGCTCTTCTCTTTCCACCCGGAGATTATATTACCTCTTATGGAACTCTCTTAGCTTTGTTCTGAACCCATTTCCCGAGGATGACACTTCATCGTCATACCGTGTCAAAGTGTAACGATTGTTCATCACTTCAAAGCCCTGAAAATACGCATCAGTGACAGGTAAGTTGAGGAGGAAATTAACATCACACACTGACTCTGCCTATGCAGAAACTATTTTCCCGTTTACTTACTTCACCAAGGGCAGCATCATGGTTATCGCCTACAACCTCTAGGGCTTCTAGCATTGTACCGGTAGATCCTCCAATTAGCAAAACCTGAATCAGTTCCAAGCCAACATAACAAGAACCATCAATATCCAACACAACAAAGCAAAGTGGACTAGAACCATCTCATCAGGAACCATTTCTTCTGGAGAAGGATAGATTACCGTCAGAACAACAATGGTTGTGGTTGCTGAGAATATGGTTTGGCCATGTCCTTCTGGGAGATCGTGAATAGATTGCAAAGCAAGCGCAAATGCCATAGCCCCTCGAAGTCCTACATAGTAATTCGCATGTATCACACATCAATTACAAGCAGGTACAGAAAAAAGATTATCTAAAAACTTGAACCAAGTAATGGTATCTTACCGCTGTACCAAAGTGCTTTTTGATGTTTAATTGGAATTTTCCTATGTGAAGGTCGCACCAAATTGACCAAATATGCACATCCAAAGACATTAGCGGCCCTGAACATACCGAATGATATGACTGTCAACAACTGGCACATCGCTTCTTAAAAATGAAGACTTAATAGTGATAATGTAAAGAGAGCAGAAAAGCAAACATGCCCACCTTGCAACTCCGATAAACAGCTGAGGTTAGTCACAAAGCAGATAAAGCAGGTTAAGGAATAAAAACAATTATAGGCAGTGAAGTAACGATTGAATCCTAGTACTCTGAAAAAATGAATGAGGATACAATGGAGAAAAATATGAACCCAAGATGTGACCAACTATGCCTTTCTATGGCAATATCAAAGCCCATGTAAATAAACCTGCAGAATTGAATGACAGAGTCAGGTATCATCACAACTGTTAGAAAAATCAAGTGTCGATACGCATGACTATAAGAAGTGGATGCTTACGTAAATGTCTCTGCGAGTGATGATATCAGATGAAAAAATGCAGAAACAAATCGTTGAGAATTTTCAGACAAGTTTGAGTAGGTGTAATGCTTCATGACCTGAAAAGGCCAGCAGTTCCTATCAGAGCACTTAAGTTTGACTGAGAATTATATAGCAGAATATCTATGTTATTAATGACTACTTACAATTCCAGTAAACAGAATAGATACAATGCCAGATAGGCCGACACCTTCAGCAAGCATGTACCTAGCACAAGTAGAAGGAAGTTCAATAAGAGAGAGAGACTGTACAAGTACAATCTCTAAAAGATTAAACTAAACGACACAAATAATGGCTAACATGGCGGAAAAATCAGCTATGGATTGCTTACGAGAAATATGGAAAAAGCACAAAGAGGCAGCACTCCAAGTTCTGCAGGCTGAGAAAAGAAGAAAAGCAAAGGGAGTCAGCGAAAGCCAGCGATTGGCATCCAAAATCAAGACATTGTCACTTACTTGTCAATATCTAGAGCAGCATACTTGAAAAGGTGCTTTGCATTAAGGCTAACAATTCAGCCAATGACACAGAATGTAAGTGAAGAAGATTTGATTGTGAAAAGAAACAGTGAAAAAAGGATATCAGAGCAGAAGTGAATCCAACTCCAACCCCTGCAGATTTCACATGAAATGCATTTCAATAATCCACGAAGATACACTTATAGAAATATATATAATAAATGGAAGCACATCATGAGGACGCTTAAAAGGGCAATTGACTTTCTTTTCTCGGGCTTGTTTAACTAGATTGAAACTTTCAGAAGAACTATAGGTTACACATTCTACATAAAGAATATTGTTACTGCATGATCAAACTCAAGCAATACCACACTATTTCAAGCCGATATAGAGCTAATAGAAACAGACCTGCAGATAACGAGCCAATAAATGTCTCGAGAAACCTGACTATCACGATAAGGAAGTTTTGCTCATATGAGTGGCTTCTCACCAAGGACATTGTCCTGCATCCCAGTGCACGAATTAGCTAAGAACATTACCATGTGATACAATCGAATTCTGAAGCCAAACATAAACTAGTTTACATACCTGTACAGGGATATTGCCATCTGTTAATCAAGTAACATGCCAAGGAGATAAAACACCATAAGATTGAATCTTTTCCTTTCTTACATATCCGATATCAGCACTGGGAAATATTTATTTAAAGACTACAACTTACAGCATCGTTTAAAACAGATTCCCCAAACACCAGTGCATACAAGTTCACATCTGTGCCAAGCTCCTGCAAGTTGACACTGTTATACATGATAACCGATACTACGACAAATATAAAATTCATGAAAACATATTGACTGAAGCCCACAGAACGTTCATAAAAAAACAGAACCATCCCAGAAAACAGTACCTGAAATATGGACAAGACAGTGACAGGATCTGTAGCTGAGATAAGCGAACCAAACATGAGACACTCAACTAATGGAAGTTTGTAGATGAGGTACATCGCACCGCCAAGGTACCTAAAACAGAAACAGAAGAAGAGAAAATCAGGAAACCGGAAAAAAGTGAACATATATATCCATTCAGAGATGTCAGAAAACTTACACCAGTAAGCCAGTAACAATGGAAGCTACAAAGGTTCCAAGGATGGCAAAGGTGACAATGGCCCCAAAATTGGAAAAGAAAGGTTTCTGCATCAAAAAAACCCAATGGTTACAAGAGCATTGTCACGAATATGAAAGCAAGCCTCTGATCTGAGATAGTAAAACTGCAAAAACAAAAGCCAGAGATGAGAGCAATTTGCACTTACGGGTTGTAGGCTGAACCCTGACTGAGTACAAACAAGTGCGTCAAGGAAAAAACCACATCTTTTTTGGGGATTATGAATGGATGACAATAACATAAGGGCCTAAGTAGAACGACACACAGATGCACATATTCATTCACATATGAACTGAAGTAGGATATAATATGATCGGTGGAAGCAGAAACAGAAAGAAGAATTCTTCATGGAAATTGAACCATGCCCTGGAAAGGAAATTAATCAAAAACGCGAAAAATGATTAGAAATTAAAAATACCAAAACATATATATATTAGGGTGTGTATACATACAAATGCAAAAAAAAAAAAAGCACCTTTGAGTTTCCAGGTCATGGAAGAACGGGTTAGAAAACTAGAAATAAAAACAAATGAGAATGTACTAAAACAAATTAAGAGCTTTCAAGAACCTTATGCTTGTCTCCGTGTTCGAAATGTTTGCTAAACCACCGACGATCAACCCTAAATTCCACGAATTTTGCAAGGAAACAGAATCAAAAGAAGATGAAGACCAAAGATGGAAGTGAAGACGATCACAATGCGAGCAAAGAAGAAGAAGAAGAACGAACCGATGAGAAGAGAGGCACTAGCTTCGGGAAGATAATAGAACTTGTGACGGCGAAGGACATGTCCGAGGACGAAGGAGAGCACGAGCATCATGATCTGCAGAAGAATCCCGACTCCGGCGGCCTGCTGCTGCTTCACCTGACCTTGAGGGTCGTGATCCGACGGCGAAATCTGCAGCTCTCCCAACACCGCCATTTCGGCGCCTCCAAAACAAATTCTAGGGTTTCTCTCACTGTTACTTGGTCTCGATTTCTCTCCTCCTTCTAGGTCTTCTACTTCGTCTTCGTTTCCGCAGAATCACGGAACTGAATTGATGAGAATTCTTCAAACTCGGAGATCAGTATGCTTTTTTTTTCTTAAAAAAAAAACTCAGAACGCGTTTTATAATTTATGGGCCTGATAAAACACTACCCAATAGGCTTGATATTTGTGGCCCATGTCATTTAATTCAGCCCAAATAAATTTTGTTACAGATAAAAAAAAAACCCATAAATATCATAGTTTTTTTAAATTATTTCGGGGCAACCAAACTACACCATTTTCTAAATTTTAAATTTAAGAACTCTATTTGCAGCTTTTGTAACCATAATTTGCTTAAAAACGTTAAAAGTTTTTCCATTTGAAATCATAAATTTTTCAAAATGGTTAATGTCATTTTCAATCAATAAAATAATTTTGTTAAAGTCTTCTTTTTTAAGTTACGATTGGTAAATTAAAATGAGTTGCCGTAATGTCGGAGACTTCTTTTTTGGCTGCATCGTACCCACCCGTTTTCAGCATGAGAATCGCCCAATAGAAGGCAGCCACGTGGCGTGTCCTAAACGGGGAGGAAATCCATATATCGAATGTGAATGTGATGTTATCCAACAGCGAAATTCATACATTTACAGAATCCGTCATCCATTGTTGTTCTCTTCTTCCCTCGGATAGAATCGGTTGCTTACAGTGATTATATGGGTCGTGAAAAATCATTTTAAAATAACATAATTATGTAATACAGAATTCTAAAAATATACCGAAACAATGAATTCGATGATTGCAATTAAAAAACACATGCAGGCATTTATCATTTGTATGTACCTTATTTTTATATCAAAGACAACTTTGAGTATGCTGAAGATGCACCACGCATTCGAAAAATCTCATCATTTCCTAAAGAATAAACCATTTTTTTCCTAGCCCCTTCATGTATATTGTGTCACTCCAGCGTAAAAAAAAACAATAACAACGGAAACATTATACAGTAATTGCCGAAATAAACCACTATAATATGATAGAATAAAATTGGTAAATGAAATTTTACCCAACTTTTATTTTTGTATCCAGGTACCTGGACTCACAAAGCCTCAGCTGTTGTTCTCTCCGGTTCTCACAGACAGGTTTTAAGGTGGTCGGAACCGTGCCCTCTTTCGCCGGCTTTGTAACCCGACACGACAGAAATCAGACCTGGAATGTGTACAGTTACAGGGTTAAGGATTCCTGTGTGGAAACGTTGAAAAGGATCAGAGAAAGACGAGTTTTAGAACCGAAGCTTTTACTTGGGCGTGTTCCGTTTTGTATTTCTGAAGTTCCTCCTGGACGCAGACTAGTCTAGGAAGACGACAAAAAACGAAGCTAAAAACCCGAAAAAAGCTAACGACTAACAACATATTCTTACAGGTGGATGATTTGACGAAATGTACCTCCATTGAAGGTCGGTGATTTCGTTGAGCAACTCTTTCTCCCTCTCGTTTGCTGCTTCGAGCTGAGAGATTCCACATAAAGAACAATTCCGTGTTAGTTCCCAGCGATAAGGTAATCTGAAGGACACATTTGAATGAAGAATGCACCAAAGGTTTTTAAAGGGACTGCATACAAATGATTTCTCTGTAGGAGGTAGGCTTGGTTGTTGTATACTTCCTGAGTCGATTGGACGACCATCTACCACGCAAGATAAAACAGAGATGTAAATCACTCGGGACGAAAATTTTCATAGGGACAGAAACAGAGATGTCGAGCGAACAATCGCATGAACCAACCTGTAGATTCTCTAGTGGCGAGTACCTTCATCATATGCAGGATGTTATCCTGTTTAAAACAGTATAAAATGTGCATTGAATGATACCGTTGTTAACAACAGTTACGAAGAAAAGAGAAGAATCCAAGCAAAAGGCATACCCTTTCCAAAATATTTGTCTGCAGAATAGGATAAACCAACTGGTACACGTATGAGGTTGCAAGATTCGGTGATGCGGCATCAGACCCTGAACCAGGCGAGGGATGTTGGCAGAGCACCTACATGACCCCGAAATGTTTGCCCTTAAAAAATCCCGGATGAACAGTAGCGGTAATAGACAGTTGCATTGAATCTACAGCTGATCATGCTGGCCTCAGAACTACTACCAACCTGCATGCTGTGACTCTTTTGTAGAATCGGAGAGGGAACCGCCTGAAAAAAATATATAATGTGAATACGAGAAAGCCAACCAGATGAACATTAAGGAGAATGAGACAAAATTCTTTTCCCACAAGTCACCTTGTCTATTTCAAGATTTTCTGAAGTTACTTTGAAACGTCCTCGTAGCTGCACAACTGGTGGCTTTGATTTGCCGTCAGATTCATCAATGGGCACTCCTGCCAACACCATCTTATTTGCTTAGAAACACGGGTCAGCAGGCATTAAAAGAATGAACTTCAAGACATATAGAAATCCCGGGGGTTAAACGCACCTGATGAGTTAGATGCTTTCACAGGCAGCTCTGTAAGCATTCCATCTCCTTCAAGCGTAGAGACTACTGCATTGCTGGTTGGGACATTCTGGATCTGGTCTCGTGCTTTATCTCTGAAGAATCACACATTAATTAAATATTTCAAAATCATGTGCACTGTATGTCATGTTATCGCTGAAGACCACTATTCAGCGTGTTTAAAGCCTTTTAGGAGGTGAGCATGTGATATAACGGTTAAGCAACAAGAGCTAGAAATTCAGATCAAACAAAACTTGAACTGTAGCTATGTGTTAGAAGACTAACTTTTCTTCTTTAATGGGAGCAGAATTGCTATCTGGTGAAACTGCACTGCCTGCTAAAACCACTGTTCCCAAATTGGAGGGAATTGATGCAGAATTTGAAGACTTCTCAGAGATTGCGTGCAAGCTCCCACCATTTGTATTGTTTACAGATTGATCGTCAAGACGAGGAGAAGAAAAGACGTAGTTATCATAACTGGGGCTGGCAAGGCTTGAATCATCATCAGATTTATCTGATCGGACCCTGATAAATCATAGTATTCTTTGTTCAGTCTAAGTTCAGTTCTAAATAGTTTCTAGTCATAAGAATGAGAATTCATGCCCACCTCGTCATACTTAGATTTCGGTCAATCAGGTGTTGAAGAGGTCTATTTGCGACATATTCATGATCTTCCTGCAGAGACAAGATTATAAGGAAATGTAAACGACCTTGAATAAATAACAAGCAAAGATAATAAATATTTCTAGCACCAAGCTCTGACAAACAAACATTTCTGAGCTACAAGAAGCCACCTGGGTCTCTGATTGCACATCCAGTGAATCTAGTGCCGGAAAATAACTTGAGCTACTGTTCTCAGCTAAGCAATCGTCAAAGTCCTGGATCTGATGAAAAATAAAATCATCAAGGTATGACATACGAAGAACTTTACTGTGACAGCTATATAAGGATTAGATGAGACCAAAGTTGTACCAGTGATGCCTGGGCTTTCATATCTTCAAGATTGAAATTCCACCCACTAATACCTCTTTTATATTCATTCTGCATGTTATTATGATAAGAGGTTACGGGCTAAATACATATGTATATCAAACAACAATGTGTACTTGGAATTCAAATCCAAATAAGAGTAAAAACAGGTTTCTCTTTCTAGTAACGAATAAGAATAAAATCAGAACTAGTAATGGAAAACATGAACCTGTGACAATTCCTCCTTCTCCCCATCTGGCATTTTCTTTTGTGCGAGCATATCTTCTTCCTTTCTCTACATTTGGAAAGTATAGCACCCATCAGTATAGCTATATGATGCCATGGGTAGTTTTAAAATAAAACCATGAACTCATAGTAGGTTCGATGGGTCTAACCTTTATAGCCTGCACGCGATCAACAAGATCTGGCAACCCCTCCAGAACTTTCCGCGCAATGTAATCGCTAGACCTTGCTTGTTTGAAAAAGGAATGCTTTAACAGCTTCTTAGCAGTGGGTCGTTTGGTAGGATCTTTAACCAGACAGCTGGCAATCATCTGCTTGAAAGACTGAAGAAAATACCAGGAAAAGAGACGAAGTTGGAATCATGATGGGCAACAATTCGTACCAGAACGTTAAATTTTCTAGTGGGAAACAAAAAATGGAGCGCTAAGGTTTCCATATGGAACATACCCTAGAAAACTTTCTATCTCTTTCATAATCCAGCCCAGGCGGTGCACTTTGCAAGGTCATAAGCAGAACCTGGAACCGCATCTTTGTTTTAGATTGGATATGTTTATGTGAATCTCTTTCATGTTGAAATGCAAAACTTATAAGGCCTATGAACCTTCATTGGTGGATACTTGGAAAAAGGAGCATGACCATGAGCAAGCTCTAAAGCGGTTATACCAAAAGACCAGATATCAGCCCTGAAAGGGAAGTTTAAAAATAAAGTGTACCGACTGTTATCCTTCCTAATCAATTAAAAAAAAAGTCGAATGAGATAAATCTGCATATGGGGGATAAATAACTTGAAGTCATAACCATGTAACTGCTCCATAACCTCTGGAGCCATCCTGTGTAAACGAGAATTTAAAAGATACAGTAGGTCATGAATATGAAGTCCGAATGTATACACAGTCGGCACACTTCACGGTAATAAGAAATCGAGTCAAGCCCTAATGAATTTGAAAGCACTTACCAGCAAGGTGTTCCCACGAATGTATTCCTTGTCCGTTGCCTATCACCTGAGTCAAAGAGGCAGGCAGATACACCAAAGTCTCCTAATTTGATTCCACCTCGAGCACCGATCAGAATATTACCAGCCTAAATGGATAAACATAATAAGATCATTGTGACCGAATAAAAAGAAAATGAAGATGGTGAACAAGTTCTATTACTGGAGGTTAGAATGAATCATTTGTCTCGCGATAACCAAAGTGTTTACAACAAAACTTCTCCAGTCATTCTGATAGTGAACATGGTTGGAGCATCATGCACAACTAAGATATAACACGAATTTAATAAATGCTAGCAGATAATTGAAAAAACACAGCATATCTGAAAGGATCAACAACTGACTTTCACATCCCGATGTATGAGGCCATGTTGATGAAGATACTCTAAGCCCTTCAAGGCTTCGCGCAATACTGTAGCTATAACAGCCTCCTCTAAACCATCTTGATACGCGGCTTTTAGTATATGAAGACAAGAACCACCAGACATGTATGGCATGACAACCCATAAGTTGTGATCACTAACAAAGGAGCAATGTGATTTCAGCAGATTGGGATGGTCAATCAGCATCATCGTCTGTGCTTCACGAGAAATGTTGTTCTGCGATAGAAAACGTATAAGAGCAGAAACCATATAAATTCAACAACTTGACGACGAAACTACCCTTAATTATCCAGAGGGTAAGGCAAGCAACAAGAATCACCAGATCACAGTTATCGCGTTCAAAATCAAGAATCTTGACTGCGACGATTTCATTGAACGGTATGCACAAAGCACGATGAACCGAAGCACTGACACCTTGCCCTACCGCCTCGTAAAGCGTGTAATGCTCCGGTCCGATCGGATATTTCTTCTTGTCCATCTTTCAGATCCCTGCCTCTCTACATTCAAAAGCAGGATTTCAAAACAAATACAAAATACGAATTTCCACAGCAACAAAATGGGAAAATGTACCTTCGAATTCCAAACAAACGATAAATCCAATGGCACTTTGACTTAAACGTACTCGCAGGACCTCATGCGTGGATATGGAGGGAAAAAGTACGATAGGGCGCACTAAAAGAGAAGCTTTTGGAATAACCTTTTTAGTGGACAAAAAGAGAAAGGAGAATCAGAGATTGCCTGGAATTCGGCGGAGACAACGCGGATGCAGCTGAGAAAAGATGCAGGAGTCCTAATGCCAATTCAGACGCTTCTACAAAGAAAATTCAAATACGTGATCTTGTCGAAATCATAAACAATAATTATACCTAAACAAAAAACCGAAAGAGGCGGGGGAGAAAAATCATCGAACAAAGGAAAAAAAGATTACGTGCGTGGAAAAGGAAAGAGATATATCGTGAGGACGAAGATGTTTGATGACGATCGTAACGTTTCCTCTGCTAGTTTGCGCACTTTCTATTCGAATTTTCCCGAGAAAATCATCGAAAAGAAAATGTGAGAAAGACAGAGAGAGATGCAGTCGGACAGAGCCGTCTCATAAAATTTTGGGGCCCGTACATATCATACTTTTAAATTATTAAAATATATTAATTTATATATTAAATAATAATAATATTTAAATATAATTAAAATAGTTTTTTTGTTGAGACTCCATACACATAATTATTAAAAATTACATTTAATAATATATATTATTAATAATTTTTAAAATAATTGAGGCCCTATATTTTTTGGGGCCCTGTTCGATCGCACCTTTTGCACGTGCTATTAGACGGCTCTGCAGTCGGATCGCCGCTCAAATCCCGCCACTTCAAGCCTTCATTTCTTTCCTTTTCTCTTCTTTTCAAATACGCTCCTGATTAATATAAAGCCAATATCAAACTTCAAAACAAATGCACAAATTTTAACCCACAAACGTTTCACGTCTTTTTTTTTCCAAATTCTTAAAAAATATGATTTTATCTAAAAATCTGAAAAAAATTATATTTTTATAAATTTCGAAATTCTTTTATTAATATGAAAATTGATAATAAATTATTTATATAAAATTTTCTCTAATGATTGTTTTTGAATAATTTAAAAATAAATTTAAATAAAAAAAAACTACAACTTTCAAAGTAATAACAAATACAGAAAACCATATAAACCGATCGGGCATAAGATAATAAATAGCTCGTGTGAGTGCCAGAGAATCATGTGATCAACGCACTCTTTTTCATTGCTGGTTAAGACCCAACATGATTATATATCCAAATAATTTTCACCACAAAGTAAGAGCTACAAGAACATAAAACAAAACGCCTCTAAAAAGGATTTTTTATGGAACGGCATGTGCAATATAAATGGACCTAAACCTAAATAATATCCTTTCGGCATATAAATGGACCTAAACCTGATACGCTTGGCTAAGGCCCAAAAAGGGCACATAGAGAGGCCCATTAAAAGCCCGATAAGTGTGTTTGTTAACACCGAGACAGACCGGCCCAACTAAGGCCCAATAGTGTCTTTGTTAGCTGGAAAAACCGCGTGCTCCGCCTCGAGCCGTGACCGAACGGAGATAGGTTTGCTCGGGGAGGCCGCTGGAGAGAGAACGCGTAGAGAGTCGTGCCGGCGGAGGAGAATTCCGACGAGATTCAAGGTTGTTTCGCCCATTTTGGGTGTCGGAGCAGTTAGAATCAGCTGCTGTTTCTTCAGATCTCTAGTTAAGCGTCAGCTCGTCTGTTTCACTGGTTCGTAATTTGTGTTCCTCTTTATTTGCTTCGATCTGTGTTGATTTCGTCCCGATGATATTTCTCCGTGTTTCGTTGGTTCTCATCATGGAATTTCTCTGCCATTGATCGTAAATTATAGTTAGTCTTTGAATTTCGTGGATTTTCTCTCCTCATGTCTCTCGGAAATTGTTTTTGGAAACTATGATTAGAGACCCAGCTTCATCGTAATGCCAATGAAGGATGTATGCTTTTGACGTCGGTAAACATCGTGGGAATCGATCAAAACGACATCTCATTTGCCACTCATATGCTGTTCTTGGGTCCTGTTTCTTCTCGCATTAGTGGCCTCACCTTGAAATTTCATCAGTCATGGTGGAAGATTGTTTGAACGATTTACCTCATTTAGATCTCATCCTGCCCACATCCTGACTTTTCAAACGGGTTTTCAAATGATTGTGTAACATTGCAGGTTTCCATCATGGTTCATGATGGGACCGTGTCTTCGCCGGTAAGAAGGTCCCAATCTATGAGGAAGCAGTATGAGTTGGGTAGCTGTTCGACGCTTGTCCAAAGGCATCGGTTCCTCCTAACGGCTCTGGTTCTATTGGTGTTCCTCTGTACCATTTATCTCTATTTCGCCATAACCATAGGCTCTAGGCACTCATGTACTGGATTGACCGGAAAAGACAAGGCAATTTGTCAACTTGAGCATGCCCGTTCCAGTGTCTCCAATGGGAAACTGAAATTCTTGTAAGAATGGCAATGGAGGCTGTAACCATTGTTCTTTGAGCCAACCATTCTTTCTCTGTATACATGTGTGTATGTGTTGGAATGATGAAATCAAATCATGCCCAGGAGCGTTCAATTCGTCTTGCATCTCGTTAAGATATTGAAATATTTGAGGCTTGATATAATCACGAATCTCAAGGTAGGGGTGGGCGTTTCGGGAAACGGTTCGGGTTTGGGACGGGAATTGATCGGTTCGATTCTTTCGGTTTTACAAAAATAGGTACCAATTGGTTTTTATATTGTATTCGGTTCGGTTCGGTTTCAGTATCAGTTCGGTTCGGTTCCGGGTTTTATTAAAAAAAGGATAGATTTTTTTAAAAAATATTCGGTTTTTCGGGATTTTTTTTTTGGTTTAATGTGATTGTTATATTACTACCAAAAAATAATCCGAAGGTTTACATGAATTTAACATGTACCACAGATCCCGAGAGATAATGATTCCTATTACAAGTGAACAAAAATAACGAAGACTTAAATCTCAGTCATAATACATAAGGCGATACCATTGTTGGAGTTGGAGGGGGTCATTTGATCCGGTAGAATCCGGCTTGTGCAAGGATATGAGTATGTTCCGCATTATCCTATCGATCTTGAACCGCAATTGTTGTGGCGAGTTTGCGACGTCTTTATGTGTCCGTCCATTACGTTCCTTCCAAATCTCGTATACTACTAGTTGCAAGAGAAGACTCTTGATTAGCTTTGTTGTCCGTTGGGTTGTCGTGAGATGTTGATTAATCCACGGCCCGGCGTCCACAACCACTCTAGGGGGAGAGTCTCCAAGATTTCCTGCAAGGGAGAGCCACACATCCGCACTATATTCGCAGCAAAAGAATAAGTGAGATAGGGTTTCAACTTCCTTCCGGCATAGTATGCATCGACTCGGCCCTTGTATCCCCCAGCGAGCCACTCTATCCGAAGTCGGTAGTCTTTGGTGAAGGACCTGCCATAAGAGGAATGCATGCCTGGGTATGGCTTTCTCAAACCATACCAGGCCAAACCATGAAACCGGAGCAGCCGGGGTTCTGATTTTGTCCCACGTAAGTCTTGAGACAAATGTCGGATGATAGTTGTCGTCATTCTTTCTCCAAAGCGGTTGGTCAGAGCCGTTGTCCGGGCTTGGGGGTTCCATTCTCGAGAGTATGGTCTGTAGTTGTTGAACCCGCTCGTTCCTTGCTCCTCGGATTAGCCAACTTCCCTCGTGGACTGCATCCTTAACTCTCGCTGTCTTCGGTAACCTCAGGAGGCGAGGTCCGACCATCCCGATGAACTCAATGAGAGGTCCAATCTCCAACCAACTGTCATACCAAAAGGATGCGTCTCCTCCATCTCCAAGCTGGATCCTAGTGAACTCCCTGGCTCGTTCCTTCAGCCGTAGCAACTTCTTCAAATTCCATGTTGCCCCGACGTTTTGTGGGCATTCCCAGTAAGTCCTCCCTTTGAAGACGTTTGCTCTGATCCATGCGACCCATATAGAACCTGCTTTACTCAAGAGCAACCATATTAGTTTTAACCGAAATACCGTGTTTTGTACCTCCATCCGCCGTAAGCCTAAACCCCCTTCACGCTTAGGTTTGCAAACCGTGTCCCATGCTATACGGTGGCTAGGTTTCTTTTCTGGTCCTTGTTGCCAAAGAAAGCTAGAGCAGAGGCTGTCGATCTCTTTTAGTAGAAATTTTGGAAGAACAAAAGTCATCGCCCAGGAGTTAACGATACCAAATATCACCGAGGTCACTAACTGGATCTTTCCTGCAGCTGAGAGGAATTTTGTTGTCCAACCATCAAGCTTGGCCCTAATCCTTTGCAATAACGGCTGAAAATCAGCTTTCGTTAGGCGCGATGGACTTAAAGGAACACCCAGGTAGCGCACGGGGAGGCATCCCAACCCAATACCGAAGGCCGCCGAGATAGATCTCTTCTCACCATCGGATAATCCCGCCAAGAACAGCTCTGATTTATCTGGGTTGATCCGTAGCCCCGAGATTACTCCAAACTCAGTTAGAATGTTCTGGACTTCGGACAACGATGATAGGTCTCCTTGGGTAAATATCATGACATCATCTGCGAATAAGAGATGAGTGATCATCAGATTAATACAGCGGTGGTGCAGGGATAGTCGTCCATCTGCAACAGATCTGTCCAATAGTCGAGTAAGAATCTCCATTGTCATGATGAAGAGATAGGGAGACAGGGGATCCCCTTGTCTTAATCCCTTTCGACCTTTAAAGTACCCCGTTAATTCTCCATTGATGGCCACCGAGAATTTAGGAGTTGTAATACATGTAGCAATCCACTTGACGAACACCGTCGGAAGATTAATGGCTCTCAAAAGTTGGATTATAGTTTTCCAATCTAGGGTGTCGAATGCCTTTCTTATATCTAGCTTTAGCATCACACTCTTCCTCGATGAAGTCCTGTTGTACTCTCGTATGATCTCCGATGCAAGCAAGACATTCTCAATCATCAATCTACCTTTGAGGAAAGCATTTTGATTATGAGAAACCATCTCTAGAGCTACGTGTCTAAGGCGACGTACAAGAATGGTGGAGATTATCTTGTAGATGGTATTGCAACAACTGATAGGACGGTACTCTGATAACCTCGTCGCTTCTGTCTTTTACGGGATCAGAACTATAGTGGTAGCATTAATCTGGCCTAATAGGTTCCCGGAGCGGAAGAAATCCCCAACAGCGCTTACCACTGCACCACCTACAATCTCCCAACTCTCGGTGTAGAACTCCTTGGGGTAGCCATCGGGCCCGGGAGCTTTATTGTCCGGTAAGGAGAAAACTACACTCTTGATCTCATTGTCGGATGGAATAGCGGCCAAGTCTATTGCTGAATTCCTGTCCCACCTGTACGAGACTAGACCCTGCAACCATGCTAGTGACGGAGTGCGAACACTTATGTCTCGTTCCCCAACAAGTCCAAGTAGAAGTTCAATGCATGCTCTTTAATCTGATTTCCCTGGTTCAGTCGATTTCCTTGGTCGTCTACTAGGAAGTGAATATGGTTCTTGGCTGCCCTTTCTGCTGCACAGTGGTGGAAGAAGGAAGTGAATACGGTTTTTCGGGATTTTTAAAGTTCGGTTCGGTTTCGGAAAAATTAGGTTCTCTAAAAATGGTACCGTTCAGAATTAAGAACGGTTTCGGATCGAGAAAAATACCGTTTTTTCGATTCGGTTCGGTTCCGAAGAACCGAAACGCCCAGCCCTAACTCATGGTGCGTTTTTTTTATGGATGTTCAAGGCTAATGCTCCAGGTGCAACACATCATGGCAAGGTACACATGCATGCATAGAGTGGTCGATCCGACACAAATGAGCATTTTTATAAGGCACCACAGAAATCAGAAAGTGCAAGAAACATTACTACCAAACACGCATTCTTTGTTTCTTTTTGTTCTTTTTAATTGAATCTTGAATCTATATATAGTTTTTTTATTTTTATATTGCCGTTATATCTTGTTCCTTTGTCCTCGCCGAGAAACCGCGTACGAATCGACCCCCCTCGAGACGTAACGGAACGAAGGAGAGATCGTATACATTCGGACCGGCGGAGGAAAATCCCGGCGAGATTTGAGGTTTCTTTGTCGGCCTTTGGGCAGCGGAGGAGCCAGAATCCGCTGTTCTTCTTCAGATCCGTAGCTGATCGGGAGCTGTTCTGTTTCCGCCGGTTCGTATCTTCTGCTCTTCTTTGTCTGATTCGTTCTGCGAGGATGATTTCATGACTGGGTTTGGTTTGTTTTTCTTTGGATCTCGCATTTGGAGTCAATTCTGGTTGAGTTTTTGAATCTCTCCAGCCACGGCTATGGAGACAGATTGGATTTTCACATCTGCTTTCTCTTTCTATGGAAAATGTTCAGATTCTCTAGAAAAATATGTCCTTTTTGCGGCTTTAGCTGTTGTTTCTATAACTCGTTTTCATCTTGAAATTCAGTTATCCGTTTAGAAAGGAATGTCGTGTAATGGTTTCATGATGAACACAGCTCAGAACTCACCTCCAACCCGTTGGATCTCTTGTCAAGACCCTTACTTTCTCGCAGGAGAAGGTCTTGTCTTCTGCACAAATGCTTACATTGAACTCAAAAACGCATGTGTCATTACAGGTTTCTTGATGCTCTGTCATGTCTTCGCCTGTAAGAAAGCCGCAATCTCTGATGAAGAAGCAGTGGGATGAGTTGGGAAGCTGTTCCAAGGTTGTTCAGAGACACCGCTTCCTCTTGACAGCTTTGTCTCTTCTCGCCTTCCTCTGTACCGTCTATCTCTATTTCGCCGTCACCTTAAGCGCGAGCCTTCCTTGTACGGGCCTCACCGGAAAAGACAAGGCAATGTGTGAGCTTGAACATGTCCAGAAGACCACAGCCTCCAAAGGGAAACTCAAGTTTTTGTAGAGTTTTAATCATTGTTCTTCTTGAACTTATCATTCTTTTTTTTTTGTGCTCTTTCTCTACACGATTTGCGTGTACTGAATGGCAGATAATATATACAACGGCGTTCTCTCTCTCTATATATATATCGTTTGAACTTTGAAGCTTCCTTGTTTGCAGGAGAGTGAACCCTTTTCGTCGTAAGCAAGTTATTGCAGAATCTGTGAGTTTTTTGGATGATGAACAAATCCTCTCCAACTCGATCGAAGCTTCTCTCGTGCTCGTCTGTTTCTTCCTGTTCAGGTTTAGGCACCTCTTCCCGAGGCTTTCAACCCCGATTACTTGTTTCAACCTCGCCATCCTCTTGGAGCCGAGCGTCTATAATGCCAAAGGGTTTATTCTCTTCCATTGCTAGCATGATATGAGTTGCCAAAGGTCATTGCTCTTGTCGGTAAACTGGCACGACTGGAAGTACTCGGGATTTACATATCCCGGCAGTTCCTTGACAAGACAACCTTGTTCAAGAACCCTTTCCGAGCTGAAGTCTTCGGTGGCTTTCTCCAACTCTTTCGAGCTGAATATCTTCGTTTTCTCTGATAGTTTTGAAAGGAAAAATACATGGGAAGCAACACAACGGAGAGCTTATAAAAGAAAATCTGGAGAGAATTCTCTTAGATTGTTGTATTACTCAGAGAGCACCTTACAACTTTCAAGCCAAAGAAGGTCAAAACAATGAATGAAGAACCTCTTCGCCAAATTTCAAACGGTTATAAATAATCCAATCAAAGAAATAGCCAAATGGTCAGATTTTGCTGATTCCTTGCTTGTCGTTGTCCATGCCATCCATTTCAACATCCTCGACGTTTCCTTCCGTCGCGGTTAATCGCTGCTGTAGCAGTAATCCCTCGTTACGGTTGAAGAGACCCTTCGCTCGGTTCATCTTCTTCTGCCTTCTGATAAACTTGTACAACCACCAGGCTCCAATGGCTGAAAGCAGTACGCCGAAACCTACACAAACACCAGCATAAACCATAAAAATGGCCCCCCAAAAAAAAATCACGGGCCTTTGCCTTTCTCATCGTGAATTCGAAAGCGAAAAACCAGATGACTTACCTAGAACGATCGGCCACGTTTTCTTGCCCTCGCACGTGTAGTATCCCTGATGGTTCACACACCTCTTTCCCCGACATGAATTGCGTACTTCTACCGTATTTTCCTCGCACTCATCGATATCTACCTCGAAGAACAATGGGATATTAATTTCATTTTACGGATCTTAGTTTGATTTCTCGAGGCTTTAGGATAGTGAATGAAGCATAAATAAAAAAATACCTCTGCATTCGCTTGAAAGATATGGGTTTCCTCTGTAACCATTGTTGCATCTGCAGCTTCTATAGCTACGCTCGGAATAGTAACCGTAAAAACAGATGCAACCCGTTTCGCTACTGTAACTTCCAGCTTCCGTCACGTTTAAGCAACCTTCGAAGGAGTTTTCAGACAGATTATCTGACATATCGACGAACCATCCTAACTCTACCACCGCTTGTCCCTTAGCATAGAGCAGTTCCGGCTGAGTTATGTTCGACGGGGAATATGTCTCGTCTGTTAAGAAGGCAACTCTGCAGGTCTTTCCCGTTATGTTACCATCGACCCTCTCTATTCTGACACCGATTAGCTGAAGACGAGCAGTTGGTATTTTTGCTTGGCAACATCTGTAACCATTGCAGCCCGTGTTTTGTCCTTTCGAGTCCAGCCCTTCATGGCAAATGGACTCACACCCTCCGATCTGTGGCTCGACATTCGTCATCACCGCCCTGTTGTTGCAACCGACGGCTACGAGGCTGTTACGGCCTGTGAGGAAGAAGGGACTGCCTGTTACGTTCAAAGTCGAGCTAGATTCTTCGCCATCAGAACAACCCGAGGAAGTTATCGGAGTTTTGATTCGCACCGATCCAAACTCGTAGGAAAAATCACCCCGAAGAGAAATATTCACCACTTCTCTGTTCATCCTGGAAAGGAACAGGACGGGATTTCCCGAGGTGTTGTTGCAAATGATTTCATACCACTCGCTGAGATAGCAACCCTTCCCGATTCCAAAGGGATACGGAATCGCTGTTTCTCCACAATGGCTCTGACAAAAACTCGAAATGGTGAGATCTTGAGCTGTCGTTGTTGTTGCTGCTGAGACATGGAACAGGAGAAGAGGCAGCAAAGAGAGTAAGATACACACTCTTCTCATGTTGCAGCTCTTTTGTAGTTTTTGTTTTTTGGTCTTCCGAGTTTTTTCTGAGCTACAGCACCAGTTTTTACGGGAAGAAAGCGAAGAAATGTCAAAACAATGTGTCAGTCGCCACTTTTGGACCTTTTCCTTTGCTGAAGTTTCCGTTGAAAACAAGTTTCATGGTGGAATATTCAGAGAAGATTATTATGCGTACGAGGCTACGAGCTCTGTTCTTATTGGTTTCTTTTCAGAGGACAAAAAGGTCTAACCATGTCTCCATCTTACGCTGAAACTAAAATTGGTAACGGTAGATTCTGAGGTTTTCTAGAAACCCTCTTCGAAATTTCAAATCTTGTGAAGTGAAATGATCAAATTAGAGAGATTCAGAGTTTTCTTAAAGCCAAGGACAAGAAGTCTACTTTCGTCCAGTCTTGGAACAACCAACGGTGAAAAGAACATACCCTCAAAAGAAAAAACCCATCTGAGATTGATGGAACAAGATTCGGAAGCAAGAAGATCATTGAGATGCAGAGATCGAATAGATGAGATCTGGGCATTACAGAGACCTTGTCTCTGTCTCAAGCAATCTGTCACTTTCTCATTTTCCAAGAGTGAATCTTTGTGTTATCTCAGCGGAGGAATCACGATAATAATATTTTATTTGTAAAATATCACGAGACTAATCACCAGTCGTGTCATCGTTGATACAGATCCTCCTCGCCAAAGATATGGATCAATGATCATGAAACGGGTCTCCTTCAATTTCAGAGCAATCGGCAGATGAACACTGGAGACAGTGGGAGAATAGCTCAGAGGGAAGGCGAAGGGTTTTTTACCCAAACAACCCACTTCGGTCGCATCTATTTCACCTGTACACCACCAAAAACATAACACATTTTTTTTCCTGTAAAAAGACAAAATTACCCTTAATGAATCACGATATTTATCCATTCAAAAACAACTTCGTTATTACGACTTCGTAATTAAGTCTAAATATAGTTACAATTGATTCTTAAAAAGGTGGCAAAAAAATTATCTGCCTTATTTTAGTTGTATATCAGTTATATGTTAGTCGTAATAAAGTCGCAAAAAATAAAATGAAAAGGGTATTTCGGACTTTTCCACCCGAAAAGTGGGTTAAAATTGAAAAAAAAAAATTTTTTTTTTTTTGGTGGTGTACATTGAAATAGATGTGAATGAAGTGGGTTATTTGGGAGATTTTCCCGAAGGCGAAAGACAAGGAGAGAAAACCCACTTTGCTAGTTTTCAACATATATTTTTTGTTCTATAAATATCGCACTTGCAAGTCATTTACACATTCAGACAAACAAATACAGAAGGGTAGAGAGAGAGAGAGACCATGGCGGGCGAACCTGCAAGGGAAGAGCACATTGACGTTCTGACCAAAACCGGAGAGAAGACTGGCGTCTCCAAACCCAGGCATGCGATACGAAAGATTCCTATTTGGCTTGTGTTTTCGTACTTTGACTATATAGTCGCGAAATCCTGTAAATCGATTCGTACAGAAGTAAATTGGGATGAGATATTTGGTCGAATCCTTGTCCCTACGGTGAAAGTTCCGGTCTTTGTCGGAAATTTCATCCTTTTTTTCCCTTTGATCTGATGCTTCTCGGACCCATCAACCAATCAAGCCCCATGAAGGGTTTTACTTCTGAGTTCAGACAAATAGCCAATGCACTTTCTGTCACAATCCATTTCTGGGTAAACATGCGGTAGAGGATTATAGACAACTATTCCTTATTGGCCAATCAGGCTTGTAAGCAGATAAACGACACTGAAAAGGGAATCGAGAAATTGAAAACACTCAACTAGAGTAGAGAAATTTGGTTCACTTGTTGCATTTATGAAAGGGTTCCTCAGCTTTTTATGGTGATGGTGTTTGATTGTCCTGTGAATAACCTATGCCATTTCTGATCTGTAACTGATAGGTGTTTTATTTTACTTGTACATGGCTTGTATGCTTTGCTTCCTTCTTGTCTTTGTTGTCCTGTGATATACACTCTTTTCATGTTGCACTCTTGTAGGGGAGATATTCATCGGGATGGAGATTACCACCGTGCAGTTCATGTCTGGATTTTCGTAGAGAGTACTCAAGAACTGCTCCTACAACGTCGGTCTGATAACAAAGATTCATGGCCAGGGCAGTGGGATATCTCCAGTGCTGGTCATATATCGGCTGGTGATTCGTCGCTCATATCCGCACAGTAAGTAAATCTAGTTTCTTCCATGCTTGTTCGCCTATATTTCGGATAAGAAATGAAAGGTCTTCCCTTTTTACAAAAATTTTTCGTGGTTTTGTTCAGGCGAGAGCTTCATGAGGAGCTAGGCATAAAGCTTCCAAAGGATGCCTTTGAAAAGATATTTGTTTTTCTCCAAGAATGGTTTGCACTTTCGATCTCTTTTCAAATGCTTTTCTAGATATATTCTCTCTTGTCATTGAAACCAGATAATGTCTTTACATATTTGTGGCCATATCAGGTAGAATAGGATTTAGTTAAATCACTGGGATCCATATCAGACGATTAATATTCTGCTTTCCTCTTCGTGACTGCACAGTGTCATTAATTATGGGAAATTCATCAATAACGAGTTCAACGACGTGTATCTGGTGACAGTTCTGCATCCAATTCCACTAGAGGCCTTTACTCTTCAGGTCAGAATTATCATTCCCTTGTGTAGCCGGAAGTTTATGTAACTAGAACGTTATGGAGTTTATCATAACCTTTCCATTATCTTAAATCATGTTTGTTATAGGAAGAGGAAGTCTCGGCTGTAAAATACATACCTTATGAAGAATACAGAAGCCTTCTGGCTAAGGAAGATCCTGCTTATGTGCCATATGATGTGGATGGAGACTATGGACATATATTTGACATAATCAGGAAGAGGTACATGTTTTGTTCCTTTCAGATGTATTTCATGATTTAGGGGTAACATAAATGAGAATTGTTCTTATTGTATCTTACATGGTTCGTTCTCCTGATTTTGATAAAGGTACCAAGTGAACACTGAGGCACGTAGTTTATCTCTGCAGAAGCAACTCCAGAGATATGCTCATGTCACCCTTGAAGCAAAGGTCTCAACTTTGGGATATTTCTCGTATATATTAGAGTTATTACGTAGATTCAGTATCTATTGATTAACTCCGTATTTTGAGATAACGTTTTTTTTCGTATTCGTATATCCAGTTGGCAGAACTTTCTGAGGGAGATCAAAAAGCGTTGGGTCTAATTGTTAAGGCTGCAAAAATTGTCGATGAGATATTCTCTGAGCAGGTTTTGTGGATCTGCACTCTTTAAGATATCTTCTGTTTTGTTTTGTGATTATAATGTTTTTACCATCGACTTCATGTCAATCGGGAAAAACGAAATGTTAATGCCACCCCTTGTTATGGCTTTCTCCTTGATCATTCTGACATGTTCTTATCCTTAATCAGGTTTGGTACAGCAATCCAGCTTTAAGAGATTGGCTGAAGGGGCATGCAAATGCATCGGATCTCGATAAACTAAAATGGGCATACTTCCTGATCAATAAGAATCCATGGTGATTATGATCTCACTTGTTTCAAGGAATGCTTTGATCACTATAATTTTTATTTGTGCAATGGGTTTGAACTAAACCATAAGACTGCATTCCCGGAATGGCGAAACTCATCCAAACTTCAAAAATGCTCTTTGTTTGTAGAAAAAAAAAACTATGTAGTACTATTACAATAGAAACGAGATTCTGGATACATGTATTCTGTATATAGAAAGGTAACACTAATTATACGAAATGTGCACTCAACATTCATATTTCCTGTAACATTTGTAGGTCTTCTCTCGATGAAAATGAAGCATTCTTGACTACTGCAGATTCAGCTGTAAAGTTGGCTCTTGACGCAACAAAGCCAATTGCTGGTTGGAAGGGCCTTGAATATAGAGTGGCATTTCCTGTGATCAAACCGCCTGGTGCTAACTTCTATCCTCCCGATATGGATAAAGCGGTACCCAACATATACTTGACTACCCAGAACAAAAAAATTGTCTTTCTTCCATTTTTTTTTTGTTCCTGCTCTTTCTTATAACCCGTAGCGATTGTGTTCTTAAAATCTTATAGGAATTCACGTTATGGCTCAACAGTCTCACGGAAGAGCAAAAACATGATGCCACCGGATTTTTCAGTGTTATAAGAAGGCGCAATGAATCTCATCCAGATTCTTCTCTATCTGCCCATCTCGCAGGCAGCACAAATGAAATGCCAGGCTCTGTTTCGGATCTTTATAGCATTCCATATTCGCAAATATATCGCCCTTTCCTCACAAAAGCTGCTGAACTATTGCACAAAGCCGCGGAACTAGCTAGTTCACCGAGGTATAGTGTTTTGTATTTTGCGGTAGCAAAACAAAAGAAAGGAAAAAAAAGAAAATTCACTCATCGAGCTCTTTAGTCTTTGACATGTTTTCTCGTTCCCTTATTATAGTTTGAAGAAGCTGCTACACAGCAAGGCCGATGCCTTTCTTTCAAATGATTACTATGAGTCGGATATCGCATGGATGGATTTGGTAAACCTATTTTGTAGACTATTTCTGCTCATAGATTAGCTGTTTGGCTTTGAGAAAAACTGCAAGAAATCGAGCACTGTTTGGAAGATGAGATAATTACTATTCTTCTTATGTAGGACTCGAAGTTGGATATTACTATTGGTCCCTATGAGACATATGAAGATGAACTTTTCGGGTATAAGGTAAATATCTTTCGCATTATTGTGATTCCATACTAAGATGCAACTCCCTTTGCATGAGAGATCTTTTTTTCTTTTTGTGTGTGTTTTCATCTAAGGCTACATTTGAAGCATTCATCGGAATTCGAGACGATAAAGCGACAGCCGATCTCAAACTCTTCGGTGACAATCTAAGGGTTGCTACTCTTTCCATAGCTTACTTCACAAAAAGTTGCAAACTTCTGTTTTTTTCTTCTCCGAGGCAAACCCTTTCTAACTTTTTTACAGCTATTGGAAGAAAATCTTCCACTTGACAACGTTTACAAATCGAAAGATGTATCTGCTGCTCCAATTCGGGTCATCCAGCTGATTTACAATGCAGGAGTAAGTTCCCCCTTGAATATCTCGAAATCTCCATACTCATTTTTGCAAGAAAAACTTTTGATTTTCCTTTGATGGTTAATTTGTAAAAATATCACTCCCAGGATGTAAAGGGCCCTCAAACTGTTGCTTACAACTTACCAAACGATGAACGGATTGTTAACGACCGAGGAACATCAATGGTTATGCTAAAAAATGTTCAAGAAGCAAAGTAATTTCATTTCTCGTCCTCCTCCATATTTGACCATGTTCATCATTTTGATCATGATGTTAACTTTAATTATCATTTCCTTTTCAGGTTTGAGCATATTCTTAAGCCTATAGCTGAAATCTGCATCGGCAAAGAACAGAGAAAGCTCGTTGATTTCGACTCTTTCTTCACACATACCATTTGTCATGAGTGCTGCCACGGGATCGGTCCTCATACCATCACACTTCCCGATGGCCGGACATCTACAGTAAGAAAGGTTAGTTTGTTTCTGCAGGCATCTCATAAGGCTTTTTCATTCACAGATCATGTACAATGAAAAAGTTTTCAAGTGTAATTTTTTTTTAATCTATTTTCTTTGAATTTCCGTTCCGTTTTTTTAAATCAAGGAACTGCAAGAACTCCATTCTGCCTTGGAAGAAGCAAAAGCGGATATAGTTGGTCTCTGGGCATTGAAGTTTCTCATCACCAAGGTCCATTGTCAATTTTACCGGTTTACAGAAACTTTTTACATCTAATTCCAACTTATATGAACTTGTACAATCTTGGAGAGTTGAATTCTCTCGCTTGGACCGACGTTTCTACTTCTACATGTGATTGACAGGGTTTGCTTTCAGAGGCTATGAAGGAGACCATGTATGTTTCCTTCCTAGCAGGGTGCTTCCGCTCTGTCCGGTTTGGCCTTACGGAAGCTCACGGGTAAATTACACAATTTTTTCGGTATTCTGATCTATCAACCTGTCTGTATAGCTGCTGATATTGTTATCTATGCTCTCTTTTTTTGCTGAAAACATGTCAGAAAAGGGCAAGCTCTGCAGTTCAACTGGTTGTACGAGAAGGGAGCCTTCGTTTTCCACCAAGATCAAACGTTCTCGGTTGATTTTGCAAAGGTATGCAAACGCTTGTTCTTAATGCGAGAACTTCCCACCTAATCCCGAGACCCTGAATCGTAAAATCTTGTTTATGTTCCAAAAGGTCGAAGGTGCAGTCGAGAGTCTAAGCCGTGAGATACTCACCATTCAAGCGAGAGGCGACAAAAATGCAGCATTGGCACTTCTTGAGAAGTACTGCACAATGACAGAGCCACTGAAAGCAGCCCTAGATAAGCTTGAAAGTGTCAAGGTACAATCTTTGCTCCACCCGTCTGATGAAATTTCTCTGGCGATTCCAAATGCTTCACGGTGATTTTTGTTTTTAATTCTTGGGTTTTTTTTTCAGGTGCCGGTTGATATAGCTCCCACATTTCCAATAGCGGAGTCATTGATGGACTGAGAGGTGCAGAGCCTAATCTCAAACTTGTCACTGTATCTGAATAAGCTGTTATGAATGATGAATAAAAAGCAAACTCTCTGAGTTTTGTTCTTTGTTTTTGTGGATGCAATTGTGGAATTCTGTACGGAGGGGACATCACTCAGGTTTCTTCTCTGTTAATGATTTGATGAACAACTCTGGTTTGGTTCTGTTGATTCGTTTCTGGTTTCTGGGTTTGTGGTAAAAGGCTTCTGAGTTTCATCACAATTATTCAAGAATATGGAGACTATTAAATTTGAATCCATTTTGTATTCCTAAAGCACTTATATATGAAATGATTTATGTTTTATTCCCACGGGTTACATGCATTCCATGCCGCTTCAAGAAGATGCTATCTGTTATATCTTAATCGCCGTTAATATTATGTTCCTTTCTTCAATCTGACGGCCAGTAGATGGGCAAATACGGAATTGTCGTGTACGCCGTCGCACTTAATCAGAACCTCTTTCAGTTTCGCTGTGAATTTGATAGCATCGGCGCTAAAGCTGAAATCTTCACGGGAAATCAAGAGCCGACATTCTTCCCAGAATTTGTGATCTATTTTTCTTTCCATCCAAACAGATGATCCCAATTTCCCATATGTAATTCGGAATACCTGATCATCAAGTTCCGGATAAAGGTACGATTTTGGGTTGGATAAATATGGGATCGGAGCTCAAGGATATGAACTCGAGTCCGCCGTCGAGCAAAGAGGAACGTCGGTTGCTCAAATCGGATTCCGACACCGCGGCTTCCATCGAAGAGCTCAACAAAAAGTTCGCGCCTTTCGCGAGGAATGATTTGTACGGGACGATGGGTCTGGGTCCTTTGCCGGTGATGGAGAAGATTAAAATCGCGGTGGCGATGGTGACGCTTGTTCCGGTACGGTTCGTCTTGGCGATGGCCGTTTTGCTTCTGTATTACTTGATATGTAGGGTTTGTACGCTGTTTTCGGCCCCGAATCGCGGGGCAGAGGAAGAGGAAGAAGAAGGCGGAGTTGTGGTCCAAGAAGATTATGCTCACATGGGAGGATGGAGAAGGGCTGTGATCGTCCGATGTGGGAGGTTTCTGTCTAGGGTTTTGCTCTTCGTGTTTGGATTCTATTGGATTCACGAGAGCTATCGAGATTCACCCATGGATTCTAAACCAAAAACATCTTCGGTATGTATAAATGCTGATAGTTGCACGGAGCAAAGATATCAGACATTGTTGTTAAAAAAAAAAAATCAAGCTTTCGAGCATTTATTGGTAGAATCTGTACTGCAAGAAAATTAGGCAGGAGAAAATAATCTAGGATGTTGTACAATTTATTGAGATGGGAAACATTCTGGTCTTTCCCTTTTTAATCCCTGTTCTGTTGTTGGTGAAACTGACTTTTAAGGTTTTGCTTCTACTGATCACTCATATGTTCCTCTATTCTTGCCATTGGCGGGCAGAATGACAAAGCTAAGGAACCTGAAAGATCGGGAGCTATCGTATCTAATCACGTGTCGTATCTGGACATTTTGTATCATATGTCCTCTTCTTTTCCGAGTTTCGTTGCTAAGGTTGGTTCACGAATTTTCAAATCTGGATGCTGTGTTTAAGTTCTTTTTCTCTGGAACTTTCTTGTTTTGATTCTCTCTAATGTGTTTTGGTATTAACTTTTCACCATTGTGCTCTATGATTTTTCTGCTGAAGAGATCAGTGGGCAAACTTCCTCTTGTTGGCCTCATCAGGTTGGTTGTGAATAACTCAGATTGAGATTTTTGTAGAAATCGATAGAAGTTATGGCAACTTCATTTTGTGTCAGCATTTTCTTTTGGTTTGATATTCGAAAGGATATGAGCTAGTTTTATAATTAGCTCAACATTTCTTTTTTAAGAACTTTCAAGATAAACTCTTATAGTACATCAACGTGTTTCATTTCTGCATTAACATTTTTAACACCTCTTTATATCATGCTCATTATCTCTTGACTCTTGTTTCCTTTCTCTGGCAGCAAATGTCTCGGTTGTGTCTACGTCCAGCGGGAAGCAAAATCACCCGATTTCAAGGGAGTATCTGGTATGTAATTCAGATGAAGTGAATTAAAACTAGTTGCCTACATGTTTCTGAGCACCAGAATATACTTGTTGTAACTAGTGAGTGTGTGCTTGCCTGATTTGTTGATCTTTCATGACCACTTTGATAGCCGCCTTCCCGTTAGCAGATTACAATTCAAATGTTCTGTCGATCTCAATTACTGCTCTAGATGTTCTTTAAAGTATATTTCTGATAGGTGTTTTGTTTTCACAGGCACTGTAAATGAAAGGGTCCGAGATGCGCATCAGAATAAGTCTGCTCCAACCATCATGCTTTTCCCAGGTTAACTTTGCCCTTAATCAATTTGCTCGCCACTGATACCACTAGACCACTAGAGAGGATCCCTTAATTTTCTTATATTGAATAGCTGACCGATACACGGGCTTTAAAGACAGAGTATATATACTTTGTTAGCAGGAAAATATATCTTATAAATTTGTTGGCCAGATGCATAGTTTGATCCTTAAACTTGTTGATTGGTTTCATTGCAGAAGGGACAACTACCAATGGAGACTACTTGCTTACATTCAAGACAGGTGCATTTTTGGCTGGGACTCCTGTTCTTCCAGTGATTCTTAAATATCCTTATAGCCGTTTCAGCCTTGCATGGGATACGATATCTGGGGTGAGGATCTTTTTTAACGAACCCATTGTTTCTTGAAGTTCATACCAGAAAATCAGCTAATGTTACAATTGTTCTGGTTCTTAACTTTCATTCATTCATGTACTTTGCAGGCACGGCATGTGATTTTTCTTCTCTGTCAGTTTGTAAACAAAATGGAGGCGATACACTTACCTGTATATTACCCGTCACAGGAAGAGAAAGATGACCCCAAACTCTATGCTAGTAATGTCCGGAGATTAATGGCAACAGAGGTATTTTTGCTGCAATGGGTTAAAGTAGAAGTATGACTGCTGTTTGTCTCTTTTTTTTGTCGATACCCACTTTGCTCTACTTATCTTGTGCCTGCAGGGTAACTTAATTCTGTCAGATTTGGGACTTAGTGACAAGCGGATATATCACGCGACTCTCAATGGTAATCTTAGTCTGCGTAGTGTTTTCCATCAGAAAGAAGAATGACATATCTAATTCAATGAATTTGCTCTCTGCCTGTCAAGTCTGTAATGTAGTGATTGTCAGAAAACCATGAGCTGTGATTCACGGGTCGGATCTCCGATAATAAAACAAAAACTAAACTTTGATAGACAAAAACAAAAGCTTCTCAGAAGCTTTTTTTTAACGTTGTGTTGTGTATATAGTTTCAATAGTCAAGAGAAGTCTATAGCCGGGAAGCAGGATGGATGGGACCTTGTGCTTGTGAATCTGAAGCATCTCTTTCATGTTCTGTCGTGCAGGTTTGTTATGCAAAAGCTAATATGGGTTCGATTTCTTCGACTGTATATTTCTTTTATTCATAGGCAAATACTTAGTAATACATATAGCAAGCGAAGCGTATTCATGATCCATATTATCCCGATATCATCATCGTCTCTGAAACGTGTATCGCCTCTCCCTCTGAGTCCTGATGAAGCATCTCTCCACGAACCCACCATTGGTTACCGCTTCTATTGTGGTTCTGCCGAGTCTCGTCTTGGCTGATAACTTCAATGTTAGAATTCACTAGTTGTGTCTGTCTGGATTCAAGAAGCAGAGGATGGTTTCACGTTTTTTGGGTATTTTTGGCGGCTGAAGAAGATGGGGTTTTATACAAGTTCTGTTCATTCAAACATTCCTTGTCTGAATATATATTACAGAATCGACTTGGTCTAAGAATGTCTCATTTTCTTGCCTTTTTTCCTGTCTTCTAACAGGAGGAAGACTCTATGACCAGAGTAGGTACATTAGGAGCTAACCTTGTCCTGTTCTCATTTTCGTTTCTTTGTTTTCCCCCATTTGGAAGAATGAGTTTGCAAAGGAATAAAACAGAAATCAAGAAGTCAAATCTTGACAAAGGTGGGGTTCTTCTGGTCCTTCATCTCCCATGGCCTCTTCTTCGTGTAACTTAGCATTTTCATCACCATGCCAACCTGCTCTTTTTCAACATCTCTCTCTCTCCCCCCAGCAGAAATGCGATAAAGAACACTGCAAAACGTATTCAAAGCCAAGCAAAAACTTGCGCGTGAGTTTTGTTTTTGTTAGAAGTCATTCTCCTCATCAAAAACATTTCAGTCCACTACTTGATCCCTTTTAACCATAGAAAATGGGCTAAAAGCCCATTTACCCTTTTTACCTTTTTAGCCCATAGAAAAATGGAACACCGCCTTAACATAACCAGGGCCCAACAAAAAAGTTCAAATGATTTCTCTCTGTCGTCATCGATCTCCTTCCTTGCGGACTCAGATCTCGTCGGGGGACTCTCGTTTAGGGTTTGCAGTAGAAATCAAGGGTTTTTATCTACTCCTTTCTGCTTTAGTGTGTTGTACGAAAAAATTGTTGCTTTTGATTTGCAATCGCTGTTAGGATTTTGGTTTTGTCCGAAATTTCATCCATGGGGAGACATGATAGTTCTTCAGAGGAGGACGAGAGAGTGAGAGCAAGAGATAGGAGGCGAAAAGAGAGAAGCCCAGATGATGATAACGAAGGTAGGCGATCTAAGATGGAGAGAGAGGAGAGCCGTCGGGGTAGGGTCTCAGGGGAAGAAGAAGAAGATAAGAGTTCACGTGGAGACAGGCGAGGAAGAGGGCGTGAGTTTGGTGATGAAGACGACGGAAGCAGAAAGATGAAGAGAGATGGGAGAGAAAGGGATGATGGTGAGAGGAGGGATAGAGAGAGAAGCCCGAGAGATGTGAGAGACAGACGTGACAGAGGAAGAAGCCGTAGGGACAATGTTAGGGCGGATACGTCTTCTGATGATGAGGAAGAGAGATGGCCGAGAAGGGAGAGAAGAGAACGTCCTCCTAGTTCTGACGAAGATGACGATGGAGAGAGAAGGAGAATAAATAAAGATGGTGGTAATGAGGTTATGGAAAGAGAGAGCAGGCGTAAGGATCAGGTTAGAGCAGATACTCCGTCTTCTGCTGAGGAAGAAGAGAGGAAAATGTCTAAGGATGCAGAAGAGAGGGAACGGATTCGTAAAGTCCATCGGGGTTCAGACGATGAAGAGGGTGAGCTTAAGGGAGATAGAAAAATGGAAACAGAAGAGATTGAGGATGGTGATGAGAGGAGAGAAAGAAATAGAAGCCCCCGAAATAGGGAGAAACATGATAGAGAGAAGAGTCGTAGGGGTAGGGTGAGAGCAGACACGCCTTCTGATGAAGAAGATGATAGGCGGAAACGTGGGAGAGAGAGACGAGAACGACAGGGAAAACGTAGAGATGATGAAGATGAGGAAGGTGAGATTAGGAGAGACAGAAAAGAGAGGGAATATATGAGACGTGTTGCTGATGAAGTTAAGAGAGATAGAAGGGAGAAAGACATGGCTGATGGGGATCGTCGTTCAGGACGAGATTCAGAGCGAGACAGTGATAAGAGACTTAGAGATGAAAAGGAGAGGAGACACAAAGATAGGTATGATGATCAAAAGGTCAATGAAAGAAAGGAAAGAAAGGAAGACGGCAGGAGTTCTAGGAAAAGAGAAGGGAGAGATGGTGCACGAGAAGAAGATTCAAAGCCCAAGGGTCAGGGGCAAGAAGCCAATGCAATTGATAACACCGTGGCTTTGGGAAGGAGTGGTGGAGTTTACATTCCTCCTTTCAAACTTGCCCGGATGATGAAGGAGGTCCAAGATAAGAGCAGTGTTGAATACCAGCGTCTAACATGGGATGCTCTTCGTAAAAGTATTAATGGGCTTGTGAATAAGGTGAATGCCAGCAACATCAAGAATATAATCCCGGAGCTTTTTGCAGAAAATCTCATCAGGGGAAGGGGCCTTTTCTGTCGTTCTTGCATGAAGTCTCAAATGGCATCACCTGGTTTCACTGATGTTTTTGCAGCACTAGTTGCAGTTGTCAATACAAAATTCCCTGAAGTAGGTGATCTTCTGCTAAGAAGGATTGTCTTACAGCTTAAAAGAGCTTACAAACGTAACGACAAGGTTTGTCTTTGTCTCCAATCTCTACAATGATTGAGAAGTATTGATCTATTTCGTAATTTGTTTATTTATGGATAAGATATATTACCTTTTGATTTTGCAGCCTCAATTACTTGCTGCTGTCAAATTCATAGCACATTTAGTAAACCAGCAAGTAGCTCACGAGATCATTGCTTTGGAGTTACTCACGGTGCTTCTAGAGAACCCGACTGATGACAGTGTTGAGGTAGCTGTTGGATTCGTGACAGAGTCTGGTGCAATGCTTCAGGACCTTTCACCAAAAGGATTGCATGGTCAGACTTTCTCCCTACATCCTTTTTTATATTGCTGTTTAACATTTGTTCTCTAGTTGCTACAGTTCTCATCTACTTCACCTAGTTCAGTGATTTGTGATTAGTCAGTTAGTGAAATAAGACTTTATTGCTTTTATCAAGTGTTAGCTCAGCATGATTAATTTGTGACGAAAATCACCTCGATATGGGTAGTGATATGTGTCAATGGTTTGCTGCTTACATTTGAAGATCTAGCCATTGATTCTCTTTTAGAAAATGTTATCATGTAGCTGTATATCTGTCGCTATATATTTCGTGCTGTAACATTCTTTTTTTCTTATATTCTTTCCGATTATTGGTTGTTGATACAGGGATCTTTGAGCGGTTTCGTGGTATTCTTCACGAGGGAGAGATAGATAAGAGAGTTCAGTTTCTGATTGAAGGATTATTTGCTATCAGGAAAGCAAAATTCCAGGTAAATAATTAGATTTGACTAAAATGGGTGTAATTTACATGCTTTTCTGTGTCCTCACAAATATCAAAATCCTCATCTAATATTTGTATAAATGCCCTTTTCTCAGGGTCACCCAGCTGTTCGCCCTGAATTGGATCTTGTGGAGCCAGAAGATCAATTGACACACGAGATCTCTCTCCAAGACGAGATAAATCCAGAGATTGCTCTTGGTATGTCTTTAATTTATACCTCAATTTACTCTTTTCCTGTGACATTTTGGGACAACTTTTAAACAACTATTATCTGATGTTGGTTTCTCTTCTCTTATTGTTTGCAGATATTTTCAAACCTGATCCTGACTTCATCGAGAGTGAAAAGAAGTATGAGGACCTGAAGAAGAGTATACTTGGTGATGAATCTGAGGATGAAGACGGATCCGATGATGATGGTTCTGGGGATGAAGAAGACGAGGAAGAGGAATCTGATGAAGAAGACGAAGAAGCTATGAAAATAAAAGATGAGACAGAGACTAATCTTGTGAATTTGAGGAGAACAATATATCTGACAATAATGTCCAGTGTTGACTTTGAGGAAGCAGGGCACAAGTTGCTCAAGATAAAACTAGAACCCGGTCAAGAGGTAATAATCCTACTAAACCCTATTAATCTTTTTTAGATAATGGATTATATTTTACTCTCTATCATTCTGTCCTTCATTAGCAATATCTGAGGCTCTGTTTCTCGTTTCTAGCTGTCTTTTGTTTCAAATTGTTTATGTTTTTTCATGATATGCTTTACTGTTGCACGTTATATTACCGACTTGCTTTTTGCATATTGAATTCAAACCTGAATTTGCAGATGGAGCTATGCATTATGCTTCTGGAATGTTGCAGTCAGGAGAGAACGTATCTGCGGTACTATGGACTTTTAGGGCAACGTTTCTGCATGATCAACAAAATTCATCAAGAGAATTTTGAGAAGTGTTTTGTTCAACAGTACTCCATGATCCATCGGCTCGAGACAAATAAGCTGAGGAATGTGGCTAAGTTTTTTGCTCATCTTCTGGGCACAGATGCTCTCCCTTGGCATGTCCTCGCTTACATTCGGTTAACTGAGGAAGACACCACTTCTTCCTCCCGTATTTTCATCAAAATACTTTTCCAGGTACGTAACTTTCTTCCCAATTCCGTTGAGAAATACTTTTTCAATCTCAACCATTTGATTTAGTACGAGAAATCACAGTTATCTGACTATAATTCCAGCTTGTGAACTGGTTGACTCGTTAGTACTATTACATCATATTTTGAAACTCTGCTGGGAAAGAAAAGGATCTTCCTTGAAATCTGCGGTGGATTCATGTGTTGTCGGATTTAGTGTTCATCTTGTTTACGTGTTTTATGACAGGAACTGTCAGAGCACTTGGGGATAAGGCTGCTGAACGAGAGACTTCAAGATCCGACAATGCAAGATTCTTTTGAATCTATCTTCCCCAAGGACAATCCGAAGAACACAAGATTCTCAATCAACTTCTTTACTTCCATTGGTCTTGGAGGCATCACAGAGAATCTTAGAGAATACCTCAAGAATATGCCCCGCCTTATCATGCAACAACAGAAACAAGAGGCTTCCGAATCTGAATCAGATTCCGAGTCAGAATCTGGATCTTCATCTGGCAGCTCTGGTTCTGAATCAGATACGGAATCTTCCAGTTCTGAGAGCGAGAGAGATGACAGGAAGAGGAAACGACGAAGAAGAGGCTGAGGGAGGCATCTTTCTAATTTTCACTGAAACTCTTGTTTCAAGCCAGTTGCTGTAATCCTACAAGTTTGCAGAACTATTGCTCTTTGGACTTCCTCTCAGTTTTGAAAAACTTCTGTATGAATTGTTAGAGCTGGAAAATTTGTTCAGTCTCTGGAGATCAGCTTTCTTGTCTGGTGGATGATGATGATGATGGTTCTAAGTCAAGACCATGTTCCTTTCCTTCAGATCTAGTAAGAAAACGATTGAATCAACACACAGGACATGTAAAGGAACATTGATGATGAACTTTTGACTTCCATGCAACAAAGGTAGCTGCATAGGCCGAAACGGCGATCACATAAACAAAACAGAACATCCGTCCGACAATTCTTCATTCCCAAGTTTCCATCTGAATTATTACAGTTACTTGTCTGAACAATCTTGTCGATGAGGCTGTGTATTCAAGTATTCAACAGAGATTACAAAATAAAAAAGAATATAATTTGTGACAGAAACCTTGGTTGCATGAACAATTCTAAGGACGTACAAATTCAGATTCTGCAAACTTCTCCAAAACTTTTGCAGACAAGAGAGCTCCATCTTTTTCTTCTGGGTATTGCCGTCGTGGTGAAAACTAGAACAAACACTGCATATGTTTTCTTCAGTCCTGTTTCATTACACAAACCTTAATCCATCGAGAATGTTCCGCTGCAGTATCTGAACGAATCACACAACACAAGAAAGGAGAAACAACTTTGTTAATTTTTTTCACGGATTAGATCAGAGGAAGATTTAAGGATTGGTTTGATGCAACGTAATATTCCAAGTAGTAGAAGTTAGTACCTGTTGCTGAATCTTTCGAGTGGCCAATCACCATATTTAGTTAGGTTCACTTCATTTTCTTTTTTAATAATGGTAAATATTTTAATATGAACAAAAATAATCTAGAAAAAAGAAAGCTCTAATTAACTTATTTTAAAAAAGAAAAACACAACATAAAATAAGGGGAAAAAGTGATCGAGAAAGACCACTTTCCCTCTCGTCAGCCGAGCGATCACCCATGCATTGTTCTTCGCCCTGATGCATATTTCCATGTCTTTCTCGGGCCTTTCCTTATCCTGTTTTGCTCTGCTCTTTTCTGAATCCACTTCTTCCCTGAGTTTGTTCAGTGCAAGCAACGATTCCTGTCATCCGACAAGCATATTAACGAAACGTGCTTTGTTTCTCAGCAGAGCACTGCAATGAATATAACTGTATGATGAAGAAGCTCCACCTTTGCCAAAGTTGCCACCTTTCCCGAAGGGGAAGCCCGGGAAACTTCCATGTCGTTATCAACGAGCAAGTAACGGTAGCCGCTGACATGGTAGGCATTCTCACCGCCCCACCCTTTTGAAAGCTTCTCTTCTACTTTTAGAATCTTTAGAGATGCCTGACAAAAAAACAAAAAAAGCCGAATTTTTTTTTCAGAGGGTCTGTTTCGAAGGAATTCATAAACTGTAAAGGAAGAGACCGAAGGTGGAGAAACTGACGTTTTCAACTATTTGCTGCTTCACCGCCAAGATTCCTTGCTCTCCATCGGAAATGGAAGTGGTAGGCACGAGAAGAACCAAGGTGAGACTTTTATACTGATAAGGGAGGAGATACACTCTCTGTTGATTCTGATGGAGCCAGATTGTCGGGACAGGACAATTCTGTGAACCAACAGTCTCGGTACCCCAAATTTCGGTTACAAGAAAACTGTCCTTCCCTTTGGACCATTTATCCTTCTGTAATGGCCTAATAACACGATGAGTGCTGTTACCATTTCCAGAAGGCATTGTATCACTTGAATTTACGGGTCCAGAAATAGCTTGAGATGAACCCGACCCCTTGCGTAGGTATGACCAAGAACTTGAACCAGATGACAGTGCATGTGCTGTTAGCCTCATAACAGAATATGTAAATATGCTGACAGTGTCATCCTGAAAAGAACAAGATATTCAGAGAAAAGGATTGAGGTCACTTGCTTTTGCATCCATTTAGTATAGATAGACCGAGATCAAGCAAGAATTTGACAAAAAATAAATAAAATGGGTCTCCCGATAACTCCGATAAACCTAGAATAACGGAAGAACAGAGAGAAAAAACATACAGCCGAGAGACTTGTAGACACCAGTAGGTCTTGAAATAAAATCAGGGATTGGCATCGTACAGTCCCAGCACATGATTCTAGCACTCCTACAAGAGACTGTTCATCCGAAAAATACAGGTCAGAAATACTAAAAATATTGAACTTCTGAATTATTTGCTACGAAGATTATCAGATTGAGAGAAGACGAACCTGAACTTCTAGTGCCACGTCCCTTCGTATGGTGAGCATCTGAACAGTACCTCGCTCCTTTAAGGATTCACGGAAAGATGGTAAGTGAAGTGTCTTCCCAGCAAAAAGATCTGCCTCAAAGAGAAAAAAAATAACCTTTCATAAGATATTACACATACATAAACTTGATCAAATGAGAGTAATTTGACACAACAACTTCATCATTTACCACAGCAGCAGATTTCCAGGGGAGACCGTTTTTGATATGCTGGCAAATTAGTAACATAGATGCATTGAAACTAGAACAGAATAAAACGTATACAGGAGAGCAAATGTCTATATGCTCAATTTGATCGGCCAACTCACCACTCAAATAGTCCATAATGAATGGATTCAGCTGTGACCGTGTAACCCCTCCAGTCGGTTCCTTTTCAAGTAATGCCCTAACCGGTCCATGAAACATCAAGAAGAGGGAATGCATTTCCTTAAGCACCTTCCTTAACGCATCAACCCTCCATATGGCTTCCGTGTCCTTATTTTTCTCTACTACCTGCAGGTTTCTTGATCTGATTTTGGTTGCTGATATGCATGGAATAAAGTGAAATATATATAGCGGAAAGAATAATTTCCGTAAGATCACATAGCTATACAACATCGTTTGAAAGACGAGGGTTTCAAGCTTTGTAACAGATCAAAGTAGATGAAGCCTTACCATCACCATCCATATATCAGGTTCTGCCTCATAGAAAACATGTGAATGCTTCTCAGCTTCTATTACCTCACAAGCTGCTTCCGGCGAGAAAAGTCTGCCAAAAATTCACACTATGCCGCTCAGATACCTAGGAACTCACACAGAATGTCAAGGCCTAACCAGATTTCCATAAGCCAAACTTGAATCATTGACCAAAATACATAACAGAAAACAAAAGAAATCTCTAACAAGCTGACCTTGTAAAGGTAATGAGCCCTTCACTGAGGCCGATAACCGATAGCTGAGACGAGAAGAGTAAATCGGGGGGATAGAAGAATAAAATCTTATCCAACTCCTGCCCTTCGGTTTGGCCTCGCCTCAAGTCAAACACGCAAAGTCGAAAGCTTTCACTGGGAGAGCTCATTGACGCCATCCCCATCCCTTCTACGAACTCATAACACCCAAACGTACAACCAAAGATATGCTTCATAAATCAAAGCAATACTTGGACTTGATCATTTCTACAACTGATTCATTTAGCTACTAATATTAAATTCACGACCAATATTGAGTTTCTGGGTCAGATTGAAGTTAGCAGACGCGCAACTCAACAATAGCTCACAAACCATGAGAATCATTCCTCGTACAGTCGGAAATTCGAGTAAAAACCCATAATCCGAGTAGAAAATCATAACTTGAGGGCTCAGAACATATCGTCAGGCAGCTAATTCGTCGTGTGTACACATGCATAATCGCAGAACCCATGAAAATTAAAAAGCGCAGCACCATGAGAAGTTGGAAAATTTATTACCTTGAGGTCGATTTCTCGAGCAAGACCGAAGAAGCTATCGACCTTCGGCGATTCCGACAATAGAAGATCAGAACGAGAAACAACAAAAAAAAAAGGCGAACTTCAAATGATTCCAAGCTCAGATTAACCAACCCTTCTCTCATTCAGGGCGAGAAAACATTTCGATTCAAGGGAAAAGTTTGTTCAGCAGAAAAATTCTGCTAATCTTTGGAGAGTAGGTAGGAGGAGGGAGAGAAGAGAACGGTGGGTCGCGAAATTTGGAGGGCAAACGGGTCGAACAATGAACCGGGTCGGGATCCGGAGAGATTTGGGTTGAGATCTGAAACGGGTCGGATTTGGGCAGATCTCTAGATTCTGCTTTTGCTTACGTGCTCTGTCTTTTTCATTTGTAATCGCACACGTTCTCCAAATCTCAAATCATTCGTTTTGGTTCATCAGATTCTTCCAAAAGTTTTGATTTTGATTCTTTATTTCTCTCTCTACAATTGCAAAATCGGTTTTTTTTGTTACAGTGGATGATACGATATTTACTGCTTAACCACTTCTTGGGAAAATAATATAAAAGGAAAATTTACGCCCAGTAATGTTGTTAATTGAAATTGATTTTTGCTAATCACACGGATCCTCGTACTAATTAAGCTTAGCGGTTAGATTAAATCGGTTAATATGAGTCTAAACCAAAACAAATTAGTTACGGGTCGGTTTGCATTTCCCCCACGAGGCCCATTTCGCATTTACTCGCAATCATACAGCTTTGCGTGGTGTTCGTCGTCTCCGTCGCTTCTTCTTCAGCCATATTCAGAACGAATTCGGGATTTCGAAATACTTTGGGTGATTCCCAGAAATCCGAGTCGATCAGTTGAGTCCAATCCTAGGGTTTCTTCATCGGCCTGATTCTCTCTCGTGCCTGCTTGGGATTGAGTTCAGTTCGAGTGATGAAACTCGTCCTCGCCCCGGAGGTGAATCCTGCTCTGAAATTTCAAATTTTTTTAGCTTTCTGGGCTTTTGCCTTCGTTTTTGATCCATCTGATTCTAGGTTTTGTTTTCTGTTGCAATCTGCAGCTGTTCGATTTGGTATCTGATGGGTATTACCGGGTCAGCAATCCCGAAATAGCTGCCGAAGTTCCGATTCTGTTGTAATCTGCGTCGTGTTTCTGTACGATTCTTCTTGTCTAATCTCTTTTTCATTTCTGAATTATCGGAAATCTTCGGTTCATGATCGGTGTCTGAGATTAGTTCGCAGTTTTCTGATCACAAATTGGTCTGGATAAAGGAAGAACCTTGAGATCGTTCTTGATACCCTATGTGATATAACGTGTTCTAACCGTTGAGTGAACTTTTGTAATGTAGCTGATTAAAGTTTGAATATCTAGAAATGTTGTAGATGTCTCCAGCAACTAGTTGCAGAAGTTATTGGCATAAGCTTCTCGTTGTGAATTTGATGTCCTAAATTAGCCTGCAAGTGATCACAAGTATATTCATCCGTCTGTTTATTCTGGATTCCAGTATCTGGAAATTGGCACCAATGGCTGAACTGAAAGAACGCCTGCTTCCTCCAAGACCCGCTTCAGCCATGAACCTGAGAGATTCGGTGTCAAGACCTTCTGCTTCTGGAAGACAACCTTTGCAAGGGCTTGATGTTTTGGGTCTCAAGAAGCGCGGACAAGGGCTTCGGTCATGGATTCGTGTCGATACTTCTGGCAACACCCAAGTCATCGAGGTCGACAAGTTCACAATGATGCGTCGGTGTGATTTGCCAGCCCGTGATTTACGGCTGCTTGATCCTCTGTTTGTGTATCCGTCAACCATCTTGGGCCGAGAGAAAGCTATTGTTGTGAACCTGGAGCAGATCCGTTGTATTATTACAGCGGACGAGGTTCTGCTCTTGAATTCCCTTGACAACTACGTGTTCCGGTATGTGGTTGAATTGCAGCAGAGACTAAAGACCAGTTCTGTCGGTGAGCTTTGGCAACAGGACAGCTCAGAACTGAGCAGGAGGAGGAACAAGAGTTTTGACAATGGTTTTGGGAATTCATCCCCTGATTATTTGCCTTTTGAGTTCAGAGCTCTTGAGGTTGCCTTAGAAGCTGCTTGTACCTTCCTTGATTCCCAGGTCAGTAACATAAACTGAAACTATAATTTAGAAGCTTCTGTTTTCAATGGGTTTTCTTCTCTGTTGTTTACAAAGGCATGCTGGTTTTACATTTGACATATGTGCAAATAACTCGATCGGCTTTTGTCCTTTTGTAAAGGCTTCTGAGTTGGAGATTGAGGCATATCCATTATTAGATGAGCTCACATCAAAGATCAGTACCTTAAACTTGGAACGTGTTCGTAGACTAAAAAGCAGACTTGTAGCTTTGACGAGAAGAGTTCAGAAGGTGCGTGATGAAATCGAGCAGCTAATGGATGATGATGGGGATATGGCAGAAATGTATCTGACAGAGAAGAAGAAAAGAATGGAAGGATCTTTTTACGGTGACCAGTCATTACTTGGGTACCGATCAAATGATTGTCTATCTGTTTCTGCACCAGTTTCTCCTGTCTCTTCTCCACCCGATTCTAGGAGACTCGAGAAAAGCTTGAGCATTGCGAGAAGCCGGCATGACAGTGCAAGGAGTTCAGAAGGTGCAACAGAGAATATAGAGGAGCTAGAGATGTTGCTGGAAGCTTATTTTGTTGTCATCGATAGCACTCTAAACAAGTTAACATCGGTACATAAACAGTTCATTCATTCATTACCTTTGCATCAGTTCTCTTTTCTACTGTTCTGAAGCAGTTAAATCATCTTTGTTTCTCTCTTACTTTTCAGTTAAAGGAGTACATCGATGATACCGAGGATTTTATTAACATTCAATTGGTACAAACTCTCTCTCTCTCACTCCTCATTTCAGTTTAATCTTAACCAAAGATCATGAACCAAAGACTGGATCTTTAAAATCCTACCTTAGTAGCTTGCTATTGAAAATGGGTAGAAGTTAGAGTTTGGGTAATTCTCTTCTGTGATGGATGTATTTTTTTTTGTTAAATTCTGTGATGAATGTTATCCAGACTGACGATACAAGATCGAAATATCGGGTTTGCAGGATAATGTTCGGAATCAGCTGATACAGTTCGAGCTGCTGCTGACTACTGCAACCTTCGTTGTAGCCATTTTCGGGGTCGTGGCTGGAATCTTTGGGATGAACTTCGAGATAGACTTATTCCACCAGAGAGATTCTTTCAAATGGGTTCTGATAATAACTGGTGTCTGCGGCCTCGTTATATTCTTGGCATTCGTCTGGTTCTTCAAGTACAGAAGACTCATGCCCCTGTAAAACAATTGATGCTCACAAACAGTGGCGATTGCTTTTATATTTTTCTTTTTGTTGTATTTCTATCTATTCTGCTTCACAGATGAAACATTAATTCGGAGAAAAAAAGAAGAAGAATATACATATATATGAGAAAGAAGCTCCAACTTGGGGCAGTTCATTCAAACTCAGTTTCCTGTGTTTGAGTTTCTTTACATAACATCTTGGTGGAGCTGTGTTAACTATAGCTGAGTATGTGACTATAGTTTATGCACAGAGAGCTTTTTATACATTGTTTTAGCAGTTGAGGGGATGGTCTTTCTCCTGGCTAAGCCAGAGCCAGAGAGGCTTCAAAGATGTGCATTTCATTTTTAACAGCCTCTGCATCAATATCTGCTAGCTTTCCTGTCTTTGATGCAACTATGATGCATTTCTTCTCTTCTGCCTCTGGTACGAACAGTTTCCCCTTCTCTTCCGAACAGAATAACCCGATGCTGCAGAGACAGAACACAAGAGGTCAGTTCTTGAAAACATTCAGATCATCTCCTAGAGTCATGGTCTTATGTTTTATAAACCTGGGTTTCTGCCGTGCGTTTGCTAGTTGTATTGCAGCTGTATTTGTTGCTATAACTCCAGCCGAGTCGTTGATCAGAGCAGCCAACTGGATCAAGCAAGCAATTCCGATTGTTTTTTGTTGTTTTCACTGACAAGAAGCAAATACAGATCATGATCAGGAGTAGTTACATACCTGGCCAGGTGTTGTGATGAACACTATAGCTGCATCGTCTCCGACTTCTTCTTCCACATTTTCCCTCTCTTTCTCGTGCGGAATCACGAAAACTGGCGTGAATCCCCTGTTTTCCGCCAAACGGGTATTTCAAGAATCATTGAAAAGTCGAAGTTTTCGTGTAATTTTCTGAAACACTTTAGAGGTTCTTTACCTGATACCCTTAGCTATTTCAGCCCATGCTTTGATAGGAAGCAAACTATCTGTATCTCCTCTAGATTGCATTGAAGCCTTTGAATCTGATTCTATCCCATGAATCACTATATACTTCCCTGTCTCTGCTCCAGCTTTTCGATATTTCTCAGCTACAACCTCCTTGACCTTTCTCGAGATTGATACCCTTAGTGGCTGGACCGGTGTCCTTGGAACGCTTCTGAATGGTCGTCCTAGCCAATCCACCATCTGATGGTACCTGCGCCATCCAAACTCGATTCAGACCCACAAAAAATGTTCGCGTTTTGGATTTGATTGGCTCACTCAGCAAGGGATCTTAGTGCTGACATGCTATAGCCTCCTTCTGAAAGGTTCATGCTTTCTGGAGTAAACGTCTTGGACAATAGCAGTCCGGCCCCTGCAGAGTTCACATTCGGGTAAATGTAACTGACCCTGTCACGAGCTGTCGTCATGAACAAGAACGATGCATGGCCTAACCCCGCCAGCTTGGTCGAAAGAACCATGTCATAGTACCTGTTCTGCAACATCCCAAACAAAAAAAGATAAGGGTCATATACAATGGAGGGTTTAGCTTTGGGACAGAAGCAATCCGACAAGAAACATAGATCCAAAAGCTACCGACTTTGAGAAGTCCGATCATGTCGGTGTATTCAGCGGGCTCAGGCCATTCATCATCTGGGTCATACACATTTGCCCACCTCACGTTCTTGTTCAACTCGTATGTCTGTTTTCCTCTATCAGACGCCAATATATCAATCTGAACTCCCGGATACCTTAAGCAACACCGTCCCGACATCAAAATTTTACCTCTTTCTCGCCGAATGGACAGAATTACAGTCCCGTAACTTACTTACCTGTCCTTGATCAACTGGATTGTGGGGAAAAACAGCAAGTTCTCGTACACGCCACCGGAGATTACGCAGCAACAGCGTCTAACATCTCCTCTGATCTTCAATGGCAACGAAGCAATCTCGACGGTATAACCCTGTGGAAACTTCAAGAACCCGTAAGGGTTATCTGGGTTATCCGGCGGTCTTGGATCCTCTTCTTGTTTCCCGTCGGCAAACAAGGAGCCGTACTCCATATTCGGGTCCTCGCCATCATCAAACGGGTCCAACCACGGGTTCTTCTTGGCATTGACAGAGACATCTAAAGGTTTTGGTTTTAGGGTCTGAAGGTTGAAGAAGACGAACGGTTTGGTTGAAAATGGCGGCGTTTTGAGGAATGGGGATATGGGTTTGGGTAACAGAGGGAGTGAAGCCATTGGAGGCTAAAGGGCGTTTCTTTTTCAGGGAGAAATGAAGTTGGGATTTCTGAATAAGCACAGAATGGAAGAGATAGCTCGGATAAGTGGGGCTCCCTTTTCTGGTTCCTTTTCCACCTCAAACAACTTCTGTTTTTTTTTTTCACTCTCACCAAAAAAAAAATCCACTTGTCATATATAGAGATAGCATTCAATTCTTGTTTTTTCACTAGGTAAATATATATGTTTCATACATTATATCTATATATGTATATATATAGAATGATGAAGAAGAGAACAGAAAAACATATGTATAGTCTTGGACAAACTACACTGAAGTCGATTTCGTTTGCAAGTTCATCATTGCTTGCGCGTGAAGCAAAGGAATCGATCTGGACAGTCGTAAGAACTGAATAGTACTGACATGAACCTAATCTAACAGAAAGTAACTAAAGATCTGTCCTATATATATGAACTATTTCTCTGCTGGGTTTTGTTGATACAATCTCCCTGAAACAGCTGCCGCAAGAGCTGCGGTGAATTTAGGATCTCTCGTCAAAGAAGAAGCCATCTGTTCCACCAAGTGTTTCCCAACTTCCGGGAGGTGGATTCTTGAGTTAGGGTTCTTGGTGTTACCACTGAGCTTCTCAGATTCGGTGAGATCAACGGTTATCAATGGCTCAGGCCCGTTGACTGCAGATGAAGCTGAAGCAATCGAGATATAGCGATTCAAACCGGCGTTTGCTTCCATCTGAGAAGGCATTGGATGGTTATGCTCTCCCTCGTAGGTTGCAACCAACACAGATTGGTCTTCTATGCTTCTCTGCACCTGAAACCCCATAGAGAAGATCGCAAATCAGATTGAGTTTAACCTAAAGTATGGCAACTTCGAATCTGAATTCAATGCATGTACCTTCTTTTTGACTGGACAACTCGGAGCAAAAGCGCATTTGAAGTAAGCTCTTGGAGAAGGGTTGTCCCTTGTGATCTTTTGTCCGTATTTCCTCCAATGGTACCCATCTTTCACAACCTAGAAATTTCACAATCTAATTCAGTATATTCAAAAATATAAACATCTCGATCAAAATCATAACCCATCAAATTTATCGGGCTAAAGCTCCCAACTTGTGGATCAACTCATCAAATCGAACAACATCTAATGTAAAAGTTTCCATCTTTAACCACTAAAAGACAAAAAAATCTGATGGGCTTACAAGGCTAGTATCAGAAGCTTCAGTCTTGTAATAAGCTCTAGAGACCTTCTCCTTGATGAAAGTATCTTCCCTCTGCTTCTTACACAACTCATCTTGTTCGGTGGAACTGCTCTCCGATAATCCGATGGCGTCGCGATCTTTCACCGGAGACTTGCGTTTCTTCGACGGACTCAGCTCTCTCTCCATGTTGCTGTTGCTGTTGTTGTTGTTGACGTAATCCATCAACTGGTTCTTCAAAGCGTCGTAGTTGCCGCACATCACAGTAAGCATCTGCGCGAGTTTCTTGTTCTCTGCGGTCACTCGGTTTAGTTCCTCGACCAAAGCACTCGTCTGCAAGACAACATATAAGGTTATAATAATCTTCACGTGTTATTGTTCTTTGTGGTATAAAAATCGAGTTCTTGGACATTGTAATCCAGGATCTTGGTCGGAAAACAAATGAAAAATACGTAAAGTCGATGAAAACATGAAATACCCACGAATTCTTTTACGATATCTTCAAACCAAATCCATAAGTTTTGTCAAAAGTATGGTATTGTATGATATATACAATTCGTCAACTGGGGAAATTGCAAGATAAACATACCGTGGCTTCATCTTGGACTTGCATACGATTTACACCGATGCTGAGATCCAAAGAAGTATCAACCCAAGACGAAGAATACTCCATCTACGTATAAAACTCGATCTAGGATCTCGCAGTTGTAGATCTCCCTCTTATGAGTGTGTATGTATGTGTGTGTGTGTGTATGTATGACTTCCAAAGCCGAAGGAAGAAGTTTTCAGATTCAGAGACTTGTGTTCTTTCCGTGAGAGATTGAAGAATAAATAGAAGAAGAGGAAACTCGGTGGAAAGAGAGGCAAAGGCAAAAGGCATGTGCTTTTCAATGTACATACATGCAATAAACCAATTAATGCATTATACTATATATGGACCCCCTTCGAGAAACTCTCTCATGGTGGGTCCACTTCTGTTACCCCATTGAAAATAATAATAAAATCATACCTAACACACATATACGACGGAAAGGTTTCAATACATAATTATGTATATGTAAGCGAATACTTGTTGATTTATTATTATTTTTTTGACATTTTGTTTGTCAACCCTTGAGTTATATATGACTGTTCCATCGATTCAATTTTTAGTTCCACGTTTTTCCTCCATGCATGAGATTTAACATTTATTTATCAATATTCCATTTATAATAATGTATGCATGTAGGGAATAAGTGTTGGGTGGTAACTAGATGTGCCCATTTTGATAATTACGGTGTCTATTCATATTTATTTTTCCCGAAACAAATATAATTACTCTATATATATTAGATATAATTATTTAGTACTGTAATTAATCGGTTTTTATAATAGTATTATATATTTAGGAATTGGGTCAATATCCCCATTATCTATTTTTTGTTTAGTAATTCGGAAGTTAACCTTCAATTACATCTCTCGTTGTATCGAAGAAGAAATATGAATGAATACTCATTTCTACGCTTGAATTTAAATCTGAATAAAAATATATTTTATATATTCTTTTATCACTAGGTCATTCAATCTTAGATTTATCTATTTAATTGGCGTGTCATTGTATTTCATAAATGATCTATATGATTGGAAATGGATGATCTTTAACTATAATTTATAAATAAAAGTAATATACCACGTGTTGTTAGAGTTTATATATATACATATATATAAGATTAAGGATAACGAGAGAAATGTGGGGTAATTAGTTAAGGATTATAATAGTGACTTCAAGTGTGCTAATGAAAGATTCTAAAGTAAAATAGTTGGGAGTGTAGAGTATAATAGTTTGCGGAACGTGGTTTTTGTGTCCGCGTCTGTTAGCTATAAATAATTCATCATTAAATAATAATTAATTTAATTAATATAAGTAATTTAGCCTTTTTGTGGTCAAAGTCAAGCCCACACGGCATTTCAAAAGCCACAGGAACATATTGACGTATTGGGATAATACGAATTTTATGGAAACCTAATTATTCCTTTTCCTCTCATATTCTACTTCGACTTCCATTTTTTTTTGTCTTTATATTTATTTATTAATTTATTTAGATATTTGTTGGGTTGGTCTTCAGCTCGAAGAGTTCCGAATTGACCCGATACGTCTTCTTCTCTATAATCTCGTCCTGTCTTGTCTTTTCTCTTTTTTTCATGAATTAAAAAATGTCTCCGCCACAAAAATATTACACTCCATAATTCCACCCAAGAAATTTACGTCATAATATATATATATATATATATATATATATATATATATATATAACAGAGTAAAATTCGTTCTCAAGTTCGAGTTTTCATTTATTCAATGACAATCACATGAATTTTTTCAATGTATATAATTAAATTAAAGATCCGTTAAATTTTTAGATTATAAAAAAATATAGAGTTTTGATTGAAATTTACTTAAATTATTGGGAATATATTGACTTTCTACTAAATATCATTTTAATTATCTTATCACATTTATTTTTATAAGAAAATAAATAGAAATTGAATACTTAAAATTTATCTAAAATAAAAAAAAATACTAAAGTGAGATATCAGAACCAAGGATCAAAACATTAACCTCTAACTATAATTATAGTAGTCAAAAACTTGTGGATTAATACTAATAAGATCATAGATATATAATTTCCAAAAGAAGGCGGCATTTATAGTTTATTTATAAGAGACTTAGAATGAGCAGCGGACCGATTTGACTTTTTCATGCATTAGTGAATATATAGATTCCTTTCACATCGATGACAAAGCAAACCCCTTACTAGGACATTTCGGTTTCCATTTGGGTTTGATTATTTCGGTTATAAAAAAATTATAATTATTTGGTTTTTATATATTTTTTTGGTTCGGTTCGGTTCGATTCGGGTTTGGTAAAAAAATTTATTTTTCAAAAAAATTATCGGGTTTTTTGGTTATTTTTTTATTCGGTTTGTTTCGGTTCGGTTTTGATTTTTTCGGGTTTACAGAAATCATAACTGTTCGGTTTTGATATCGGTTTTGGTTTGGATACAGTTATGTCTTATTCGATTATTCGGTTAATAACTCAAATGACCACCCCTACCCGACGACTCCAAATTCTCAAGATTTGTTCCCACACGATGTCGTATCCTCTCCTTTTTTTTTCAAACTTTAATTGGAACAATATTTCGACCTAATATGTTTTCCTTCAAAATTATATTTCAATTCGAAGTCATCCATATATGGTATAGTTTTAAATTGTTCTTTGTATTAAAACATGTCAATATTAGACAAACCCGTTTAATTAGTCTTTTTATGACGAACAACTTGATTGAAAATTATGCATACATTGATTGACCTTTTTTTTGTTATAAGTTTAAATTTTATATATACGAAAGCGGATCTATATATGCTGAAAGGAGAAGTGCAAGGCCCTATGAAATGTATTATATGAGATTTTGATAATACAAAATATAAAAAAAAAATTAGTTAACGTAAGAGAAACGACGTCCTTTTTTTTGTAAAGAAACGTCTTTTTTGCTAAATACTGAATGTGGGATTTGGAGATATATTTAAATAAAATATAGATATGATATATATGATGAATACCAAATTTGGAAAGAGTTTTATTAAAATTGGAAGGAGTTATATTTCTTTTCTTTTTTTGGTAAAGAGGAGTTATAATTCAATTAATTAGTAGAGAAATTATTCTCTTGTAAAATACAAAAAGATAATATAGGCTGATAAAGTTGTGTATTTTCAATAAAATCAAACTGGTGCATCGTACCATTAATATTTTCAATAATAAATTTATTTAGAACCGAGTGGTATGTACGTACATATATACAATAAAATATTTAGATTGAGAAAAATAATAAACGAAGAAACAAAAAATGGTCGGCGATGGAGTCAGTGACGATGAACTCTCACGTGTGGTACCCATTTTGGACAAAATTCAAGAATGCAACACTTACCATCCATTCACAATGCATTATATTAAAAAAAAAAGATTTGACTTGTTTGACCGTTGACCACATGACTCTGAAAAATATTACACGAGTGGTCGATTCGTTTCGGTCTATTTCCACCCACACGAAAAAACGGTCCATTACTAACGTATTAAACATATACTAAACTATAACATTGGCCACTGCGTTAGAAAACCACGAAATCGCTTATATTTCATGATAATTAAATAATATAAAATCATAAATAAATAAATACATACATACTTACATAATTATAATACGGCAGAACATAAAGTTCTGGTGATATCGTATGACTACCTGGTAGGTAAATGTTTTTGGGATCGCATGAAACCGCGTGGATCTTAAAGAACTTTTGTTGCAGAAATCTTGATTTTGCGTTATTACATGACACATATGGGATAAATCTTCTTTAAGGTTGTACCCTTTTGGAAAAACTTTGTATCATATATACTTTTCGATATGTTGTGTTATTACGCAAAAAATAAAACCATTTACCGATTATTTGTCCGATATATAAAAGCATGGGCATTTTATTATATATTGTAACCCATGATGATGATGATTGGATCATATGCATGCTGGCCATACTTTGAGCGAATTATAGAATTCAAATGACATGAAAATTAAGATTATGAATATATAATTTGTCCTACCACTGTAAATATAAATCAACTTTAACATATGGCATTTCAAATTATAGCACTAAATTACATATTTATATTCATGTTTAGTGTATGTGTGTGTGTGTGTGTGTATCGTTGTTGACGTGGTTTTGTTATGGATGTCCATGTCCAAGTTCATTGTACGACCATTATCTGAAAACCAGCGACCCATCCATGAATAATCTCGTGTCTGTTCAATTATTTTTTATTATTAATTTGACTTTGTAACTTTTTAGAATTGCCACGTTACAAAATCATAGATTTCATTGAAAAAGACACAGCGTCACGATGATCCGAAATTATTAAATCCAATCAGTTATTGGCTCAACTGGTTTATACAAGAACACAAAACTATTTCATTTTTTTTTTATTTTAAAAACCAAAATTTATTTAATAATTTTTTACACCGCACAATTTATGTTTTATTTTATACCTAGTAAAAGCTTCAAATTTTCAATGTGTAACAAAGAATACGGAGGAATAAATTATAACAATTGTTCAAATTTGTATGTAAAAATATTTATTTTATAAGCCCATGATTCGGATATTCCATCCGGTGTTTGAACAGTAGGAATTCGTGAAATACACGTTTTCTCCTCCATTTATTTATAATCGAATATAAACCAAAGGTTCGATGTAGGTTGCCGCTTCTTGTCATTTTCTTGAATTTTTTAATTTCTCGTAATGTATTTTATTATTTGGTCTGTTTGTTTTTTTTGGTTAAGAGGATCTTCTTTTCGGTAGCTGACCGACCAACAAAGAGGAGGCCAATTCATGGTTTGATCGAATTCTATGAATTTACTAGGCTGAATTATACCATTGACCAGTCGTGGATTGCAGTACTAAAAATAGATTGAAAACAAAAATAAATAGAAAACATGTATTTTAATAAATAAAACGAATAGAACGGGAATCAAATTGAAAATCGGTATAAAAAAACTACGGATAATATAACTTTTTATAAAATTTAATCTATAAATAAAATAAATGAAAACATAACCAAAAACCTAGATCTAAAATGTTGTCGGCCGAAGGCCCAAAGCTACAGAAAAAGGTACAAGAGCTCGAGCTTGCTACCCTTGGACAATTAGCATAACAAGTTTCCAAAAAAAATAATAATTATTGATATGTTGCATAACCGTGTTATCCCCTCAAAAAAATATTTAAATTAATCTTTAACTATATTTCAAATTACATTTAACAGGGAAAGGAAAACTCTCATTTTGGACAGTTTTGAAAGAGATGGCAAAGTTTGGTCTACTTGATTTTTTTTTAGAATTAACGTTTTTTTAGAATTTAAAGGAAATATTTTATTAAAAATGAATTTTAAATATCAAAATATAAAAACCATGAAATAATTGAAAGATAAAATTGATTTTCAAAAAAACATTAAAGATGAATTACAAGAAGATCACAAAACCTAATTTACAAAATCAGTCTTGAACCACAACAATTTGGAATCGCTATTAAAAACAACTCAACCAATCAACGTCAATTACTCGCATTCATCATTTTCTGACGTCAACATTGCAAACATTCATGAAGTTTGCCGAGTCGAGTTGCAGGTTCTGAGTTACTGTGCCGAGTTAATCCTAATTAAGAGACAAACAAAGACAGGTACTTCAGTTTCCAAAACTCGACAAGAATGATCTGAAACATAGACGAGAGTTGCAGGTTGGACGGTTCATCATGCCCCTAAACAGATATCCATACGATACTTTGCTAAGCTTATTTCGCAGATTCAGGCGCATGACCATAGATTGTACGGATGCATAAAGCATACGTTTCAGAACGTTGACATTAAAACAACCTTGCATATATATTGTATAATGCTAAGGATGTTTCAGGATATCAGCTTCTAAAGGCTAAGAAGACTCGATTTTAACGGCGTCTTGGTTGGATTGCTGGGGAGGTGGAAGGTGTCCCTTCTCCTGCAAGCTCTTGACAGTGTCGTAGAAGCATTGCTTGATCGGTGTGAACTCCATTCCCAAGTCTTTGATCTTCTGGTTCGTGAACTTGTACGGCTTCGCCCTCGGATTCTTCTCGTCCGAGCACCTGGCACATGGTAGCTTCACCGCTGAGTAAAATTTTCAAGGAGATATGAGAGACATATACACAAAGATCTGTCTATATATCTTTCTATGAGACCGGTCGATTATATTGATACCGGACCAGCCCGAATTGCTAAGAAAAGTTATGCAAATTCATGATATAGATAGAACGTATGCAGGTGGCAAAGACCCAAAATTTGGATCAAGAGATGAATCTAAATGCAGTACTCAACCATAAATTTCATATAGCGAAACATATTTTGTGAAACGGGATGCATGGTATGTTTCTTGTAGTTATAACATGATGTAAGAAGAACGAAAAAGTGACGTAAGCATAATAGAACGGTCCATGCAGATTTCACAACCGAGCATGGTTGATAAAAAATACGAGACATAAAATTTGTCAAATGGGAGGCCGAAGTACAAGCTTTACCTCCATTACAACAACTTTGTTTAATTATTTTATTTAAATAATATTGATACTTGAAATATAATCCAAAGGGATATATATATATATAGAGAACGTTATAAATTATAAATCATAGAACGTTATTTTCTCCTAAATTTACACGTCATGACAAGTGTAGAAGTGTAACTTCATAATCCGATATAATAATAAATAATATTACTTACTACTATAACAAGTTTTGTAAGACTAATAATGCAGGGTTGCTAAAACAACATATCAAGGACAAGAGCATGATGTGTTTAGAAGAGATACTTACTTGGTCGGAAGCGGATACTCAGGGAAATACTTGGCCAGTATCTCAACGACCTCCCCTTGGTGAAGCGCGCTCTCGGCCAGGATGTAACGGCCCGAAGCCGAGGGGGCCTCGAATACTAGAATGTGGGCCAAGGCCACGTCTCGGACGTCCACGTAAGCTTGGGTCGAGTTGGCATATGTCTTGGCTGAGCCGGTTAGGTACTTGAGGATATGAAAGAGACTGGCGTTAACCGTGGGCTGAAGCGGTGGCCCGTGGACCAGCACCGGGTTCAGCACCACGAGGTCCACGCCTTTCTCCTTTGCCTCCTCCCATGCCGCCCGCTCTGCCACCGTCTTCCCATAACGATACCAGTTCTGCCCAAATCTCTCTCTGTATTAGAACTTTCACGTAATCGTATTCCAGATAGAAATAGTGGGCATGGCCAATTCGACTAATAATTCAAACCGAATAACACGTAACCAAATCCGAATCGAATTCGATATAAAAATCAAAGAAGACGACCTTAGCGCTCTTGCAGAAGTCAAGATCACTCCAACAATTTTCGTCCACAACGGCATCAGGGTCACGGTTCGGGTCCACGTGGACGGCTGCGATGGAGGAGGTGGTGACCACACGCTTGACCTTGGCTTCGGCAGCCGCTCTGACGACGTACTTGGCTCCGTTCACTGCCGGCTCCAACATTTTTTCCTTTTAGCCATTCAAAAGCAAATAAAAGTAATTACATATAACTAGAACTAGAAATAAATGTTTTTATCAGACAAATCATTTACGCGAACTGAATACTAGAAGACAAAAAATGCAATAAAATTATACATTAATTACAAGTACGTTAACAGGAAGAAATTATTGAGCATATAATATTTTCCCAAACTCATGGGACTCGACTCTTTCAGAGTCAACGGTTTGACCCTACATATGCCACAATTTTCCTGCATTTTACTAACGTTTTTATTTTATCAAACATTTTATTATTTTTTATGTTTTAGTGTTTACATATATATATATATAAGAAAGTTACTTTCCCAAGAAAGTTTTTTTTGGTTAAATTCCCAAGAAAGTTCATTTTCCAGTTACTCAAATAACTTGAGCCTTGAGGTCGGATTCAATTACGTTATGTTTTACACCCTATTTGTTTTGGTTAAGTGTAAACCGAACCGGAATCTGCGCCATAACCAGCTATGACAGGTTTTCGGTAACCTTAGCCGAACTCGGGCAAGATTGTGTGGGTCCCACTTTTTCCACCTTTCTGTGAAAAGAATTGTTTTCTAGAAATCGAGGAAGAAGAGAAGAAGAAGCTTACGGGATCGTCGGTGATGGGAGAAGCAGTGTGGAAGACGCCATCGCAGCCTTCGATCGCCTCCTTGAGAGCACCGTAGTCCTCCAGATCCGCTCTGCACAGGATCAGCCTCTCCTTCGCTCCTTCGAGCTCTCTCAAATGGCTGTTCTTCGGATCATCTTCATCCACACACACATGCAAAACCCTAATGAGTCGATCCGGTTCAATTCGAGCTACACATGTATATGCATGTACGTGTATAAATACCTGGGTTGCGTACGGTTCCTCTGACGACGTAACCTCGCTCCAGGAGCAATTTGACGATCCAAGAGGCGATATATCCGCCGGCCCCGGTGACGCATACGGTTTTTCCGACCGGAGGAGAGACGCCGACGGGCATTGTCCGGCGATACGTAGAGAGACAGAAAGTATCCTAATGTGACGAACTGGGAAATTATGATGTACGGGTACGGAGTGTGTTGGTGTTTGTGTATATATAGAGACAGAGAAGGACGTTACCATGGTCACCTAGCCATGGTAAAGAGTTGGTGAAGCAAAAAAATATATGAGAAAAACAAAATTAAGAATTAATTAATTTTTAATCTTTTTTATAGAAAGTTCGTGGGGCTGGTGAAAGGATATGTTCTTTGAAATTTCTTTATGTGAAATTGTTGGGAATTTAATAATAATTCTAAAAATGGGAACAAGAGTACAATATTAACAACATTATCATAAATAATTTGTAAAAAAAACGGTGGTATATTCTTAATACTGTTTAATCTTATCCAGATATATAATTTTTTTTATAGGAAAGAAGAAAAACAAGGAGAAAGAATTAACCTTAACACAAAAATTCTGAAAAAAAAATAATCTCAGTTGTGAAATAACCATAATATTTGGATTCCGACATGTAATGCTGTTCGATGATTTACTGAGACTCGAGGTGCTTCCTCACCACATTGAGTGCGGTTGTCTCCTCACCATAGTCCTGTAAGATGAGAGACGACCAACCAAAAACCGACAAGTTAAAGATGGCAGAAAGAACAGTACAAGGATAGGATGGCAGTTAAGAGTGCAAGATTATATACCTTCACCACAATGCAGGAGCATCCAACAACTTTCCTGGCCCCGCCCTCCGAATCAATCTTGCATAGCTGCAGCCATAGTTGTAAACTCAAACCCAATTCACAGGGGAACTTTTCATAATCAGAGTATTAATTAATCATGTTTACCGATAACCACACGTTGAGTTTGTTTGGTTACTCTCACTTCCATGGGAAGGATGAGAACAAGGACCAACTAAACGCATCTCTATCATTACAAGGGAAACCCACATTTGCTGAAAGAGAGCTGAAGTTCAAAGACTTACACCGGCCCATTCACCGAGTGTTTTGGCATCTTGAACAGTTAGCAAGTTAATGTTGTGGTCGGTACAAAGTGCTTTGACAAGCTTGACGTAATCGGGTTGGTCACAACTTTCAGCCAACCCGATTAGGGCATAGCCATTTGAATTGGTTCGATTTTGATTTTTGTTGATAAAAATATTTATATTTTTAAGAAACTCAAGTTTTATTTTTATGTTTTATTTAATTCAGTTCAATTTTATTTGTTTTTCACTGGTTTGTAATTTTTTTTTCTTTTGAGATGGTAACATGTTTTTCTCACTAAAATTGGAATATTTTGAAGTCGAAATATTTGAAAATAATTGAAAGAATGTTAAGAAAAACGGAGAGCTGAAAGCAGGAGAAAAGAGCGTATACGATGGGAGTGAATACTAATATTTCTCTGTAATGTTTTTTTTTTTTTGTTCTATGGATATGGGATATATCTTTGGGTTAAGTTAGATTTTATTTCATATTGTAATTAAAAAAACGTATTCAATAAATACTGATGCGACAACGGAAGAAATGAGGCTCTAATAATCAGAAGCTGCTCTTGAGAGGGATATAATGAGACGCAGAATTGCAAAAAACAATCACACGGCACCACCAGAAGATACCCAACGAAAAGGGAAGAAAAATAAAAAGATCAATCCAAAGGGTTATGATACAGAGAGCATCAGAAGCATATAATTAAATAGGAGAATAATAATAATAATAATCATCTGAAATGGGTTTTCAGAGTGAACGACGTAAGAACCGCTGCTTGGTAGCATCATCCTCCCACTCAGCTCTCTCTGCCCAACTTCTCTCCACCCGCATCAATCGGATACCCTTCTTGGCGCTCTCAGAATCCAGGGGAAGCCTTCTCAGCTCCGGACAGTGCCATACCTCGATATGGTTGAGGTTTGGAAAAGGCAGAGTGCCCGGACAGATGCTCTTCAGCTTTTTCAATTGGAGCAGCTCAAGGCGTTCAAGTTTTTCAAAGGGCGTGATGGGTGGTTGCCCATTCCTAATAGCTTCCGCTTTTTCTCCGTTTATGATCTCCTCCACTTGCGGCGAGTCCCATACTACCAGTGAAACAAGATTTGGGGCAAACAACAGCCACGTCAGATCCTTCAGACTCCTGCAGTTGAATATCAAAACCTGGGAGAGGTTACTGAAGCGTGGGGTGGACAGACTGTCGTCAATGGGAACCTTTATCTCCCAGATATCAGAGTCTTCAATCTCAAGCCATCGTAGACTGCCCAAAGCTGCAGGGTCAAATACTAAAACTGATGCCGACGATCTTTCAATTCGTAATTGTCGAGTAATACTTGTCAAACGGCGGATGCCTAGAAATCTTTCCGCAGCCTCACCGTTTACAGTTATTGTCAAGTCTGCTAAATGCTCCAGCTGTTGTATTTCCTCCAGTAGCTGTAGATCGCACTTAACACCATACGAGAACAATCTCAGCACTTGCAGATTCCGCAGACTTGATATCCTCCATCCAATACCTGCCAAGCCGCACGTAAACTCTAAGTTCAAGTGTGTTAGCTCTCTCAGCTCTTGTAAACCAGCCGGTAACTGCTTAATCGCTGTAACAGATAAGTCGAGATATCGCAAGGAGGCTAGCTGCGATACTTCTTCTGGCAATTCCACAAGATTGTGGTTCCACGATAGTTCCAAGACCATAAGTTTCCGCATACCCCGAAAGAATTCGCCAGAAATCTTCTTCACTTTGTTTGTCTGGAGGAATAAGGTTGTAAGCTCAGGGCAGTTGGCATCTCCATCTATCTCCTCTATCTCATTATTCATCAGCGACATCTTTCTCACTTCTTTCCGGTTTTGGATGTCAGGAACCCGACGTAATCTCTCACGGGCTTTCACGATATAGCACTCTTCCCGCTTCCCACAGTCAGATGCTATCCAAAGGGCCATCTCACGAATCACATCATGCATTTTCGCACAATTTCCTGGATCATTGTCCATCAACAGATATGCAGAAATTAACGTACTGATTATATCATGACCCTCGTCAAGAGCTTTGTCTCTATCTCCGGAACCTTTTGTGTTTATATATCCTTCACATATCCAATAATCTATCAGCTGCTCTCTGTCTATTTTATGATCTTCCGGAAACAGAGCACAATACAGAAAGCACATTTTGACCTCTTCGTTCTCTAAGTGATCGTAGCTAAATCTCAGAATTTGAAGAATCTCACTTTTCATACCAGGAAACTTAGGGCTAGATGAATCCAGGACATTGATTGCATGACGCCATTGCTCTACCGAGTTTTTAGGAGCCATTGCCTTGCCAATGACGTTGAGCGCAAGTGGTAAATTACCGCATTTTTCAGCAACTTGTCTAGCAAGGTTGGGAATTTCTGGGTGACTCGTCAATGCCATTTCTCCGACTATCCTTTGAAACAAGTCCCACGCATCAACATCTGACAAACATTTAACTTCCATCTTGTCATCAGCATTCATCCGAATGCATATTTTCTCCGAACGAGTGGTGAACACTACTTTGTATTTATTTTCTTCGGTCGGAGATGGAACTCCTATCTCACTCAAATCTACTTCACTCCATAAATCATCCAAGAACAAAACGAATCTCTTTCCACTAAGAGCATTACGTATGTCGGAGCCCTTTGCCTGTTCACCAAAGCCTAATCTTGCCCCGATTTGCTTTTGGATACTCTCGATGGGTGAAACCCGAGACACCACGACCCAAATCACAATGTCGAATTCTTTTTCGACTTGGGAGAAGTTGTTATTGATGTGTTTAAGGAGGGTGGTCTTACCTACTCCCCCCATGCCGTAAAGCCCAAAGATGCCGACTTCATCTTTCATTAGACCATCCCAAGCCCTTTGCCTCAACGAGTCCAAACCGACTAGCTTGGATTGGATATCCTTTGTCTCCACCGTAGGTGTCGGAGGTTTGTCCACCAACCCATCGAAATCCCCTTCCTCTTTTTCAAGGCCTGCAATTTCTTTCAAATTCTTCTGCACCTTCTTGCCGTAATCATAACTGGATTTGAGCTTAGTGGAACAATATCCATACAAACACAGTCTGTCGAGTTCGGTCGCCTTTGCATCCAGCAGCTTTCCTACTTTGACTTCAATTTTTTCGACCCTCAAAAGCCATCCTCCAACTCGATTGCGCCGTACGAAACCTTTTTTTTCTTCGTCGGAGATCGTTCTCAAAACGTCGGCCCGTTTGTCTTTGAGCCTTTGGATCGCAGTCTCCAAATCTTCGACATGTTCGTTGAGATTGCTGATGTAACATTCCTGGCTACAAAGACATTGGGAGAGATGATTTCCCACGAGACCCCATAACACCTTGAATACAAACAAAAAATCCATCCTGGAAGAGAAATCTGAGATGGGTTTAGGGAATCAGAAAGGAGGACAGAAACGATGGAGGGACAGAGAGAGGAGCAGTAATCTCTCTTCGTACAAATGGCTAAAATAATAATACAACCTTAGAATTGCAAATGGCGCCACGACAGCTGTCTCCTACAACACCCCCTCCTAAGGGTGGGCAATTCGGTTCGGGAATTTAGTCCCGAACCGTACCAAACCGATTAATTCAGGAACGGTTCGGTTCGGTATTATATAAAAATACCGAACGGTACAAAATTTAAGATACCGAACGGTTCGGAAACGGTTCGGTTCGGTTTGGGAAATACCGAACGGTATTTCGGTATTTTTATTTTTTAATTAAAAAATATTTAATATTAATAATTAATTATGATAATTACTAAATATTAATAAATTGTTTACGTCATGTATTTAGATTTATGTTTATTTTATTTATTAATAATAATTAATAGTGATATTTATTTTGTTTAGTATTGTCAAAGTTCAATAAATTATTTATTTTTATTAATTTTGATTATATTTAATATAAGTTGTCTATATTTTATTTTATAAATATTTTATTTTTATCTCTTTTTATTTATTTTTTTATATTACAGATACTTTATTTTATTGGTAAAAAAAATTGATTTCTACATATTATATGATTTTTAAAACGTAATTTAAAGTTTTGATCATATTTATAGAAAATTTCAAAATTATTATGTTAAATTTCTTTACGGTTACATCAAATTTAAAACTTTTATTTTTGTTGTCTAAATTATTATGTTAGATTTTTTTATTTTTATACTATATGAATTATATGAACCGTCTCGAACCGTCCCGAACCGTTTTTATTTCGGTTCTTATTTGGTACTTATTTATTAGTACCGTTCCGTCCCGAACCGTCATAATACCGAACCGAACCGAACCGAATAATATACGGTACTAATTTGGTACAAATTTTATAATACCGAATAAAACGTTTCCGAACCGAACCGTTAAAATTCCGAACCGAATCCCGAAACGCCTACCCCTCTCAAATTTTAAAAGACACAATCACGTTGCCCATTTGACAAAGATGGTCACTTTTGTCAAAGATGAAGAAATTTTCCAAAAGAAAAAGAATAAAGTGAACCAAAGTCACTTTTGTCAAAAAAAAAAATGGTCACAATTGCAATTTTTTTTATTAATGTCGGTTCCATAATTTTTTGTTTTTATCTTACCTTTTTTCCTATATAAACGGCGTGAAAAGGGGATCTGTAATTATATATAAAATATAAATAAAATAACCCTATACTCTGTGAATTATTTACCGAAATATTTAAGATTTTTATTTTATTTCTATAGAGGGAAAATCCCAAAAATATTATCGAATTTGGAGACATATTAATATCGAACTTTTTAAACTTCGAAATTAAATATGAACTCGTCGATTTTGACATAAAAATTATTGAACTTGTAAATTTTAGACAAAAAATCGACTAAGGAGTGATCTGACCTGACGGATAACTCAACGTCTCGTAATCCGCCACGTCAAAAAAAATTTTAATTTAAAACAAAAATAAAAACAAAATAAAAACAAAAATAAAAATAAAAATAAAAATAAATAAATAAATATAAATTAAAGATAAAATTAAAATAAAAAATAAAATAAAAATATCAAAATGAAAAGTTATTAAAAAAACAAAAACAAAAACAAAAACAAAAATATACAATGTACAATGTGCAATATACAATATATATATATAAATATATATACATAAAATAGTAAATATTAAATGTAAATATTTATTAATATATACATATATGTATATATATACATATATATACATATGTATATATATATATTTAATAGTTACTATTTTATACATATATATATATATGTATATGTAAATTTTGAAATGTTTATTATATTTTTAGTTATTTTTAATGTAATTACAATTATTTTAATATATATATATAGTTGTGTATATATTGCATATATATTATATATTTTTCATATATCTATCTATATACATAAATACATATATATTTATACATGTATATATATATTCATATGAATTTGTAAATATAAGTATATATATATTTTTGTATATATGTATATATGTAATATTAAATATTAAATTTGTATATGTATAAATATATATATATATATGAATATATATAAAAATATACATATTTAATTTTTAATAATAATTTGCATATATATTGTATATTTTTTTGTTTTCATTTTTTATTTTAATTTTAATTTTATTTTTATTTTTTTAAAATTTTTTATTTTATTTTTTTTGTTATTTTTGTTATTTTTTTTATTTTTTATTTGATTTTATTTTTATTAATATTTTTATTTTAAATTAAAATTTTTTCTGACGTAGCAGATGACGAGGCATTCCGCCACGTCAGATCAACCGTTAGTCCATCTAACGTCGTTTAACGTCGATGAGATTTTCGTCAAAAATTTACAAATTCAATATTTTTTATGTCAAAATCGACGAGTTCATGTTTAATTTGAAAGTTTGAAAAGTTCGGTATTAATATGTCAGTTATCTCCAAGTTCAGCAATTTTTTTGGGATTTTTCCTTTTATCTATACCTAAACCATTTTGTTTTTGTTTTTTTTTATCTATTGACCTAAAAAAAATTCTAAAAATATATACATATTATAATATTTTTAAAATTTTTAGATCTTAATTATATTTTTCATCAAATATATAATTTTGTTGGTAATTTAACTTGTTTTTATATTTACAAATCTTGTCCATACAACTACAAATCTCAATCACATATATCCAATCGATTGATATACGGTTGTTATAAGATAAAAGATAATACTTTTATAAACCCATGAAAACGAAAAACAGATATTATGAAAATATAGATATTCGATTTGTGTTCACCTTTATTCAAGATTTTTACGGTATATATTTTAAAATTCTAAAACAAAAATTTAATGAAAACACAATATATAAAATAATATATAAAAATTGTAATCAATACAGATATAAATTATAACTAAAACAAAAAAGTAATTCCATCATTTTTCTTCAAATTCTTGATGTAAACTCCCTGCCCATATAGAAACTTGAAGACATGTCCCGCCGTGAACTTCCATAAAACCTTCAATGGCAAACACATATCCATCCTCGAAGAGCAATCAGAGATGGGCTGGAAGCAGCAGAAGAAAGAAAGCGAACGAGGGACAGACACAACACGAGTTGGAATCTCGTTTTTTGTACAAATGGCTGTTATAATACTACCTTATACTCTCAAATGGCGAGTTGACTCAGTTAATTCAACACAAAAAAATGGTGACATCGCATTCGGTATGCGCAGTTTCATCATAACACGTTAATGCCATATTATTACGAAATTACAAAGAAACAGTCATGTTGCCCATTGACGAATTCAGCCAATAGAAAAAGAATAAAGTGAACCAATGTCACTTTTGTCAAAAAAGTGGTCACAAATGGAACTTTTTATTTTTATTTTATAATTGTGGTTCCATTTAATTTTTGTTTTTATCTTACCTCCCTGCCTTTATAAACGGCGTGGATAGTGTATATAAATAAAAGGGATAATCGCATAAAAATAACCGAACTTTTACAAAAATTCCAAATAAATACCCGAACTATAAAATTGTCATATAAATACCTGAACTTTTCAAAACTCCCACATAAATACCCAAACTTTTAATTTTTTTCCAAATCAAACAAACGCAACTGTTGACTCAGCAAAAAACTGCTGACTCAGCAAAAAAAACTGTTGACTCAGCAAAAAACTGATGACTCAGCATTCAAAAATATTATTAAATATCTAAATATTCATCTACATATATTTAAATTAATATATACATATAAATTCACATATATATACTGAGTCAGCAGTTGCTTTTAACGACATTAACGGATGAGTGTTTGATTTGGAAAAAATTTAAAAGTTTGGGTATTTATGTGGGAGTTATGAAAAGTTCAGGTATTTATATGACAATTTTATAGTTCGAATATTTATGTGGGATTTTTGTAAAAATTCAGGTATTTTTATGCGATTATCCCTATATATATTGTGGTTATGTGTATATGTGTTTTATTAATTATAAATAATTTTATTTTTAATATATATATATATATATTTGTATATATATGTGAATTTATATGCAATATTAATTTAAATATTATGTAGATAAAAATTTGGATATTTAATAATATTTTTTTTGCTGAGTCAGCAGTTTTTTGCTGAGTCAACCAGATTTTTTTACCGAGTCAGCAGTTTTTTTGCTGAGTCAGCAGTTGCTTTTAACGACATTAACGGATGAGTGTTTGATTTGGAAAAAATTTAAAAGTTTGGGTATTTATGTGGGAGTTATGAAAAGTTCAGGTATTTATATGACAATTTTATAGTTCGAATATTTATGTGGGATTTTTGTAAAAATTCAGGTATTTTTATGCGATTATCCCTATATATATTGTGGTTATGTGTATATGTGTTTTATTAATTATAAATAATTTTATTTTTAATATATATATATATATATTTGTATATATATGTGTGAATTTATATGTATATATTAATTTAAATACATGTAGATGAATATTTGAATATTTAATAATATTTTTAAATGATGACAGCAGTTTTTTGTTGAGTCAGCAGTTTTTTTTGCTTAGTCAGCAGTTTTTTGCTGAGTCAGCAGTTGCATTTGTTTGATTTAGAAAACAAATAATTTTATTTTTAATATATATATATATATATTTGTATATATATGTGAATTTATATGCAATATTAATTTAAATATATGTAGATGAATATTTGAACATTTAATAATATTTTTGAATGATGAGTCAGCAGTTTTTTGCTGAGTCAGCAGTTTTTTTGCTGAGTCAGTAGTTTTTTGCTGAGTCAGCAGTTGCGTTTGTTTGATTTAAAAAAAATTTGGAAAGTGTGGGTATTTATGTGGGAGTTTTGAAAAGTTCAGGTATTTATATGACAATTTTATAGTTCGGGTATTTATTTGAGATTTTTGTAAAAATTCGGGTATTTTTATGTGATTACCCCTAAATAAAAATAACCCTACACTCTCTCTCTGGAGTTATTGACCAAAATATTTAAGATTTCTATTTTGTTTCTATCTATACCTAAACCGTTTTCACTTTTTATCTATTGGCTTTTAATTTTTTTTTTCCTAGAAATCTATACATATTATAATATTTGAAAAAAATTCACATTATTTTTGAATATATCTTAATTTTTTTCCCTATAAATCTATACATATTATAATATTTGAAAAATTTTCACATTATTTTTGAATAAAAATATATATGATTTGTTAGATGTTTGATTTATTTTTAGTTTTATAAGTCTTGTTTATGGAGATATAAATCATCTCTCAGTCATGTATATTTAACCGGTGGATATTCGGTTATTACGCGATAGAGAAAAAAAAATAATACTTGTATAAAAGCTGCCTCTTGCAATTATGGCAAAGAGAGAAGAGAAGTGATATTACGGGCATAACCTAATGTCACATAAACGCGGGTATTTGCTCAATTTTTGTTAATTATTATTGTGGGTTTCATTTAATTTTTGTTTATATCTTACCTTTTAATGATCACTACAATAGTTAAATGAAGAATATGAACGAACCAGACATAAAACATGGTATTCAATGAATAAAAAACCCAAATCATCAAAGAAGAGAAGCAAACACACGCAACAAGCTGATCAGAGAAAAAAAAAACCCTATACATTGGAAACGCGACCCATCAATCAGAAACAAAATCATAACTCGACAAAGTATCCAAAGTCGAAACACAACTCATCCAAGAAAACCAATAGTCTGTGGGCGAGCAGTTGGGGGCAAAACACTCAGAAGTTCACATATTGATTATTTTTCTGAGAGTTGTAGTTGGACAAAAGGGTTCAGTGAATTTTTCGATTATAAAAAAAACACAAAAGAAACCCTAGAAAAAGAATTTTTCCGCCAAAAAGAAGCAGAGAGTGTAATGAAAGCATAACAGAGCCCATAACCGAATCAGCAGACAGACGACCAAAGGAGGCTACGACAGGAAAGACACTTACCCAGACATATTGTCTCTTTCAAATGCCTTTGAATAAACGAAACAAATAATCAGAAGCTGCTAATCTCCCGAGAGACATGAAGAGATGCAGAAGAATTGCAAAAAAAGAGCGCCAAATGAAGATGAAAACAATCCAAACCCAACAGAGCTTCCACCGAAAAGGATCAATCCAAAGGGTTATGATACAGAGAGAGAGAGAGAGAGAGAGAGAGAGCCTGAAATAGAGATGGGGAAAAAGGTTCCTCCTCGCTTCACGATCGATCCTGATAGACGAACAAGGGTAAGAACCGCTCCCTTGCAGCATCATCCACCCACGCAACTCTCTCTGCCCATCTTCTCTCCGCGCGTATGCCTTGGAAACCCCTCCTGGCGCTCTCAGAATCCAGGGGTAGCCTTCTCAGCTCTGGACATTTGCTTATACTGATTTTCTTGAGGTTTGGAAAAGGAAGAGTGCCCGGGCAGATGCTCTTCAGCTTTTTCAATTGGAGCAGCTCAAGGCGTTCAAGTTTTTCAAAGGGCGTGATGGGTGGTTGCCCATTCCTAATGGCTTCCGCGCTTTCTCCGTTTATGATCTCCTCCACTTGCGACGAGTACCACACACCCAGAGACACAAGATTTGGGGCAAACAACAGCCACGTCAGATCCTTCAGTCTCTTGCATCCTAATATCATGACCTCGGAGAGGTTACGGAAGCATGGAGTGGACAGACTGTCGTCAATGGGAAGAATCGTCCTGCTTGCTAAATCTACCTTTATCTCCGAGATATCAGAGTCTGTAATCCCAAGCACTCGTAGGCTGCCCAAAGCTGTAGGGTCCAATACTAGAACTGATGCTGATAATTGATCAATTCCGAAGCGTCGAGTAATACTTGTCAAGCGGCGGATGCGTAGAAACCTCCCCACATCGTCACCATTCACACTTATTGTCAAGTATGCTAAATGCTCCAGCTGTTGTATTTCCTCCAATAGCTGTAGATCGCAACTAACGCCAGACCTCCACAATCTCAGCACTTGCAGATTCCGCAAGCTTGATATCCTCCATCCAATACCTTCCAAGTCGTTATGCTCTAAGTTCAAGTGTGTTAGCTTTCTCAGGTCTTGTAAACCAGCCGGTAACTGCTTAATCCCTGTCCATGCTAAGTTGAGATATTCCAAGGAGATTAGCTGCGTTATTTCTTCTGGAAAATCGGTAAGAGTCATGTTCTTCGAAAGATCCAAGACCACAAGTTTCGGCATACCTCGAAAGAATTCGCCAGAAATTTTCTTCACATTGTTTTTCTGGAGGAATAAGGTTGTAAGCTTACGGCAGTTGGCATCTCCGTCTATCTCCTCTATCTCATTACTCATCAGCGACATCCTTCTCACTTCTTCCCAATTTTGGATATTGGGAACCTGGCGTAATCTCTCACCGGCTTTCACGATATAGCATCCTTCATGCTGTCCACGTTTAGGTACTATCCAAAGGGCCATCTCACGAATCACGTCATGCATTTTCACCCTCTCTCCGGATTCATCGTCCATCAATAGACATGCGGAAACTAACGTACTGATTATATCATGACCCTCGTCAACAGCTTCGTCTCTGTCTCCGCGACATTTTGTTTTTATAATTCCTTCACATATCCAATAATCTATCAGCTGCTCTCTGTGTATTTCGAAATCTTCCGGAAACAGAGCACAATACAGAAAACCCATTTTGACCTCCTCACTCTCTAAGTGATCGTAGCTAAATCTCAGAATGGGAAGAATCTCGTTTCTCATACCTGTAAACTCATGGCTAGAAGAATTCAGAACACGGATGGCATGCCGCCATCGTTCTACCGTCTTTTTACTAGCCATGGCCTTGCCAATGATGTTGAGAGCAAGGGGCAACTCACCACATTTTCTAGCAATCTTTCTAGCAAGTTTGGGAATGTCTGGGTGACATTTCAATGCCATTTCTCCGACTTTACTTTGAAACAAGGCCCATGCATCATCCCATGACAGACATTTAACTTCCATATTGTCATCAGCCTCCATTCCAATGCATATTTCCTCCGAACGAGTGGTAAACACTACTTTGCATCCATTTTCTCTGGTCGGATGCAGAACTTTTATCTCGCTCAAATCCACTTCACTCCATAAATCATCCATGAACAAAACAAATCTCTTTCCACTGAGAGCATTGCATATGTCTGAGGCCTTCTCCTCTTGAGTTTTTCCTCTCCATTCATCGTCACGAAAGCCTAGTCTCTTCCTGATTTGCTCTTGGATACTGTCGATCGGTGAATCCCGAGACACCTCAGCCCAAATTACGACATCGAATTCGTTTTCGACGTGGGAGAAATTGTTATGGATATGTTTAAGGAGGGTGGTCTTGCCCACTCCCCCCATGCCGTAAAGCCCGAAGATTCCGACTTTCTCTTTCATCAGTCTCTCCCAAGCCCTTTCCATGAACGAGTCCAAGCCAACTACCGTGGATTGGATATCCTTTTTCTCCACCTTAGATGTCGGAGGTCTCACCGCCACGGCACCAAAATCTCGTTCCTCTGATTCAAGGCCTTCGATTTCTTTCAACTTCTTCGCCACCTCCTTACCGTAGTCATAACTGGATAATGGTTTGGTGGAACAGTATCCACACAAACACAGCCTGTCGATTTCGGTTGTACTTGCATCCAGCATCGTTCCCACTTGGATCTCAGCTGCTTCGACCCTCGAAAGCCATCCTCCAACTTGAGCGAGCCGTTGTAACCCTTTGTTTTCTTCGTCAGACACCCTTCTCTTAACGTCGTCCCGTTTGTCTTTGAGCCTCAGCATCGCGGCCTGCAGAGCTTCAACATTTTCTTTGAGACTGCTGATGTAAGATTCCTGGCCACAGAGACATTTGGAGAGACGACTCCCGAGATCCCATAACATCTCGAATAGAAAAAAGAACTCCATTGTGGAAGAGAAATCAGAGATGGGTTGAGAGCATCAGAAAGAAAGACAGAGATGAGGGACAGACAGAAACATGAGTGGTAGCCTCTCTTTGTACAAACAGCTAAAATAATAATTCAACCTTCCAGGACTTTTCAAAACGCAAGTGGTACCACGACAGCTGTCCCCGACAAACTCTTATAACCAATTTCCTCGTAACACCTTGACGAAATATTTTAAACTTTAAATTTTTCAAAGAAACGTTCATGTTGCACTTGCACAGGGGCAACTGCTCGAAATTACCCTTTAACTGTGACATGAATTTGTCTTGTACACCCCAAAAAACGTAAAAGGACTAGATATACTTAAAAACATAAAATAAAGTAAAAAAATCAAATACAGTATTAGGTGCTAGTTATCTATCAATCGCATGCATGTAACAAGAATCGTATACGTCGCTCTATCATTCTTTTTTTTTAAAAATGAATTTGAGGTTTGTTTGATGAAAGAAACTGGAATAATGAAAAATGTTGAAGCCAGAGGCTTGAGCAGCTCGACAAAGATGGAAACTTTCAGGCTTGTTTTTCACGAATCCATTCCACAAAGTTGTCGATAATCAATGGCCACGCAAGCTCGGGATTGTAGTTGGTCATGTCCGGGAAACTCATCTGTCGATAAGGGTAACAGGACCATCGATGGATCGGATGAAGCGAGCAAGCTTAAAAGCGACAGAACTACGGGATGTACCTCGTTGCAGAACCGGTAAAAGCCCATCCACTGGTCCATGTTTATGACTTTGTAATCACTTTGGATCTGCGTTAATGGAGAAAGAGAAAACATGGGAATGATAAGTTTGCACCTCGCAGAGAATTAGATAGAGAGATTCAGAACTTGTAAAGGGAAAGATGCAGTCTTTGAAGATAAAAAAGGTGATCCAAACCTTAAGATATTCGACAATGTAATCAACTTGGGCTCGGAACGTGGATCCCAGTACGATATCGAGGAGTTGGCAGATAGTTTCGATGTCTATGCTCTTTTGTTTTTTCTCTGCAACAGACAGTTAACCCAAAGGGTCACACAAGCACCAGAGGTGAAAACCAAGTATCTCATGCATTTTCACCCTGAAATGGAATCTCGTGGTACCTGTCAAGCAATATTGGAAGGCATACGCATAGAAATCCGCAAAATTTGACGGCCTTCTGACCTTAAAATCAATACGGACTTCCGTATAAGAGTATCAGTAAATCTCATTATACATTGCGAAAATAGAAAACCGAATATAGAAGCTCAAACCTCTTTCGCGAGCTCCAGAAGGGTTTTCTTCAATTTACTAATAGTATCGGCCCTCGATGCATTCAAGCCTCTTCTCCACTCCTACAAGTGCACAACAAGTTGAGATTTAAAAAAAAAAGGATCAAATCAATTAGTATGAACCTCAACTTAAATACAGCAGGAGACGTATACATCTCTTTGTCACTCAGAAATTAAGATCATGATCCTTGCCAGTGTAAAGTAACCTTGTTTCTCAGATTTCATTTTCCTGCCATGTGGAGTTAAAAAGGTAAAAGGATATGCAGCTGCACATAGAATCAACAAAAACATTAAAATTTTGACAGTATGCAACACATCCAAATCAGAGCATAATTCTTCGATTCCTTCCGGACGGTTCAGAAAATTAGAACCTGTTCCCGAACAACCAACAAAGGAAGAACGTATGCCTAGTTCTTCGATTCCTTATTCAAAGTTTTAGCACAAAAAAAGAGAGACTTGACATAGATTGCAATATATCCAAACTGCGGAAAGAACACGTGCCATCCCGTAGAATCCAAATCCGCTGAGTTTACATTGCGCGTTAAAGTACCTCGTTGAGAAATATGATTCATACAATAATGGATGCTTACTCAATCATGTTGGAAGACCTATTGGCATATTGGTAAAGCAAGTTATCTATTCGTTCCATCTCCTTGGATGAAAGCTTTACTCGAAGCTGGACCGACAACAACTAACATAAAGACGTAGCAAAGAAGAAGCAACAGCAAACTTCACCGGCACTGAGAAAGATAGAGAACACCATGACATAAGGAGCCTCCTGTTCAATAAGATTAAGCAGAGAAAAAAAATAACGAATCCATAAGTCAATTCCAAGGTTTGATTTCAAAAGTCAAATGCTAATTTTTGCCAACGTCAATTATCTTGGTTTCTCTTCATCATCACGAGCAACGAGTTTATCGGCTTATCGAAATTCACCTCAATTATGAATTTAAAGCTCAAAAGCACAAAGAAGTATAACACAGCGGAGCAGAACCAAAGTTTAATCTTGATTACATGAACCCTAAGCGAATTCCGATCGAGAATTCAAATGGATTAGGCAGAGAGATAAGAGACACATACCGGAGCGAAAAAGATCCGTGGCTGAAGATGCGATCAAACTGACGGTAGAAGGTTGACTCGATTTCTTCGATGCAGAACGACGCATCTGCACTAAGCCCAGAATTTAAGAGTCGATTTTTCGAATAAAACAACACAAGTGCATGCAAAAAACAAAGCGATAAACTAATCTTAACAAGAAAGAGTGAGAAGACAAGAAGAAACACCACGACAGAGGTCTACGAAGCCTCGAGCTTGAGAAATCTCAGAGACAAAGTGGCTGGTTTCTTCCAGGAGAGAGACGAAAAAGATGAGTTTCGCCGCCGGAGCATTTTTGAAGTGCGAGTTAGTGATCATCAACACATTTTTTTTGGCTTTTTTTTTCGTCTCTAGATTATAGATTTTCTTTATTTGATTACAAATTATACATTCTCAAAAAACAATAATAACAAATACCTTTCCATTTGTTTTTAAAAAAATATCCAAAATATTTTGTCAATGGTAAGAGAGATAGACAATGAGAAGAATTCTCAAAATTTAAAAGATTTTAAAGAAAAAAACATGACAGTATGGTAGGAACAAATAAAGGAAGGAATTTTATGAGAAAAGTAAATATGTTTTTTCCGAACATATAAAGATTAAGAAAAAGAGATAATAGGAGATAAATATATGAATTTTTATAAAATTTTTAAATAAATACTTAAAATATAAAATTTATAAATAAATATCTAAACTTTTTAAAATTTCTATATAAATATCCAAACTTTTAAAATTTTATCAAATAGAATAACTTTTGTTAACGTGAGTTATCATTTTTATAATTTAGATATTTATTTGAGAATTTTGTAAAAATTTACTTATGTATGATTATCTTTAAGAAAAATGATAAAAAAAGGTTAATAAAAGGAAAAAAAATATTGAACAAAGAAAGTAGGGTATAAAGAGAGATTTGTCCAACTGAAAGAAAATTAACGAAGTAGAGAGAGTGTTTGAGTCGTGTATAAAATTAAGGAAAAAACGTCTATATTTAGTTATATCAATATATATATATATATTGCGTATTTAATTACCAAATATCGTTAACAATAATGGGCCTCCGCTAAAACATAATATTGGGCTTTAAAAGCCCAATTAAACCTTTTGGCGGAATGCCGTCCGTACAATACAATGCGTCCGATGGACGCTCACCGTGCGTCAAGTCTTACGCTTAAGATCCTCCTCCGTTGGGCTTCTCCTCCTCTTTCACTGCAAACGTATCAAGTTTCCCTGTTCTTCTGAAATCGGATAGTGAAATCCCCATCGCCGTCGTAAATTTCATCTTGCTTCTCCCCCCCCCTCTCTGTCTGAATCTCGATCATTCTCTTCTTGAAGCTGATTTGATTTCTCTGTTTTTTCTTTGAGCTTTTGTCGTGTGACTGTTGCGTTCTGACGCGTTTCTCAACAGGTATCTGCTTTGGTTTTGGCTCTTGCAATGGCTACTTTTGGTTCTCCGGCTACTTCGAGTTCGAACCCCAACAAATCCTACGAGGTCTTGTTGCTTGCTTCTTCTGTTTTTTGTGTGTGTTTCCATGGCGATTTAGTTCTGGTTTGATGTGCCCGCTGAGATTACGTGTTAGAATGTAGTTTTAATCTCTGATAGTTGAAGGAGTTGGGTTTTCTATTTCAGTCGTTTCTTGTCGAGATGCTAATTGATCCGCTTATCTAATCGCTGATATTTAATCTTTGGCTGCTCTTGTTCTGGAATTGTTCCTTCCATCTGGATGGATTCCATTTTCTGCTTTCTATGGGTTGTTAGATTCTTGTAGCGAGTTTAAGTGGGTTACTTGCTTGTGGGATTCAATAAATCGAATCTTCCTTACTAAATCCTTGCATATGCTTAGTCTCGTTTTTTTGTACTCAGATTCTTAGAAATAAAAACTTCTTCGGTAGTGAACTTGTGATATATATTTACAGTGCCTTTTCACAACTATTTGCATTTGCCTGCAGGTAGCTCCATCTCCCGGCGACTCCATTTCAAGCTTAAGTTTTAGCCCGCGAGCCGATATACTTGTGGCAACTTCATGGGATAATCAGGTCCATGTCATTTCTTTTATTCCAAAGGCTCTTGTCCGACTTGTTATTTGTGCAAAAGAAATGTTCATAAGTGTTATCTGTTATCAGTTTATAAAGTTTTCTCTGTGGGATGTGCATTCAGTTTAGGTCTCCTAATCTATTGTCTGTGTTCTCTGTCCTTTTCACCATCTGATGGGGGCATATGTCATTTGCATATTTGTCTTTAATGGTGCAGGTGAGGTGTTGGGAAGTAGTCCGTAGCGGAACCAATATAACCAGTACTCCGAAAGCATCAATATCTCATGATCAACCGGTAAGAAGTCGTTACTTTGTGGCTTCCCATTTCCTGTTCTCTCTTTGCTCAAAATCTGGTGAGAGTATACATTTTTCTCCTTTCGTGGTGAAGGTGTTATGCTCTGCTTGGAAAGACGATGGAACAACAGTCTTTACAGGAGGATGTGACAAGCAAGCAAAGATGTGGCCCCTGTTGTCGGGTGCTCAACCTGTTACTGTCGCTATGCACGATGCTCCTATCAAAGAGATGGCTTGGATACCGGGAATGAATCTCCTGGTAACTGGAAGCTGGGATAAAACACTGAAGTAAGATTGTTTGTTATCTTCTATTTCCACGAAGATATTATGTGAATCAATTGTCATGCTGACTCTTTTTTCATTTAAATTGCTCTAGCTGACATCTAACTTTGCATACTGATTTCCCTGATGTAGATATTGGGACACAAGACAGCCCAATCCTGTTCACACCCAACAACTTCCAGAACGCTGCTACGCAATGACTGTAAAACATCCTCTGATGGTCGTCGGAACTGCAGACAGAAATCTGATTGTCTTCAATTTGCAGAATCCTCAGGTTATCTTTTCTTCTCGGGCAACAATTAATTAGCTTTTGCACTTGTGTTGCACCTTTGGGCAATAAGAGCTTTGAGCATTGCATGGTTCCAGGTATTTGTGAACAATTTAGCTCCACCAATGTGGGATTAATTGGTGGAACCTTCTTTAGTCTTACAAAGAATGAATCTCATTATCGTAATCATGAATTCCTTTTCTGACACATTTCTAGTTTTTTCTTTTAAAAAAATCTGAGTATCCTAAGTTCAATTATCGGAATACTGTAGACGGAGTTCAAGAGGATCTCCTCACCACTCAAATATCAAACGAGGTGTGTTGCTGCCTTCCCTGATCAGCAAGGCTTCTTGGTATGTGATCTTATATCTTTGCTTCGATTGTTTCTGATGTACTAACATTCAGCTAACCATTTTTTAGTGCTCTCTGTAATCAGGGTTTCAATTCCTAACACTTATCGAATACCAATTTCTTCCTTTTTAATCTTGTGAATGTCATATAAGATGATAATCTAGGACAGAATTTGTATGTTATAGGTTGTTTAAGAGGCAATCATTCTTTTTGATGATTGCCTCATCAGTTTCAGCTTCCTATCTTTCTGATAAAGTATAGCCCATATAACATGCAAATTGCTCTCCCTTCTTTATCTCTTTATATATCCTATTTCCGTTCACAACAAATTAATTCCGGGCAAAACAATGTGTATCTAATTATCTCACCAGGTTGGTTCAATTGAGGGAAGGGTTGGTGTTCATCACTTGGATGATTCACAACAGAGCAAAAACTTCACATTCAAATGCCACAGAGATGGCAATGAGATATACTCTGTGAACTCTCTGAATTTCCACCCGGTAAGCCTTATGGTTAAAGTTACACTGTACATTGGTGGGCCATTGACTTCATTTCCCATTGCGTTATTTCAGATACATGGCACATTTGCCACAGCCGGATCTGATGGCGCTTTCAATTTCTGGGACAAGGATAGCAAACAGAGGCTCAAGGTATTTACGGAATGCCATCTTCATTGCATCTGTACTTTCAATCATTTTTCCAGCTTCTTCGGTGTGCAATATCTTTTTCCCGGTCTTTATATTTTCAGGCCATGTCGAGGTGCAATCAGCCAATTCCCTGCAGTACATTCAACCATGATGGCTCAATATTTGCTTATGCGGTATGCATTTTGGGTGTTCTTTGTTATTTATTTATTTTTTTGTTACTGTGGGAGTGACTTAAAAAAACAAAACTGATAAAAAAAAGAAACCCATCTACATTCTACACACATAGACACCATTGGAGCATATAACAATTGCTGAACAATGTATTTAGAATAGAACTACAATTTCATTTGCTATTACTATTAGTTGCAAGATCAATAGGTATAATACTTAGGCTGTAAACTAGAGATGGCTTCACAAGCCATTTCCATTCATGCTGTTTTGTGCCTTTTGAGTTGTTATTTTGCATTTGCCTTGTACGTTTCATGACAACAACGCATATTAGGTGTGCTATGACTGGAGCAAAGGTGCAGAAAATCACAACCCGGCAACCGCCAAGTCCAACATCTTCTTACACCTCCCTCTGGTCTGTTTGTGTGTCTCTCTCTTTAGCACTAACCTTCACTCGATCACAGAATCATGACAAGAGACAATGAAACATCATGTTTTTGTTTGCTCAATGCAGGAAAGTGAAGTTAAAGCCAAGCCGAAAGTCGGAGCTTCGGGCAGAAAGTGAGTTCCCCCTGTCAGGGAACGGAGCTCTCTGAACTTTGGCATTGTATCGGTGCTTAGCTTTTTAGGATATCTGTTTTGAGTGTATCTGCTTTCTCTTGTAATATTTTCTCTCGTTAGGATCCGTAACGTAATTGCGTCAAAAGATGAATACGTTTTCAATGCTATAAATAGTCAGTATCTTCTTTTAAATTTAGAAAAATCATAATCATCGTTCGGATGATTCATCTAATTTTCAGCATCGAGCTCTTCATGTTATAAACAAGATCTTCATCTAACTCACACTATGCCACTAGACAAAGCTTAATCCAAGTGAAGGACCCATTTGCTTAAGATACCAGAGCGCTCCTTCGGCTGCATGCTCAGCCGCAGTTTTCTTGTTAGGCCGAGGGTCCCCAAAACACTCCAAAACAGTTGTACCCGAGTACCCTTTGATCTCGATCACAACTTTAAACGTAAACCTGGAAAGATGCCGAGATTATATCCATGCAACAACAGTAGCAAACCCTAAAAGACACAAGTGCATAAAACTATGTTCACTTACATTCTCATGTGGCATGGACCCTCGTCGCTGCAGCACTCGTACTCCGGTGGTTTCCAATGCCTTGCAGAACAAATGTTATGCAATTGTGATTTGGCTGATTCTCTCTTAGGTTCATCTGAACATTCACACAACAGAACCAACGAATTAAAGTGGCTGCAACGATTCCTGCGATACCCGAACCCTAGAGATAGATTTTCATCCTGTGAAGACCTGAACCCTAGAGATAGATTTTCATCCTGTGAAGAAAATGTCGAATCTTTCGTCGAGATTCCCATTAGGGGTCCCTTTAAAACCGTATAACATTAGCTCTTAATGCGACACTTGCACGACAAAGCAACAAATCCATCACTGAAATCATCATTCCATACTTGAAGTGCTTGGATTTTCAGGCTTGGAAAAACTGAAAAGGTCCATCCAATCACAATCACAGGAAAAGCCTAACAGGTGTGAGATCAGTGAAGTTAAAACAGGGAAAGAAGACACTACGAAAGCCAAAAAATCATCAAACTCCATCCTTTGATTGCTCATACCATGATTTAACCTAAACTAAGCTACATGCCAAGAAAAGTGTCGTACCTTCGATTCTGTGACTTGTGTTGCACACCAAACCTTTCTCTGGTTCTGGAACAAGCTTTCTGTCCTGAGCCATGTCTCTGCCTATTGTACTGTTAGGATCCATCTGTATAGTGGACAAAGAGGAGTTGCCATCATCTTCTTCAACTTCATTCCTCTTCCTTTCCCTCATGTCGCTTTTCCCTTCCAACCCCTGCTTTGCCCCACAAACTGGCACCATCCAAGTTTTGGGTTTCTGATAAATTAGAACAGATGCATGAAGGGAAACCAAATCAATTGGGCACAGAAAAAGAAAAACAAAATTCATTGAATCCGCTAGAATTCTGAAATGATGACATTGAAGAAGAAAAGAAATCATGGGACTCGTTAACAAAAAAAAAGAGTCATGGGATCAAAGTTGGGACATATTCCCTAACGAGTAACGAGATAAGAAAAAGCTGGTTCTTTTCCCTTTAAAGTCCACTAACCCATGACAAATTTCCAGTTCGTATACTGTAAATTGAAACGCGGTGATCAATCCGTACCAAAGTTTCTTCTTCTTTTTTTCACATCACAACATCCTTTAACCCTAACAACTCTCTTCTGGGTTTCTAGAGAGAGAGAGAGAGAGACCCAGGAATCGATTCGGAAAACGAGAGCACGGAAGAACAGGAATTTGGATTCCGTTCTTTGAATTCTTATTACCGCGCAAGAGATATCGGGGATGGACGATGGATCCAGAGGGGGTATATCTTTGAGGCTGATGAATGATTTTGATGGGTTTTTGCTCATACGCTTCGTCTCCTCCATCTTTCCCTCGGGTTCGTCGCTTCTCGCTTGGCCTGTTTGGGAACCGAGAAAGTGCAGGAAAATTAATTGTAGCGTGGAATGAGAGAGGCATGCAAATATCGACGGATAAGACGCTTTAATTCCTAGCCATTTCCATACGACGCTTGCAATCTAATGATCTATTCTATGCCCTTGTTATCTAACCAGAGGCCAAATCCCGCATTTGTCTGATATCTTTAAAAGTCAGTTTTTAGATTGCAATTGCTCCTGATCTCGGTTTCGGCCTAAAGGGTATTGGAATGTTTCCAATATTTCCGTTTAAAAATGTAATCTTTTCTTCTTTTCAGCAAAAAAATGTGATCTTTTTATTAAAAAAACAAGCATGGATCTTGTCCATTATACGTTTGTACACGTCGACCAAGAGCGTTGTATCAAACATGAACACACAAATAGCCCAAGAAAACAGTGAAACGAGAGCCAATTCTTCGTCTCCAAATTGGAAAACGTTGGCATTCGTGTCACGCGCTCAAGTAGCGAGTGTAGACACGAACATGGCATCGTGCAGACACGTGGTTTTTGTACTTTCGGGCCGAAGGATGACTACTTTTGCTGTAGCCAAGTGTGTGCGAGAATCCTTCAAGCCCAAGCCCCTAGGGTTTTTGCTATTATATTATTATTATTGTTGTTGTTTGGTTGAATATTATATTATTATAACTAATTTTACGAATCTATGATATATAAATATATGGATTGATATAAGAGAATAATATAATTTGCTTTAAATGATAACAATTCAGATCTGTTCGGGAGCAATTTTTTCCAGTCAATAATGTAAATGGTAAGATATCTGATATGGCACATACATTACATTAGTATAATATATAGTTATAAGCATATAAATATGTATACACCACCCTCAGTATGGGGCGCGTGTGGTCCAGACGCTTTCCAACTAATCCAAAACACTGCAACAGACGGTCTTTGCCACGTGTGTACCCTCAATGGGTCCCACTTTCATCAACAGAGGAGGAATAAAACGAAGGTTTAAAAACAAAAAAAAGGGGAAAGGAAATATAACAAATCCCAATCTTAACTGTGTGTGTATATAAAATCCGTCCACACTTTTGCCACACAGATTTTCTTCTTCCTCGCCACCATATCTCTCCTCTTCGCTTTCTCTCTCTACGACGACTGAGACCTATGACCAACGAAAACTGGATCGGCGCCGCCATGTCGGACGACGCGCTCGTGGTGGAGATCCTGCTCCGACTCCGCCACTCCGAGCCACCGGTTAAGAGCGGCGGAGTATCGGCTCCGACGCTGGACTGGAGGGTGCGTCAGAGGCGATCGAAGGCGGGGAAGAAGGGGGACCAAGCGCGTGCTAGCCCCACCACTCCGCTCTCTTGGAGCTGCGCCACCTCCTTCAGCGGCGGCGTCGAGGAGTCGAGTGGCGCCATAAAACCGCCAGAGACCGTTAGATCTAAGGTTTGTACCGTCGCTTCCTTCCCACGATTTCTCGATTGCTCGAAATTTGAATTTGGTATGACGAATATGCCCCTTGAGACGCTGCGTTTTACGCCTGGTCGGTGGCGTCTCGCCGCCGCTGGGAATAGAACCAGCGTCATTTTCTTGAGTTTCCTTTTTCGCGTAGTTTATGTCAATAATGCCCTCGATTGCACGTCCACTCCTCGTCGCGGTCATAAGGGTATTTACGTCATTTCGGATAGGGGATCGGCGGCTTCTCCGGTCCCGTAACCTTCCGCTTTCGATCGGCACTCCGATTCACGTTTGACCGAAATACCCCTGTAGTCGACTCTGCGGCTAATCTCTCCCAGAGAAAAAAAAAATCATCATTTCAAGTCTTTGTTTTTCTATCTTTCAACACACACGATGTCTCTCAGGTCAGCATGCGTGTCACCTCTCTATCTCTCTTACGAAAAGACCAAAAGACCCTCACGGAGGTGTTTTTGGTCATTTCACGGTTCGGATGGGAAACTGTCCGCTGAATTCAAGCCTCTTGTCGGGTTTATTTTCTTCTTTAAATAAAAAAAAATTTCCCATCAATGGTGGCGATTTTATTTTGCATGCGATGACGGAAACCACCCCTCCCAACAGGCAGGGGCATTTCGGGTAATTCAAGAAACACGCGTGGCGTTTTCATTACAAAATTGCTTATCATTATGATGTGGGGGTTTGCCTCTTTTATGGGTAGTGAGGCGTTTTCTTGGCGAATTAGGTCTCTCTTTCTCCGTTTGGGGTTTTGGTTGGGGGAGTTATCACCTGCTTCGCACCACACCGCATAGCATCGGTTGCTGACGTGTCATCTCTCCCCTCTCGACAGCTTGACCGCAATCTCCTTTTTCTGGTCAAAGCCCCCCCTCTCTCTCTCCCCTTTTGAGGGGATTGGTCCGTGGAGCTTGTGTTAGTGACAGTCTGTTGGGTTACCATATTGTTGGTGAGTGCTTTATGGTTTATGCTGACTTTTCTCGCTTCCTTCTACTGATTTTTTTTTATAATTATTTTCCTTCCTACCAAATTCGAACCCACAAGTTCGTCAACTAAACAACACATCAGTGGGATTTTTCGGGGTTTGATGAAAATCATTATTAAAAAAGTTAATGCAAACTGTATATAATAAGTTAAGGGTCGAGTTGTTATGTGGATAATACGTGACATACGCATGTTTAAAAGGATCACGTAGTATGAAACAGTTGAAGATGATTCAACGCGGTCACGCCTCTAGTCACGTGATCCTATTATTCTTTGAAATTGGGTGTGTCTCGATGTAGGGGAAATAAAGGGGGGCTAGCTGCTGTTCATATTGCTTTTTTGGCCTAAAGTGGTTGACCCAAAAGATTCTTTTTGTTGTTTCTTTTAAAAGCGTGATTAATTCTCAAGGACTTGGAATTTCAAAGATTTGATTTTTTTCCCCTTCCTCCAATGGGCAGCTTCAATAGATTATATGAGTATCTCTGCCCGATCCAATGATATCTTATCATTGATTCTTCTTTCCATGCTTGCGATCTTTGCTTTATGCCAAGTCTCTCCGTTTGATCTTGTGATATAATTGCATAAATGGACCTATATATACATGTTATGTATAGGGGGTTTGATGCTTCCTGTTTAGGTTTATTGCAAGTTGTGCCTAGTATCCCTTATACGTAAATGTGAGGATTGCGTGATTCATTTTAGCGTTTTTTTATTGTGTCTCAGAGATGGTAGGTTTAAGTAAATTCATTAACTAGTGTTGTTGGTAGGTTATGGTGCTCCCATGCCGAACGATTTTCTTGGATATTTTATTAGAATAGTTTCATCATCATCAGCATCAGCATCATCATAATCATCATCATGAGTTGTGCTATTAGTTTGGTGTGAAATTACTGTATCTTGAGCCCTGCTTTATTTGGTGGTGAATACCTTCTGTCACATTCTTGATATATAGTTTGGTGGTGTATGCAGATTTCTCGGATGATCAAAACAACCCCGTTCAAGAGATCGAGAAGGAAGAAGGTAAAAAAAAAAACTCAAAGCAGATCCTTTGCTACTATCCCTAATCGGTTATGTATCTACTGATGAAACCATGGTTATCTTTGTTTTCATATCATAATGTCATTGCTAATATCTCTTTAGTTAGCATGACTGTTTTCTCAAGTCTCAGTCCTTTGTTCCTTTCTGTTCTTCTCAGACACTGACTGAACTCAAAGAGGAGGAGAGTCTGCTCTTGAAAGAAAGAAATAGCCTGAGAAATGTACCTTCCCTTTTGCATTCTTCTGATAATACCCGAATCTGTATGCGAAACAGAGATGGATAGATATTCATTTATTGATCTTGTTCCTGTATCAGGAACTTGAAAGCGTCCAGGCTTTGCTTGAGCAACAAAGAGCGAGAAACAACGCTCTAAAGAAGTTGAAGGTGAACCCATCTTCCACATTATTAACTCGTAAACCTTTATGTATCATGGAGGATATATATAACTCTAATCCATCATCCATATGTATATATTCACAGGCTGAATCACAAGCCTCCGTCCCCTGCAAAGTCGCTGCAACGATGATGATGATGACACCCGCGTCCTCTTCACATCATATCTCATCATCAAAAAGAGAGGAATCCGACTCCGACATGAGAAAAGGTTCCTCATTTTCGCTACCCGACCTTAACATACCTCTTGATAACGACCCGAGCCTTGAAGTTCTCTGCGGAACCGCCTGCTAATGAAAATTGCCCCAAAACAAACGACCTTACCTTACCAAGCATCATTCTTTTTTGTTTTTCCATCTGCCGGAACAAGCCTGGTTCTATACCTACCAAAGAATCAGATGCATCATATGCTTTTAGCCCAATATATGCATTAACTGTAACTACGAATACATAGATACCGTACCTCAATCTCTCTGCCTGGATCATGTGGCTCTTCAGCAGCAGAAGAAGAAGAAGAAGAAGAAGATTTTCATGGAGTTGAGATGATTAGGGTTTAGGGTTGAGACTCTTCTAACATATCTTAGATTCAAAAGTAATATTTGGTGCTCTCTACCATGTATTCGTATAAAGATGAGATGTAATTACCTACATAGATTCAACTCTATCTTTTTCTTCATTTGTTGTTGTTTTTTCTTCTCTACTTTCTTTAATAGGAAATATTGCAAAGGTTACATTCGACTGCCGTATCTCCATTTTTCCAACGAGAGTGGAACCAAAATGTTGTCTGAATCTGTCTCTCTCTCTCTCTGTCTATAAAGTATCAACCCATCTCAAAAAATTGTGTTAAGTTTACTTAATACCTTGTTTCTTGAAGTGAAATCGAATCTCTCACATACTAAATGTATAAAGATATTATTAATAATATTAAAAAATTAACTTTTTTTCCAAATTGAACGAAATCCGAATGGAAACTAAACCAAAATCGAACAGCGGTTCAAGCGGTATTATTAAATATAATTTTTTTTTGTAATTGAATAAATATAGAAATCGAATCCCGAAAGTCACCCCAAGGTTAATCGGCAAAATATCCAAAATACCTTCCTTTTGCTAAAACTAATTCTACATATACCCTTCTTCAGTTGTGACCATGTGACAAAAAAAACGGTATGGTCACATGATGGTCACATTGGTCACAACGTTAAATTTATGATGATTTCACCATATGATTAGTGTGATATATAAGGTGTGATCATGATGATTTGATGTGATCACTATAAATTTAACGTTATGACCAATGTGACCATTATGTGATCAGACCGTTTTTTTGGTTACATGGTCACAATTGAAAGAGGGTATGTGCAGAAATAGTTTTAGTAAAAGGAGGGTATTTTGGATAATGACTCAGTTTAACCATTTGCTTTTGGGGTAAGCAAAATTGCTCATTTAATTAATCAACACGTATATATAAATATATGTGGAAAAATGCCTCTCAAAGAGCATAATATATTAAAATCTTGTTTTAAATTACAAAACGTGTGGTGTTAGATACACGCTCCACGGAGAAACCCTAACATTTTGATTTGCACAAACAGGAACAGCTACTTATGGACATGTACCGCATGCCTTTTGTCTTAAAGACATTACAAGAAATTAGAAACGGTAAACGCAGTCGCAGACCAAATGGCGTCTCTGGGCCACGTCACCCTCCGCCACCACGCGCCGCCGCCGGAGACAGGCATTCTCCGCCGTCGATTCGACCCGCAACTTAGGACCCATGTCAGATTCAACGGCAGGATCCGGGCGAGCGGCGCGTCGGTCGACGCGCTGTCGGAGGCCGTGAAAGTGGGCGAGAGCAAGGAGGTGATGGAGGCGGAGGGGAAGGTTCTTGTGGGTACGTACGCGCGTGCTCCGGTGGTGCTATCCAGTGGCAAAGGTTGTAAATTGTTCGACCTTGAGGGAAATGAGTACTTGGATTGCTCTTCTGGGATTGCTGTGAATGCCCTTGGCCATGGCGATCCTGATTGGCTTCGTGCTGTCACTGACCAAGCTTCTGTTCTTGCCCATGTCAGCAATCTCTACTACACAGTCCCTCAGGTTTGATTCCTCTATAAATGATATGATTCTGATGGGAAATCTCCCTCCTGCTTGTGTCCTTTATGCCATTTCAATGGAATTTCCTGTTTTTTGTTTTATGTTAGCTTCATCAATTCAGGAAAAAGCGCAGAACTTTTGTTCTTTTGATTCAGCTGTGTAGTGTGTACTATGTTGTGTTATATATTGAATGATATCGTCCTGCGTTTGGAATTTCACGGAATTACTTGCTGGTTGAGATGTTCACCAAATTGCATAGTGTAATGATCAGATGGATAATCATTGATTCAACTTCATTTCTGCACATGCCCTGTTTGTATAAAGGTTGCTACTTTTTCACATCACATGGATGTATTATTCAGATCTTGTTTTGGCCACACTTCAGAACAATTCTTCCTTCTTTCACATATTTTTCTTACCCTATTCTGTTTTCACAATATGGTAAAATATGAAACGGTTTTCGCTTCTGCAGATAGAACTGGCCAAACGCCTGGTGGCATGTTCTTTCGCCGACCGTGTCTTCTTCTGTAACTCTGGAACGGAAGCCAATGAAGCAGCCATCAAATTCGCGAGGAAGTTCCAGAGATTCAATCACCCTGACGAGAAGGAAGTTGCGACTAACTTCATCGCCTTTACGAATAGTTTCCATGGTAGAACCTTAGGAGCTCTTGCTCTGACAAGCAAGGAACAGTACAGAACTCCCTTTGAACCCATCATGCCTGGTGTCACCTTCTTGGAATATGGCAATGTTCAAGCCGCAACTGACCTAATCAGCTCGGGAAAGATTGCCGCAGTGTTTGTGGAACCTGTTCAAGGAGAAGGCGGTATATACACCGCTACAAAGGAGTTTCTTGAATCTCTCCGGTCTGCTTGTGATGCCGTGGGATCCCTTCTTGTCTTCGATGAGGTAAAAACATCGCTTTCTTCCTGAAAACCCGTATGACCCATCGGGCCAATTTAGAGATCATGCTATCGGTACTTCTTCATTGATCATTGCACGCACATATATTTAGCATTCTTCGAAACATTCTCTAAGAAATTGTGAATTTTATTTTTTGTCCCCATTTCTGGCAGGTTCAATGCGGATTGGGACGAACAGGCAATCTATGGGCATATGAATTATTCGGTGTGACTCCAGATATAATGACGCTGGCAAAGCCTCTAGCCGGTGGTCTTCCCATAGGAGCTGTGCTCGTAACCGAGAAAGTTGCGTCCGCCATAAAATACGGAGATCACGGAAGCACATTCGCAGGCAATCCCCTCGTCTGCAATGCAGCCATTGTGGTTCTCGACAAAATATCGAAACCCTCGTTCTTGGACAGTATCTCGAGCAAAGGCAGATACTTTAGGGACTTGTTGGAGAAGAAACTCGGAGGAAACCTGCATGTGAAGGAGGTACGAGGAAAGGGGCTCATCATCGGAATCGAGCTTGATGTTCCTGCAAACCCATTGGTGGATGCTTGTCGGAATTCTGGGCTTCTGATTCTGACGGCAGGGAAAGGCAACGTGGTGAGGCTTGTTCCGCCATTGATCATCTCCGAGGAGGAGATCGAACGTGCGGCTGAGATTATCGCCCAGAATATGCCTGCTCTTGATCACCAAGATTGATTGATGCATTACGACAGCAAGTGTAGCTTTTTTTTTTCCCTCATGGAGCTATGGTGTCCTACAATAATGGCGGTTCGAACGACAATGAGAAAACAGTGAATATATGTATCATTTTAAAGTGATTTGATCTGTGATCTCTTAATTCGTCAGTCGATTCATGAGGGAGTTGAGAAGTTTCAGTGTTGGAATTCGAGCAGTCGACTGAAAGAGGGAACTTTTACAGTTTTACTGGTTTGGTCAGTGAAACTAATGCTTGAAACAGAACAAGAAGCCGTTGCTGTAAGCTCTAAAACTGAAATCTCCTTGATGTTCTTCTGACAGCTCTTCCTTGCCCTAGTTGTCGCCGCCATTAGCAACTGTATATGTCGGGATTATTGGAGCAGCTTACACTGTCCTTTTACAGCATCACTCTTAACCGTCCGCCGCTCCTTCTGATCGTTAGGAACGTCTTTCAGACATAAACTTGGGGGATAATAAATGCAATCTGTTAGGTCTTGGAGTTCATAAATTGTAACTTATGAAAGTTAAATCTAACTTAGATTGTTACCGTGTCTTTTATTTTTTATTTTTATAATTCGAAAGTTTATCTATCTTCGATCCAATTATATTTTTCAAATTAAGAAAATATTTTTTATATCACAATTAAATTATACATCCAACAATCACTCGAACTTCCCATGAGATAAGGACACCTCTATTCTCTTCGATTAAATACATCGCTCGACCTACGGGAGTTCAAAATCTTGTGAATCAGAATGTAATAATATCATATAAATAGATAATTATGTTGTCTTTTAATTGAAGTAAATGTGAGAAATAATAAAATACTTATATTCCGTCAGCTTTATAAAAAAAATAACTAAAACCAAGGGACTTTTGGAAAGCAAATTAAAAAAAAAAAAAAAAAAAGAATAGTCGGCATCATGAGTAGTATAGGATGAAAACTATTTAAAGGATACGTGTGGAAATTGTTTGTCCACGTTATATTATTTTATAAATGTATGTTTGAATTTATTTTTTGGAAGAACGGTACGAGCGAGTAAACATTAAATGTTTTGTAATAAAAGAAATGTTTAATTTAATATCGTCGTATCCCCTGACAACCGACAACGTATCCCGAGAAATGGATTAGATTTTATCGCGAGGTGGGTGGAGGAGATATTGAATGATATCAAGATAGAGAGAGAAAAAGCCATTACGCTCCGTATCCGAACGTGTAAAGGCGGAAAGTGACCAATCGCCAACACTAATGTTCTTCACTTGCTAACAAGTCAACATGCATATATTTATCACTTTTTTCCTATTTATTATTATTATTATTATTATTATTATTACTACTCAATTTTGTTTGGTGGTGTAAATACATAAGGCAAATAAAATAAATTTAGATCTGAGTCATTTATTTCATACGGAACCAACTACTGTGAAAATGACCCAACTATATGCTAGAACTGAAGATAATATGTGTATATACATACATATACACTAAATTACATTTTCATACTTTGATTCTATATATAAATTTATGTGTATAAAAAACCTGCATTTTACTCTTTCTATGTTGTAATACCATCATTGTATAAATTTTGAGAATTAATAACAAAAAATATCTTAGTCTCCAAATATGTTAGATATGATGATTTTGAATAAAATTTCACTTCCAATATAAGTTCTTGATTTATATGGTATAATGGAATATAGTTTTTTTTTGGTAAGGATAATGGAATATAGTTTTGAATTAAAGAAACAATGTTTTAAAGAACCTATACATAATCATGAAATATTAATATTAATGATTTTATAAACGAGTTAATAGGATAATAATCTTCAATTTTTGGCTTTCAAAAATAACAAAAAACATGAAATAAAATAAAATAATAGTATTATCATTCAACGTTAATATCGATAATTGGAGGATGAGTTTCCTACGTAACTTTTCGTATCGCGAGATTACGACCTTAGCACTATAACGTAATCCGGAGTTTATTGTCTCTCGATATATCGCTTAATGGTAGACACCGTAATATTACAGAAACTCGAGGGTTAAGCTTTGTCGTGTCATGAGGGATCTCAGTCGACCCTGCGACGATGTGACGCAGCTACTTTACACACTTAATCGAATATTGACCGTTGGATTTCCTTCATCGTAGTCATTGGAGTAGATCGACGGTACTCCATTCTCAGTGTGAATCCACCGTGACACAGAGGATTATAGCTTGGTTGAGTACAGCTGGCAACTATAGATTCCGAACATATGAATTCGAGAAATTTAATCTGATAAGTCGTCTTCCTTGTTCTCACTGTACCTATGGATAAGTACACCTAGTTATCAACTCTACTTATTACAAGTAGAGAATCTTATTGTGTAATAGGTACTCCTGCTTATCAAATCCATTATCAGTCACCTTCTCTTATTAAAATCGCCATTTCTGCTAGGTTTCACTTCACGTCCCTATAAATACTTTGGAGAGAGAGAGAGAGGGGGGAAAAGAGTCCATCATCACCAATTTCTCCTTCAACTCTTTCGTCTCTGGAGAGAGAGAAACTTGGTCTTCCATCCGAAGATCGATCTTTTTCTTCATGGTAAATAAGCTTCACGATTCTGTGTCTCTGCCCCTTTTAATGGAATCTAGCTGTTTGGATTTATTCTAATTTATTTCAGATTTTTGTCGTAGCTTTTCTGGGTTTTGCTTTTTCCCCCCTTGTTAATAATTATTTTTGCTTCTCCTTTCATGGGGTTAAAAGATTCTCTTTAATAGCCATTTAATTCGCTCGCCAATACGAGAAAGACCTAAACTTCTGGATTGTTTTCTGCCTTTTGTTTTTATCTTAATTATCTGTCGAAATGGGGAGATATCTGGAGAAAATTTTCTGAAGACAGTTTAAAGATCCAGTTGCAGGTACCAATTTCGTGTCCCCTTTTTTAAACTGTTCCAATTTAGCCGAAATTTGAACCCATTTCAGCTGATTTCCGCCGTTTGCGTTTGTATTGGCCATTGATTTTTGTAGATCTGTTGATGGTTTTTGGTGGGTCTTCTGCATCTGAGTTGAAATAGTGTCGGAGTTACGAAACATGTCTTCTCTCAGTAGAGAGCTCGTGTTCTTGATCTTACAGTTTCTCGATGAGGAGAAGTTCAAAGAGACTGTTCACAAGTAAGTTGTGTTGTGTCCGGATTCTGCATTACACGCATTTCCGATCGAATTACTCAGGCTGAGATTTCAATTTCCCAAAATTTTTGCCCTGAACTTTACTAGCAGAGACGATTCCATATGTTTTATAATGTATCGCTTCCTTGATGAAAACAGGCTTGAACAAGAATCTGGGTTTTACTTCAATATGAGGTATTTTGAGGAAGAGGTGCAGAGTGGCAATTGGGATGAAGTGGAGAGATATCTCTCTGGATTCACGAAAGTGGACGATAACCGATATTCGATGAAAATATTCTTCGAGATCAGGAAGCAGAAGTATCTTGAGGCCTTGGATAAGTAAGTCATGGATTTTGTTGTTGTTTTTTTCCATTTATGATCAATGTAAACAACAAATGAAGACCTGTGTTTGAATTGTGATTTGCATGGTGTTTCTTATAGGCATGATCGTTCCAAAGCTGTGGATATTCTAATGAAGGATTTGAAAGTATTTTCTACCTTCAACGAAGAGCTTTTCAAGGAAATCACAAATCTCATGACATTAGATAACTTCCGGTGAGAAAATATCGGGTTTATGCAGTTTTTCCGGGTTTTAGCTGTAATTCAAACGAGAATGCAATGAATTAAATGTTTTGAAGTTGTTGAATCATAGGGAGAATGAACAGTTATCCAAGTACGGGGATACAAAGTCGGCTAGAGGTATCATGTTGGTGGAACTCAAGAAGCTTATTGAAGCGAATCCATTATTCCGCGATAAATTGCTGTTTCCTTCCCTCAGAAATTCAAGGCTGAGGACTCTGATCAACCAGAGGTGTGATTCGTTGTTCGTTATCACTATTTTTGTTCGATTCAAGTTTTTCGGCATCTTGTTTCAGTGTTTTACGTATGTAACCATTCAACTTCTTACAGCTTAAATTGGCAACATCAACTTTGCAAAAACCCGAGGCCGAATCCTGATATCAAAACCCTTTTCGTGGATCATTCGTGTGGCCCACAGAATGGTACGAGGGCACCATCGCCCGTGAACAATCCACTGCTTGGCTCGTTACCAAAACCCGGGGGATTTCCTCCTTTAGGTGCACATGGGGTATGCTAATCTCTACCTTATTTGGCGTTCACATTCATCACCTTCAAGAAACATGCTTTGACTTGTCTCTGTGACTTTAGCCTTTTCAGCCAATGCCTTCAACTGTTCCAACACCTCTCGCCGGTTGGATGTCTGGCCCTTCGACGGTCCCTCATCATCCTGCTGTGTCTGGGGGATTCATTGCTCTCGGCTCTCCATCTATCCCAGGTTCTTGCTTTATTGAATTTGTGTGTTGTCTTTATACATGTTATCTCTACGATGTGTCTCTTTTGCATGCTTTACCCATTCCATCTCCATGACCTTAAACTTAAAGTTTCACTTGTGATGTGCTTATGTCGAGATTTCTTTCGTGTTTTGATATAAGCTTCCTTGAAGCACCCGAGGACTCCAACGACGAATTCTTCTGTGGACTACCCATCCGGGGACTCTGACCATGTTTCCAAAAGAACAAGATCTATGGGGATCTCTGACGAGGTAATGCAATCCAAGTGAGATACATGTTTTTTCCCCCATCGACTTGTGTTTCCTTTTGTGGTGATTAGCTTGCTTGTTTTCTTTTCCTTTTGTGAGCAGGTGAATCTAGGTGTTAATATGTTGCCGATGACTTTTCCAGGGCAGGCCCCTGTTCATACTCCGGCTTTCAAAGCATCCGAGGACTTGCCCAAGACGGTTGCACGATCTTTGAGCCATGGCTCGTGTCCCATGAGCATGGATTTCCATCCATTAAGACAGACTCTACTACTCGGTATATTTCTTGATGCTGTGTATGCATTCCATGTAATCACCGGTTTCTAACTTGGAAAACTGCTTCTGTTGTGTTTTTTTCTTCTTCCAGTTGGTACAAATGTAGGGGATATCGGCCTGTGGGAAGTTGGTTCTAGGGAACGTCTAGTGCATAAGACGTTCAAAGTTTGGGACTTGAGTAAATGTTCAATGCCCCTGCAGGTTATTGTGCTGAGATATCTTTATGAAACCGACGACTGAATGTCGATAATCAGTGTTTATATTTGAATTGTCAGTGACCGAAAAGTTTTGATCTTCAGGCTGCTTTGGTGAAAGATCCTGCTGTTTCTGTCAACCGCGTGGTATGGAGTCCTGATGGTTCATTGTTCGGTGAGATTTCACATTTAAAATTTCGGCTATCTGGCTTAGGAAACCCTCCCAGGTTTTCCATAATTGCGAAAGACTGCCTTTTTTAGATCATAACGTTGTTGTTCTAAACTGCAGGAGTTGCTTACTCGAGGCATATCGTACAAATATACTCTTATCAAGGCGGTGATGACATGAGGCAACACCTTGAGGTGCGTCACCGGGTTACAAAAGCCCACAGGTCTTTTATTACAACGTTCTTTTTGGTTTACCGAATTGTGATGATCTCATCAGATGGATGCGCATGCCGGTGGCGTTAACGATATTGCATTCTCCACTCCAAACAAGCAACTCTGTGTAATAACGTGCGGAGATGACAAGACCATCAAGGTTCAGTCTTTGTTGTTTCATTTTCTGGTTCGGGTTTGATAGTCGGTAGACTGACTGGCCCCGGGCATTGTCAACTACAGGTTTGGGATGCGACCACAGGTGCGAAACGGTATATGTTTGAAGGCCACGAGGCTCCTGTATACTCTATCTGTCCTCACTACAAGGAAACCATTCAGGTATCGTCCTGTGCATATAGAGTGAATTTGAGCTTGGAACCACGTTTAAATTTATTCGGTTCAGTGTTCATTCAATCTCAATCCATGCCGCAGAATCATGACCTGTTTATAGATGCTTTAGTGCCTTTTTGTTATTGACTTGTCATTTGTTTTTCTTGTGCTCTAGTTCATCTTCTCAACAGCGCTCGATGGAAAAATAAAAGCATGGTTATATGATAATATGGGTTCTCGGGTTGACTACGATGCTCCTGGTCGGTGGTGCACGACGATGTCTTATAGTGCTGATGGAACTAGGTTAGAGTGATGATCTTAGCCGTTATTTGTCTAAGCCTGGTTCAGTTTTGTACCATGAGGCGAATAATAAAACTTAAAGATTTGAGCTTTTTTTTTATATGGAACAACCCTCTGCAGGCTTTTCTCTTGTGGAACGAGTAAAGAAGGGGAATCGTACATAGTGGAGTGGAACGAAAGTGAAGGAGCTGTTAAACGAACTTATCAAGGATTCAACAAGCGTTCCCTCGGAGTTGTACAGTTCGATACGACCAAGAACCGATATCTGGCTGCAGGTGACGACTTCTCCATTAAATTCTGGGATATGGATAGCGTTCAGCTCTTGACAGCCATTGATGCCGATGGAGGTCTCCAGGTCTGTTAAAAAAATTATCTAAAATTGGCATTTTTCGAGATATTTTCGGAGCTTTTGATTGAAGAGAATCGGAGGCTCTCCTCTATGTTATATAGGCAAGCCCGCGTATCCGGTTTAACAAGGAAGGTTCTCTCTTGGCTGTCTCTGCTAACGAAAATGTGATCAAGATTTTGGCAAATTCTGATGGTTTGAGGCTTCTCCAGACTTTCGAGAAAAGTTCAGCCGAATCCTCCAAGGTTTTGAAATCGGATCTTCAAACAAGCATTTTCTACTTTACGTTACCTATTAAAAGCTTCTTCTCTGAAACTACATTTTCCACGTTTTTTTTTTTCTTGCAGGCTGCAATTAACTCCATTGCAGCGACAACCGCTGCTACTACTAGTGCTGTGCTTACAGAGAGATCGGCTTCTGTGGTTTCCATACCGGGAATGGTGCGAGAGGTCTGTTTCTTCCCCTCGTTTGAAGGTTTTCTACGTTGAATTTTTCATATTCTCGGGTTTTGGGATTGAGCTTCATCATTTGTGTTTTTACAGAATGGAGAATCTCGAAATATGGTGGATATGAACCCGATGAATGTAGAAGAATCGAATGATAAGTCTAAGAAATTTAAGCTCACCGAAATCAACGAACCCTCTCAATGCCGGTCGCTAAGACTCCCCGAGAATCTGAGAGTTACCAAGGTATATACACACGTAAAAGCACATGCGCATGAATGTATTATGTATATATATGTGTATATATATGCACACATTTTCTGATCTTGTACGTTACCATACGGTCACGGCTTGATTCTGGTTTTTACAGATATCAAGACTGATTTTCACAAATTCGGGCAATGCTATCTTGGCTTTGTCATCAAACGCTATCCATCTGCTATGGAGGTGGCAGCGAAGTGAACACAACACAACTGGAAAGGTATATATATCTCGGAAAGCATTTTTCCGCAATCTGCCTTTACGATTTTACCAAAAAACAGACAGATATCTAAATATCTGTTCTTATCCTCTTTTTCGATCAAACTATATTTCGTCCGGAAAAGGCAACTGCCAGTGTACCGCCTCTGCAATGGCAACCACCGAGCGGAAACCTCATGACAAACGTCGTGTCTGAAACTAACCCTGAAGAAGCTGTACCGTGTTTTGCTTTATCCAAGAACGACTCGTACGTGATGTCGGCTTCTGGAGGAAAGATCTCCTTGTTTAACATGATGACATTTAAGGTAATATACTCGAGGATTATCGTTTTTTAGCTTTTCTGGTTTTCTGTATACATATCTGAAAATGTTAATGAGAATGAGCACAGACAATGGCTACGTTCATGCCGCCGCCGCCTGCTGCAACGTTTCTTGCTTTCCACCCTCAAGACAACAACATCATTGCCATCGGGATGGATGATAACACGATTCAGATTTACAACGTCCGTGTGGATGAGGTAAGAAAAACAGGAAAAAAAACTTCCGGAAATGGGTATGGCGTGAAGAAAGAAACGTCGTTAATATGAATTATGTTCTTCGGCTGGAGCAGGTTAAGAGCAAGCTCAGAGGTCATTCTAAGAGGATAACCGGCCTCGCCTTCTCTAACGTACTGAACGTTCTGGTTTCGTCTGGAGCAGATTCTCAGGTGCCTAAACCGTGTTTTCTCGTCGATTTTACGGGAAACCATCGTCTTATTATTATGGTTTTAACGGGTTTATCTTCTTCTTCTTATCAGATTTGCGTTTGGAACACGGATGGATGGGAGAAGCAGAAGAGCAAGGTTCTGCAACTTCCACTGGGAAGAACAGTGGCCACAGCACCATCAGACACTTGCGTTCAGTTCCATCAAGACCATGTTCACTTCCTGGTCGTGCACGAGACTCAACTTGCCATCTACGAAACTACCAAACTCGAATGCGTGAAACAGGTAACGTTCAGAATCTCTCTCTCTCTCTCCAATATTTGACGATCAATAACGATGTTTTTACGATCGGATTCAGTGGGTAGTGAGCGAATCATCAGCGCCAATAACGCATGCAACGTTCTCATGCGATAGCCAACTGATCTATGCGAGTTTCAAGGACGCAACAGTCTGCGTTTTCACCTCTTCAAACCTCAGGTTGCGTTGCCGAGTGAACCCGTCAGCTTATCTTCCTTCCAATCTGAGGTAACATAACAACGACCCGAACTGAATTCATTCAAGGAGGAGATCTTGAAACATATATGTATATAGGTTCTGACAAAACTTGTCTGAAAAATGCAGCAACTCGAATGTACATCCAGTGGTGATAGCTGCACATCCGCAGGAGCCAAACATGTTTGCGGAAGGTTTATCGGACGGAGGCGTCCACATATTCGAGCCGCTTGAGTCGGAAGGCGGATGGGGCGTCGCTCCTCCGGCCGAGAACGGCTCCGACCAGCCCCAGAGATGATGATCTTTGGAACCGAGTCGTCATCTTCTTCATCTCGTCTCTCTTTGTTTTTTTGCTTTCCTATACCTTATTTAAGGTAGATTGATTTAACATATACCTATAATCACTAATAAGATGACTGTCGTTAATGGAGGGATCCATGTAGGTCAAAAACAAAAACACAACAAAACTATATGTTTTTGGTATAAACTATCTTAAATATTTCTTTATTTAGAATATTCTTAATCTTATTTTTTTATTTTTTAATTCTCACTTGATTTTTTCCGCCTTCAATCGTCGATCCATTAAGTTTTAGTCTTTTTTGTTTTCAACGAAAAAATATCTAATAAGAAAATCTTTTAAGTTAGATTTTACTTAAATCAGCCTTTGAAATAAGCAATCTTCTATTTTCAAGAGATAAAAAATCGTAGATAAATATTTATTTTGACTAAGGTAATTTTTTTTGATAAATATAGTTTTAGAAATTGATTTGTGAAGAAGATAAACACCAAAGAATTAAGTCAAAACATCGTGTAAGATTAACGCGAATATTCATGCATACGACATCTATATTAATGTTGTGTTTTTATCTTGTATTTTTCGTCTTAGATGGTTAACATATATTATTGCATAAAATATTTTTGAATAAAATTAAGGGAAAAAAATCTTTCGAGCGAAAAATCTAATTCCACAAAAAAAAAAAAAAAAAAAAAAAAAAAAAAAAAAAAAAAAAACAAAAAAAAAAAAAAAAAAAAAAAAAAAAGCAAAAAAACAGGGTTTATGCGTGCTATATCCACAATCGTCATCTCCAGAGCTCTCGTATCCGAGTCTCGTTTCGTTCGCCTTAAACCCTGACAAAAAAAAAATGGCGACTCTCTCCAGACTAGACATAGCCACAACCTTCATCTCTTTCACTTCTCGCCGCGCCGGGACCGCCTTTAACCGTCGGTTCTCTTCCGCTGCTGTTCCGCTTTTTTCCCGGCGCAGGGGAGCCACCGTCACCGTTGAAACGACGCCATCTCCGTTCTATTCGGCGGTCGTCTATCCCGATCGTCGCCGGAGATATTTCTCTGCCTCTGCTTCTGCCTCTGCCTCCGCGACGGAGACCGAAGATTCCGGTGTTGCGACTAAGATTCCGCCCGACAACCGGATCCCCGCGACTATAATTACGGGATTTCTGGGTTCCGGCAAGGTGATGCCTAATGGTTTATATGACTAGGGTTCCTGAAATTTTCATGCTTTAGCGGAATGTTGTGCCCGAAATGGACACGAATTGGGTCGTTGAGTTCCCTGTTGAATCATGAATATGGCGTACGTTATTAATAATTCGATCAGTCTGTAGCAAAAAGAATCGTTGTTGAGTTATAAAGTTCTCAAATTTAGTTGATAGATTATGGTTTTTTGAAGTCGTATTGTCTTGTTTAGTGTTGCTGATGATGCTTGAGCTTTTTGTAATGAGCAGACAACATTGTTAAACCATATATTGACAGCAGAGCATGGGAAGCGCATAGCTGTGATTGAGAATGAGGTATGACTTCTAAATCGGCATTTGACTTCGTAATAAACCGATTTGAGATGATTTCTTAACCGTGGTGGTTGATTTCTGCTGAATGTGAATTTGCAGTTCGGTGAAGTAGACATTGATGGGTCGCTCGTCGCGGCTAAAGCTGCAGGAGCAGAGGATATAATTATGCTCAACAATGGCTGCCTCTGTTGCACAGTCAGAGGTGATCTTGTGAGGATGATTTCCGAGTTGGTCAAGACGAAGAAGGGAAATTTTGACCATATAGTCATTGAGACGACAGGTTGAGAACTAAACTACCATTTTATTTTCTAAGTAACCTTATTTGAACGTCATAAAGCTAAGGCCCGTAAAATATTCTTGTTTCCTTAGATAATCTCGGAGTGAAACTTATTATGTAATAATTTTCCTTTTCAGGTTTAGCCAACCCGGCCCCGATTATTCAGACGTTTTATGCGGAGGATGAAATTTTCAATGATGTCAAACTGGATGGTGTGGTCACTTTGGTTGATGCTAAGCATGCTCGATTGCATCTGGATGAGGTCAAGCCCAAAGGTGTCGTCAACGAGGCAGTGGAGCAAATAGCCTATGCAGATCGTATTATAGTCAATAAGGTACCGAAAACTTTTGTTTCTGCCCGTATTTGATGTAGATGCTTGTAAGAGGAATGGGAAGTTTTGGGTAATCTAGAGAGAATTTACCATGTTCATGAGATATGGATTAATCGTCTCTAATATAGTGCATGCTCATGAATGTACCATGGACACGGATGGTGTTGCTTCACCGGTTTCATTTCATCCCATATTGTTGAATAATGATAACCTAAGGGTTACAGAAGGATTTCCATTGACCAATGTGTATCGTTCTTTATGGAGATATTGTATATGCCGCTCTTGTTGTAAGAAGTAAGAACAAAGTGCTTCTACTTTTTTTGCAGACTGATCTTGTTGGCGAGCCAGAGATAACTTCAGTTGTGCAGCGGATAAAGGTTTGATTCTGCTTCTTCTGCATTTTCATTTCCGTCACCTTTTGTTTCTCCCGTTCTATTTTAAGTTGCTTGCTATGGTTATTTGCAGACTATCAACGGCATGGCGCACATGAAGCGGACAAAGTTCGGGAAAGTTGACTTGGATTATGTTCTTGGGATTGGAGGTTTTGATCTAGAAAGGTCTACTTCTTCCTCTTCTATATTGTTTTGCTGGTTGCCTAGTGTAGTTCTTGCATGGTTAGTCATGCGAAATGCTTTACCGGGATAATTTCCTAATATTCCCTTTTGTTTCTGCATGGGATTTCTTCCCAGAATTGAGAGCACTGTCAATGAAGATGAGAAGGAGGATCACGAGTGTCATGATCATCACCATCACCATGATCACGATCACAAACATGACCACCAGCACCACCATGAGCATGGTCATGAACATGGTAATTTTTTTTTGGTCGAGAACTGTGTGTGGTGGTGACGTAAAGAGAGCGTATTTTACGTGTACAACCGGCTGCATGCACACCAGTTGACCGAGATATTCTGGTTCAAGTCCTCACATCGTAAATTCATAACCTAATTAATAATCTGCTGCTTATAAAACTGCAGACCATCACAATGATCACCACTCTCATGATCATACTCATGACCCCGGTGTCTCTTCCGTTAGCTTAGTTTGCGAAGGAAGCTTAGACCTCGAAAAGGTATTATTCGACTATTCTGGTACATGATTATTTTCTCCGGAAAAAAAAAACTGTTTTCGCCTAAAGCTGGGTTCTCACAATCCTTCAGGCCAACATGTGGCTCGGGACGCTGTTGCTGGACCGCAGCGAGGATATCTACAGGATGAAGGGTCTCCTCTCTGTCCATGGCATGGACGAGAGATTCGTATTTCAGGTTATATTTTTAGATTTTTCACATACTTTCATCTCCCTGACAGACAAAAATCAAGCCAAGAAACATTATATTGGCATTCCTTAACAAGTTTTCTTATTATAATCAGTACTAGACCCCGGTCAAATAATCATTTATGATCTATATAAGCCTATGATTTAGGAGGCAAGAACTGTAATGGTAAAATTTTTAATAAAAAGATCATTTTGATTGCATAATTCGGTTTCGTGGATCGATTTGGTCGGTAAAGCAATATTAAGTGATTATTTTTTTTTTGTGATGTTGTGACAGGGAGTACATGACATATTCCAAGGATCACCCGACCGGTTATGGGGACAAGACGAACCGAGAATCAACAAGATCGTGTTTATCGGCAAGAACTTGAACAGGGAAGAATTAGACAATGGTTTTAAGGCTTGTTTGATTTGAAATTCCCAGTCAGGTTCCGTCTTAAATACCTTTTATGCGGCCGTAGTTCCCTAACATGGACAATGCACAATGGCAATTGATGACGCATGCATTTGTTTCCTAGTTGGCGTTCTTATCAATAATTCATACTATAACAATCCATTCGTCTTCACTGTCTTGATGATTTTTTTCCATTTACGGCCCCATGGATACAAGGTAAAATTGACTCAAGCGTCCTAAATTACATTGTGACTTGGCTGTTATTTCATGTATTTCATATAAAATCTTTCAATTTCTTTGTTTTGCATTCCCATTGTATTAGTATTTGAATCGGATTTCAGATGCTCAAGAATTGTATAACTTAGTTTATCATTAAATCTTTTGAGGTCGTTGTTGTTTAATATAAATTCTTTGTATAATCAAAATAATACCCCGCGATAATTTGAGTTTTTATATGCTTTTTACGTAAATATTCAACGTATATCACGTGTATATATTTATGCGGTTAGCGTGTTTTTTACGTAATTCATTATCACGATTATCACGTGTATCTCTTTACGTAGTTAACGTGTTTTTTACGTAATTATTCGATAATTATCAGGTTATATCGATTTAGATCAGTATCAAATTAATAATCATAGAACATCATTCTTTTATATATATATATATATATTGCAAGAAAGGATTTTTTTAATTTTTTATTTTTACACCATCAATGATTTAAGTGAATAAAATCTTCAATAAATTTAAAGATACATATTTTACTTCGAAAAGGGTCAAAACGCAATAAATTCAAGTCGCATTTCTTCTTGTTACCAGCTATAGAGAGACCAAACCAAGAAAAAAACCCTCAAAAATTTTCACTATATAAGCCACGAGATTTCCCTAGTTATACCACCCATCAAACCAAATCTACCACCTATAAACACACACATACACATATACATAGATCTCATATTTGTCTGCTCAAGACAATACTCTTGTTGTTCTCCTCCCTCTCCGACGTGTTTTTTCCCGGATCTTCTCCACCATATGGCCCATCTCGATTCCCTCCTTGGCCTTCTCTTCATGGTATTTTCAATCTCCACACTCAGATTCTTACGTGTCGAGTTTTTGGTTGGTTTCCACGTGTTTTGGTGATTGTTTACGGTTGAATTTACGTGGGTTCATCTCATTTTTGTCCGGATCTAATCGTATTATACACATCGTTGGTCGCATGAAAATGTTATGGTCTTAATTCTTCGATAGATCTGATAATATCAATTATTATATATAGATATTGGAATCTAATTTTCATATGTATACGTGTTGATACCAATGGATGGTCTTGTTGTATACACATCGATCATGGTTTATATATATTGATTTATACATATACAATGATACAGATGATGCCACCCTTTGATCTCAACCAGACAGCGGACCCTGCAGGCAACCGCCCCGACAAAGGAAAAGGGTATATGAATTTTTCTTTTTACCCTTTATCCATCTAATCTTTTTTTTAAAATATATTTACCAACACTTTTTACGTTCATTTTCGTGATAAAATGTGAATCTTTACATGGTTGTTAACACACACACGCACATATATATATATATATATGTATATGGTTTGGACATTAATTCTTGAGTAGAGTATTGGGAGATCCGATTGACCTTGAAGGAGGCGGTAGCGGTGGCGGTGGCGATAGCGGCAGCGGTAGCGGTGGCGCAAAGGATAAGGGTAAGGCCATAGCTATCGACGATGGCACAGAGCAGAAGGGAAATTATTTTGATCGGATGGACATTGACGATTTTGATTTAGAAGAATATGATGATGATGACATCGATTATGATGAGGAGACCAGTTCGGATGATGATGACGACGACGACGATGAGTTAGATGATGATGATTATGATTATGGGTTTCTAGAAGATTATGCGGAGGTCGATGCCGAGAAGAAAGACAAAGAGATGCAAGATTCTCATGAATCTCAAACCCCTCCTAAACCCGAAGGAGGTGATGCTTAGGAGTCTACTATATCCGTCATCATCATCACCATCCATCATCCATCATCCATCATCAATCATCCATCATCCATCATCCAATAGACCTCCCTTTTGGAATCTTGCATCATTTATGACTTATTAGTTATCTTTTTTAATAATTAAGAACTATATTATATCATCGTAGTAGTGTTTTATGTTTTTGTCCTTTTCGTGGTTCTTGAATTATATATGAGACATGCAAGATTTCCTTTCTTTTTGTCTTTGATTTATGAGATGGATGGATATTTCGTTCTTCTCTCTTCTTGATACTTTCATCTTCAACATATACATATGTGTATATGATAACCACCCAAAACAAAAATTCTTTTGTTTTCTTAACACTTTTCAATCTTCTTTATAAATTGAAATATGTCATTTTTGTGGCATACACTGTTGAAAAATATCACTTAATTTTAAGCATTTAGAGGACTAAATTTTGATCATAAGATAGTAATTGTTTTGATATAAATGGTAGAGAATCCAAAAATTTTAAAATATTAATCGATGGATTTGAACTAGGGTGTATATGGGTTGGGTAACCAAGCTATAGAAACCCGAATTCGAATACCTTAGATTATATACATCAAGGTCATGTTCGATTCCACTCGCGGGGAGAATGAGATGCAATTAATTAAGTGAATAAATGTTGATTCTAGATCCGAAAGATTTAAGTGGGTTGAAGATCTAGTGAACCTCTTGGTTATAAAAAAAAATAGATGATATACATCATCACATGATCTTGTATTCGTGTTGGCATGTGAATTCGAACAACAATATTCGAATCCAAATATTTTGAACTATTTTTTTAAGTTTGTAAACATGTGTCATTATACATATTTAAACTTATCTAAAATCATTTCAAACATATTTATATCCAAAACCATTACAAAAATTTACAAAATACATATTAATTATGTTTAGTACATCCTTTATATTTATTAAAATAAAATAACATTATACAATATCTAAAAAGCGCCATTTATTGTGAATAAATGTTATAAATTTATCTTTTAAAAAATATATTAAAAAAAAAGTTGAAGCTTGTTAATTTAATTTGAAATTCCCCGTCAGATTCTGTTTTTAAATTCCTATTATATGGCCATAGTTCCCTAACATGGGGGATATAATACAACAATGCACAATGACAATTGATGATGCATTTGCTTCCTTATTGGCATTCATACTATAATAATCTATTTGTCTGCATTATCTTGTGGATTTTTTTCCATTTAGGGTTCCATGTACATGGTAAAATTGACTCAGCCTCCTCAATAGCATTGTAACTTGGTTGCTGTCTCATGTATTTGATGTAAAATCTTTCAATGTCTTTATTTTGCATTTCCATTTTATTAAAATCAGATTTAGACACTCAAGAATTGTGTAAATCAGTTGATCATTAAATCTTTTGAGGTTCTTGTTGTTGTTTAATATAAATTCTATATATTATCAAATCATAACCCGCGGTAAGTAGAGATTTTTTACGTAGTTAACGTGTTTTTTACGTAATTATACAATGGTTATCACGTGTATATATTTTCGTAGTTAACGTGTTTTTTATGTAATTAATTATCATAATTATCACGTGTATTTTTTTATGTTGTAACGTGTTTTTTATATAATTATACGACTATTATCACATGTATATATTTCCGTAGTTTTTTTTTTTTTTTTGATAATCCGGAAGTTCACCGGACCTTTGGCCCAACTACATCTCCCAGAGAACCGAGGAAGCCCATGTGAATGCCCCTCCCCACGCTTGGGTTTGAACCCAGGGTGAGAGGATGCTTTGCATGTTCTCTCACCTATATTTCCGTAATTAACGTGTTTTTTTATATAATTATCACGATTATCACGTATATTGTTTTACGTATTAACGTGTTTTATTATATAATTATTCGATGATTATCACTATCAGGTTAGATATATATATATCAAATTTTATAATTTTGCGTATATACGTGTTGATACCAATGATCTTGTTGTACACACATCGATCATGGTTTGTATATATTTGTTTTTGTTTTTTTCCTTTATCCATGTCTCATTTTTCTAATATATTTACCAACATTTTTCGCAAAGTTCTGTACTTTATGGTCTCTCCATTCGATAAATGAAAAGCTTCAACACGTTTTTGTATGGCACTCCAACTTTGTCATGCCTATGTTGCATTGGAATCAGAAAGAAGTGGATGGCTTCTGCTTCCCCGCAGATATGGGCACAGAGAGAACGAGAAGCTTCAAATTCAGACAGAAGCAGAAGAGCAACAGAAGCACAAGTCTCAAAAATTCAGGATGTTTTTTTTGGGGGGGGGGGGGGGGAGGATTATCTCTGCTTAGTGCTTGCTAATAAGTTCTCTATGGACCCCCTTTAATTTATTATTTTCGATATAAATGAAAAATTATAAATTATCTATTTAATTAAATTCTTAATTAAAGCAGTTTAGAAAGAAATCCAAGTAGACCGACTTGGTCAGACGGGTCGAGGTCAAGAACAGTCGGTTACAACCCGACCCGAAAACATAATTCCTCCTCCCAGTTGGGTCACTAATCCTGGGGGGGTTTCTAGAATCTAAAACGGGAAAACATCTCCTTAACGAGCCCATCAAAAAAGGTTACCAGAGGGCCCTGAATCAACATTCTTCATCATCATCTTCTTCAAAGGTGGGGTTGAGTTCAGAAGATCTTGAAGAGGAGGCCACCATGGGTGGCGAAGAAGGGAGCAAAGACGAGAGACTCGACGGCCATGAGCTTGATGAGGATGTTCAAAGACGGACCGGATGTGTCCTTTAGTGGATCTCCAATGGTGTCTCCTATTACAGCCGCCTTGTGTGGCTCTGACCCCTTTGGCCCAAGGCTCTTCGCATGCTCCGATACCCCCGCCTGCTCGTATTTTCATACATATCCCATGTTTAACCAAATATCTCTTGGATATACGTTTTTTTATTTGAGCCTTTCAGGCACTACATACCTCAATGTACTTCTTGGCATTGTCCCAGGCACCACCAGTGTTAGATGCAGATATCGCAATCTGTAATAAAAGAGACCGCAGATTATGATGTTTTTGTACTAATCTCAGAAAATCTTGAGATCAAAGACCCATTTTTTCAAGTGATTATTACCTGGACTCCAGAAACAAGGGAGCCAGCCAGGACACCAGATAGGGTCTCGACGCCAAAGAGGGTTCCGACAATGAGAGGAGTGAGCATGACGAGGGCACCGGGTGGAAGCATCTCCTTGATGGATGCGTCGGTGGAGATCTTGACGCACGTGGCATAATCAGGTTTAGCAGTACCTTCCATGAGTCCCGGGATGGTGTTGAACTGTCTCCGCACTTCTTCGACCATCTTAAGAGCCGCACTTCCCACACTCTTCATTGTCATGGCAGAGAACCAGTACGGAAGCATGGCTCCCACCAGCAGTCCGATGAAAACTTTAGGGGTCAATACATCGACGGTTTGGATCGCTGCCCGGCTCACGAAGGCGCCAAAGAGTGCAAGAGACACGAGAGCAGCAGATCCGATGGCAAAACCCTGGAGACAAGACAACATACATGTCATGCATTTGATTGTAACTCATGCCATGTGAGGTTGAAGGGGTAGCAATCAAAAAGGTCATACCTTTCCAATGGCGGCAGTGGTGTTTCCGGCTGCATCAAGGGCATCGGTTCTTTCACGGATGCGGTGGCTCATGCCAGCCATCTCAGCAATACCCCCGGCATTGTCACTGATGGGACCGTAGGCATCAATTGCCAAACCAGTGGCAATGGTGCTGAGCATTCCAAGAGCAGCAACAGCAATGCCATACATTGCAGCAAAGCTGAAGCTAACAAAGATGCTGGCAGCAATAGCAAAGATCGGAATTATGACAGATTTGTATCCCAGAGCAAGTCCAAATATCACGTTGGTCGCTGCTCCAGTCCTGCATGAATCTGCGACATCTTGGACAGGGCTGCAAGAAAGGACGGACATAAGATGTAAGATTTGAAGCCAGATAAAAGTTGGTACTCTGATATTTCAGTCAAAGTATTACTCTTTACCTGTACGCATTGCTAGTGTAGTACTCAGTGACAAAACCAATGATGAGTCCAGCCCAAAGTCCAACACCAACACACAAGAATAGCTGCCTGGAACCCAAAATTAGCTCACAACTTAAGTTTGCTTCTTGTCAAAGAAACTCAAATATATGAACCACAATTTGAACAGACAAAATCATCCACCCAAATCTATTGCAAGTGTAAGGATCTTACCAGTTCTTCACGACTTTCTGCGTTCCGAAGTTGTAGATGGTGAAGGATGACGGCAACCCAACCCATGTCACTATAGCAATCCCTATAGTCATTATAGCGGTTGAGATGATGAGTTGCCATTTCAAAGCCGGTTCAATCTCCTTGACAGCCTTGATCTCGAAGAAGTCAGTTGCAAAGAGTGTTGTGATCAAACAAACCAAGATTCCCATCGAACTGATGAGCAACGGGTAGCACATGGCAGTAAAATCATGGTCCAATCCAAAAGATGAGATTGAAGCAACGACAAGAGCAGCACAAGATGATTCGGCGTATGAACCAAAGAGATCGGAGCCCATGCCGGCAATGTCTCCGACATTGTCACCAACATTATCAGCAATAACCTGTAACATAGCAGCTTCATGATGTTAACTTCTAAAAAAAGGAATCAACTGATGTAGTTTAAACTAAGGATACTATGCTTACAGCTGGATTTCTCGGGTCATCTTCTGGAATATTCCTCTCTACTTTCCCAACAAGGTCAGCACCCACATCCGCTGCCTTAGTGTAGATTCCACCACCAACCCTACCAAAGAGAGCCATGGACGACCCACCAAGACCATATCCAGTAATAGCCTCGAAAAGACCCTCCCAGTCATTGCCATAGTACAACTTGAAGAGATTTATAGCAATGTAGAGCACCAAAAGACCATTTGCTGCGAGAAGGAAACCCATCACAGCACCAGACCTGAATGCAGTAATGAATGCCTTTCCAACACCTTTCCTTGCTTCCAAGGTGGTTCTAGCATTGGCATATGTGGCAATCTTCATCCCGAGAAAGCCAGAGAGGAGAGAGGTCACGGCACCGAGTAAGAAGGAGATAGTGCTGAAGGCTGCAGTGGCGAGGGCAGGCTTGCACATTCTTGTTTTGTCATAAGTGCAAGG